CACTGCAAGGAATGGATATGGCCTCACTACCACCCCGCAAACGACCTTGGCATGATGGACCAGGAACCTCTGACCACAGAGAAATGGAAATGCAAGCTGGGCATCCAGAGGAGAGAGGAAAGGGTAAATTACAATTTTTTGAGAGATTGAGTAGTATCATATATATATATATATATACACTAACATACTGTATAAACCAATACACGGAAAAGCCAACCTTCAAATTCTTAACCGAAATGCCATGAAAATTCACTATCTGCAAATAAACCAATTCTCAAAATTTTCATTATATTTTCATTTTCACAATTGGCTTATGTCAGGTCATGCATTTTTCATACTATTTTGGTTAAAATTTTAGGGTTGACATCAGCAAGTGTATATGGAATATATGGGTACTTTTAAAAAGTATGGTATTATATACTCATGGATAGGCTCATCTACATAGAAGCCCAACCAATTTTGGGGCTATATGTTGGTACCTAAAATCTCAGCTTATCCATGAGTATATATAGTAAATGACATATTGAGAAATGCTGGGAATGAGCTAGTTTGATCTAGTGATTAAGGCACCAGGCTAGAAAGCAATTTACCCATGTCCCTCTTGGCCATGAAAGCCAGCTAGGTAACCTTGGACCAGTCATGCTCCCAATCCAACCTCCTTTACAAGGTTGTTTTGTGGAAAATAGAAGGAGGAAGGTTTATTGAATATGTTCACCACTTTGAATTATAATAAAAACAATAATAATAAAGGGACGTAAATAAATAAAATATAAAATAAAACAATCTTAATAAAATATTTAAAAACTATTACTTATTTTATTTTTATTCTTTTTAAAAATTAAATCCATATGTAAAAGTTTGGAATGGCAAAACAATTTATTCCTACAGTTCTCCCCAATTTAAATTTATCTAAATAAATGAAAGTAAATTATATTTAATTATTTCAGAAACTAACTTTCATGGGTTCCCTAGGATTGATGCAGAGACCAAATAAAAATCTTATACGGTAGTCTACTTCTGGGTCACTTTTGGTCACTACTCCTTCATTGCTTAACCTCTGTTTTTCCCCTCTTAGTATAGTAAGTATTTACTTTGAGACTGAGAGCATAAGAATAAGAGTCATTCCCCACAAAATAATAGATTTCATACTGATCCATAATCAAGATATTAAAGCCAAAAATATTTCTATTTATCTGATACAGGTAACATTACCAGGAAAAGTTAATTAAAACTCTGAAACGACCCAGGCTAACTGCCATATATACTGTTTATTATAAAGTAAATGTAGCATTAAAATGGGGAGGGGGAATCTGCGTAGCATCACTGTTGCAGCATACTGAAGAAACAGGTATTTATAGCAGTTTCCTTGGTTCTTCATACTATGCTAGAAATAAGAATAACTGGAAAGGGTTGATGTTGAGGAACATTCAAATGAAAGGCTAAGACAGTGAGGTGATGCTACCCCACATGCTGGTCATTAGTTTGAAAGATACCATTGAAGAGTGTACATCATCTTTAGTTTCCAAAGACTGTGATCTGACAAAGCATGTAGTACAGCTTTCTTCTATAGCTATAAATTCTAAATAACTATTAGGCAGTACAGTAGCAGGACTGTATCAATAACTTTTTAAAAAAATATTTGTGGTCACCCTATCTGTTTCTCTCTCTCTCATACAAAAGCACACACAAAGATTCTGAGCTTGTAGAGTGTAAAAAATTGAGATGACATTCTTTATATTTTCCATCAGAAAGATAGCAATAACATGATCTAATTTCAATTTGCCCTTTTTTATTTTAGGACGTGTAAAATCAGGACTTTCACAGAGAATGTCGAAGTCTGGAAGATCCAGTTCTTTGGATGGAGAGCATCATGATGGATATCATAGAGAAGAATTTGGAGGTCCTCCAGGAAACAATCCTTCTAGAGGAGGAAGAAGTGGGAGTAATTGGGGAAGAGGAAGTAACATGAACTCAAGCCAGTCAAGGCGAGGAGGTTCTAGAGGTGGAGGAAGGGGTCGATAGAAGAGGTCATGACTGGGAAAAACCCAGTCTTTCCACTTGTTGCAGAATCATTGCAAAAATAATTCTGCAATCCTACAAACATGGACTCTAGATGGAGATGAGTGATTGTTCATTAGTTCCTAAGGTCTTTTCCAACATTAAATACCAGCTAATAATACCATCACAACAACCTTTGTTTCATTTCCACACCATCCCAATCCTTTGTCATACTTGTATTTCTTAAATTGATATCTGAAGATAAAGCTGGGTTTTTTGTTTTTGTTTTTCCTTTTAGTGATGTGAGATATGGAGCACATCCAGATTTCAGTTCATGTCAAGAACTTGTTTCTATATGTACAGTTGTCAGGAAAAGTTAAGTTGTTTTTGTATGAATACAGAATGCAATTTGTCCAAAAATTAACAAGAGTGTGTGATTTTTCTATACACGTTTTCACATATCATAGAGGAACCATCTCCTAAAATTTCTATGGACATTTTCTGTGTTGGATACATGCACTGCCACAGAACTAGCTATCACAGCTACTTACACAAAGTTTTAAAGCCTCACAAGTTCAGTTAGCATGTTATAAAAATATGTAAATGAAAATCACTTTTGTTGATTCCTAGAAATGTCTTTCCTTTCAGTAACCAAAATGAGCAGAAGAGTTTCATATATAGATTCCCTAAGTACTCCTTGGTCCATAGAGTGAGATATTTGTATATGGTACAGTAAGGACATATAGCTAAAACATGAACGTTGTTCTGTGATCTGATTATTAGTGATCAATTCTGATTTATTCAGAAAAACATCCCAATATTCTGCCATCTGACTACTTTGAAATGCAATGGAATAAGAAAAAAAAACGTAGCTAACTCCTAATTGAAGTCTGAATGGGCTTCTAAATTAAAGTCTTGAATTTGTTGTTTCTGAAGCCATAATTTAACCAAACCATTTAATATTATTTTTTAAAATGTTTAGATGAACATAGCTTCAGAAATATCAAGAAAGAATATCTAACTTTAGTCTGAATATCTAGACATAACCTAAAAAACCTTTACATATTTTCCCTATTTTCTTTAAAGGTGTAAGTACAGTTTCTTTCCATTATAGTACTGTATCTGTTTTACACTTATTTTACAATAAAATGTCCTCAGTTAAGATGTTTATTATCCAGTATTCTGATTGAGACTATTGAAGCTTTATTGATAAAAAGTTGGTTTTACACATCACCATATGATTTGCCTTAGAATGATGTGACAATCCATCACGATTTGGCATAAAAACAGGGCAAATCACTAACTTAATATATATGATAGGATCAGGGGTGAGATCCAGCAGGTTCTGACAGGTTCTGGAGAACCGGTAGCAGAAATTTTGAGCAGTTCGGAGGACTGGTAGCAGAAATTTTGAGTAGTTCGGAGAACTGGCAAATACCACTTCTGGCTGGCCCCAGAGTGGGGTGGGAATGGAGATTTTGCAATATCCTTCCCCCAGGAGTGGGGAGGGAATGGGGATTTTGCAGTATCCTCGTGGGGTGGGAATGGAGATTTTGCAGTATCCTTTCCCTGCCATACCCACCAAGCCACGCACCCAGAACCAGTAGTAAAAAAATTTGGATTTCACCACTGGATAGGACTTATTGTAAACAATTGTAGCCTAGGAATTTCTATATATTGTGTACATAGATGTTGAGCCATTAAAAGATAAATGTGATTCAGGTCAGATACTAAGTTAGAAACCTAGCCTTGATAAAAATTTAAAATATTTTAGAGTCAGCTGTATAGTAAGCCAACTAACTTATTCAAAACACAATGAATAAGGCAATCACGCTCATTAGGAGTATGCAAAACAGGCATATTTCTTCATTTTTTGGAAGTAGTAAGAGTGACAAAATCAAAACAATGTTTTGTACCTACACTCCACTTATTAGTTACATAGTTGAAGAAAAGTGAATTAAGCTATCTTGTAAAGGACTCTTAAATGTTTTTCTATGAGAAAAAAATGACAAATTATACAAGTTTGTATAGAACGAGAACATAGGATTTCTCTGTTTTTGGTAGTTACTTAAATTATAAAGCCTATTCTATTTTGAATATCTTTGACTTTTCCTTACCAAGTAGAGGACATCAATTAGCTTTGGAAATACCTATTTCTGCTCAAAAGTAAATTTGTATCACCACTGTAATTACAAATAAGCAGGATAGTCTGCATTAATTGTAAACAGAGTAGTTCTGTTTAAAATTAGGATCTACATCAGTAAAATTTTCAGTTGATGCTTATAGGAAAACTATAACTAGTGTTAGCCGTGTTTGATTGTGATGATGCTTCCTTTCACTTAAAGTAAGGAGAAAACAAGCAGAGTCTAATTAAAAAAGCAGGATGGTACTTTTTAAACTTATTTTCTAGTCTTCACTGTAGTTAACGAGAAGTCTAAATTCTGGAGTCTAGGGCAACTCTCTGTGGCCAAATTGCTGCTGTAAGCTCACCACCACCAACTTACTGCAGGACAATTCCACATAGCCAACTAGTCATGGGGATGTGCCATGAGCGACTGGAGAGCACGCTGGTGAGCAGGTGGGCAGGTGGACAGAGCATGGTGGGGTGGGTGGTGGGGAGCCGGCAGCCAGGGGATTCCTATTTTCATATGCACTGCTGCTGCTGCTGCCATAACAGTGGCTCCAACTCTGGTGTGGCGGAGGCAGCTTTGAGCTCAATGCGGCGGCAGCTGAGGCTATCATGGTAGTGGATGTGTGAAAATAGAAAGGTGCCAGCTGTAACCTCCCCACTGTCTGCCCTGACAGCTCTGTGCTCTGCCCACCTGCTCACCTGGCTCTCCCTCTGGCTGCCAGGTAGACAATTGTGATGAGTTGTCCCCACAGAGAGTTGGCTGTGTGGAGTTTTCCTGTGGCAAGTTGTGTGTTACCTTTCAGATTTATTTCATTAGTACAATGATCTCTCATTTTTCTTGCCCTAAACCAGTAGACAAAACTAATTTTCATTCTAATTAAAAAGTAAGATCAAATTTAATAAGAAAATATAGAAAATAGTAAAAGTATAACATTTTAAACAAATTATTGATAAATCCCAAGGGTTGAACATCACAGAAAAGTAGTTATCCTCATATGCACAAGAATTTAAATAGTGAATGAAAAAAATATAGTTAGTAAATTGGTACATTTGGCACAACATACTTCCATGTCTTTTGATTACTACATAAAATGTAAAAACACATCACATTATAGACATTCTGTTAAGTTTTTAAAATAACATTTTTCCCCATATGTCACATTATACCAGGGAATAGAACAGCCTTTCTGAACTAGAATTCCGCAGAACTGTAAGGTTCCATTTGAAGTTGTAGCAGTTCTGTGAGACTATGACTGAAAAAAAAAAACTTCGTATATCACACAATGCTAGCATTTTCAATAATGGGAAATTTTATATGTGTTAACTCAGCTGCTGCTCTGCCAGTTTGCTCTTGTAAAGGTTTATAAAATTGGATTGTACAGATTAGAAGTGAATTGTATTATGACGGGTTTGCATTTTTATCACTTTTATGCAGGGGTTCCTTGAGACCATTTCAAGCATTCTTCTAGAATAAAAAAAATTGAGAAAAGCTGAAATAGAATAACATACTCAAAGTCTGTAGACTAAATTATATAGTAAAAATACACTTGGGTTGCAATCCTATAGCTATTTTCTTGGGTTTAAGCATCACTTAAGTTGTAAATAGAAAGGATTGTAAAGTTTATTTTATTGTACTAACCCAATTGAAACGTCTTCAAATAATCTTTTAAATGATTTCATGAAAATTTGTTCGAGTTAAATATTTAGCAACTTTTTGATTCACAGCTATTTTTGATTACATTACATGACATATGCACAGAAATCACTCAGAAATGCCAATTTAAATTAAAAATTACCATTTTATTAATTTATAACTCACTACTTGATCCCTTCTTAATGCACAAGTGTGGAAGTGCCACTAGATTCAGCAAGACTTGATTTTGAATAAATTGTCTAGAGTAGAGCTCTGTAGATTTTCTGCACTTAAATATAAGCATTTGCTTATAAGTTATTCCTTTCATTAATAAAACACCTATGACATAAGACCTTTCTTATTAAATAATATACATTTAGACATAGTTATTGCATGTACAGGTAGTCCTCGATTTACGACCACAATTGAGCCCAAAGTGAAAAATTTGTTAAGTGAGTTTTGTCCCATTTTACGACCTTTCTTGCCACAGTTGTTAAGTGAATCACTGCAGTTAATAAGTTAGTAACCCGGTTGTTAAGTGAATTTGGCTTTCCCATTGACTTTGCTTACCAGGTCATAAAAGGTGAAAACATGATCTTAGGGAATAGCAACGGTCATAAATATGAACCAGCGGCCAAGCATCTGAATTTTGATAAGATGATCATGGGGATGCTGCAAAGGTTGTAACTGTGAAAAATAGTCATACATTACATTTTTCAGTGCCATTATAACTTTGAATGATCACTAAATGAACTGTTGTAAGTTGAGGACTACCTGTATTTAACCTGTTAGAAATTATTTCCTAGAATGTGCTAGTTTATTAAGCATTTAAGTTTAAATTTTAAACATATTTCCCTAGATTTAACACTTTTGACTTCAGAGAATACAATATGTAAGAGGTATGCTTTGCAGGCTACAATTTTAAGAGAAATAAAATGTACATTTGCACTGCAAAATTGTGACACCAGCCCTGAATTTATGTAGTTTGTAGATGTAATAACAAGGCAAACTGGGTTGTTCTTACACTTTTAATACATGATTAAAGCAAAATAATTTGTAGATTCCTCTCAGTCCATTTCTCCTACTGATTATTCACTTCCCTCAGGAAAAAACAATCACTTGCCCTAATTTGTATTTGGGGCAAATATTTCTGATAGCCAGATCCAGACCCAGTTAAAATGTAGGAGGGGACTGATAGGAAAGCAATAGAAGGGAGTTTTGTACAGGGCAACCCTCTCCTGCTGATGTTGCGCTGGCAATAGCTGCTCAGTGGGAAAGCTCTCCTGTTTTAAATGGGCAACTCTTTCCCACCATGCAGACAAAACGGGTGCCTGGAGCAAAGGTTTGGTGTATCTTTCAAATTCCCCAAGGGATAGGTCACAGGGACCAAGATGCTTTGTATTTCTGACTAGTCCATCAGCTCACCTCTGACCATCAGTCTAGCACTCTTGAAAGATGTGAAGAGGGAAGGAGAACTATGTGAGAGAAAAAAGAAACACAGCAAGGTAAAATGAGAGGGAGCAAGAGGGTTAGACAGTTGACACTAGTGGGTTTCTTCTTCTTCACGCTATTCAGAAATATATTATAGATGCAAAAGCATTGTTGGAATGCAGAAGAGGAGCACAGAGTAAAGGAGGTGGGAATGATCAACTCTTTTGAGAAATGGAATTCCAGAACATGTACAGAATATATGTTCATGTGTATGGCTTTACATGCTAATTTCACCATTCAGATAATATTCTAAAGGAACACATCTCTAACAAACAATATACCTAACCTCATATAACCCAGGTCTACTCTGCAGTCCAGGACAAAGTGGCCAATAGGGCAGTACCACTGACTGGAATGGAGAAGTTGTAGTCACAGCAGTTGAAAGGCTAATAGCAGCTGGACAAATCCCAGTCCAATAACACCATCAATTAAACTGTTGACAAAGCATCCTAATCACACCCACCCCAAAATTGTGTCAGAAGAGGGAAAACACTTCAATAACTGGAATAGGTAAAGGATATGTTAAGCTGCCTCCTTTTTAGCCCAAGAGTGAGAGAAATCACAAGGCTGTAAATTTTAAAAATGGTTAAATGGGGTAGTTTGTGCAATGGTCAGAAGAACACACAGACTACAAAACCTTTGGCTCTTTCTACCTGCCAGTTAGGTAGTTCAGTTTCAAGTCACATCTTTTGTTTTAATACTTTAATATTCTCAGCAGTCAAACAACCACAATGAGGCAAATGAATTATCTCCCGGAATTCACAATAGTCGCAGAAGAAACTTTCTATTCAAGGATTCCTGGAATTCAAGCTGCATATCCTGCTCTGCGCTTTGCTTTGAAAAGCGGCCCGGGGTGCCTCCTCACGGAGCAGTCGTCCCAAACCCGGGAGTTGGACTTCCGACGACAGAGTAACTCACACTGGAAGAGCTTTAGAAACACTTCGTCGCACGAAGCTCCCCAGGAAGCTGCTGGCATAGCGCAAACCAGCAGCACCGCCAGGCAACGAGGAAAACAAGTAGGCGCCTCCGGCTCCCAGCTGGACCACAGCACCCAGCACCGTGAGCAGCGTACTTCGGAGCCCGAGAGCAGCGTACAGAGTTCCGCCCACGGAGCCCAAATACAGGATGGCCAGGCCGCGCCGGTCAGGCTCGCCCAGGATGCGACTCGGGCCCCGCAAGAAACCAGCGGCTCCCAACGCAAAGGCCGAGCCCAAGGACCAGAGCAGCGCGAACTTCCGAAGCAGCAGGAGCGAGCCATAAAGCGCGGCGAGGCCGAAACAGAGAGCAGCCAGCAGCAGACACAGGGCGCTCCCCACCAGTCTCTGCCAACGGGACACCCCTGTCGGTAGCCACGGCTCCGGCTCCGCCTCGGCCGCCCCCGACCACGTTCCTGTCGCGGGGAAAGGGTTCATGCGCCGCAGCCAGACGCCCAAGCCCGAGCCGGTTTCTTCTGCCTCATCCTGAGGAGGGGCCTGAGGAACCGACAAAACCGTCGAGCCGCCGCCGCCGCCGCCCTTGGACTGAGCTAAATATTCTTGCAGTTGACGGTTCAGATCTGCCATCTTGGCGAGGAATCTCTAAGGAACAGGCGGGAGGCGAAGACAATAGATGGGCAAGGAGGCTGCTCTTCAGCCCGGTGCTTCTGGAACGGTGGGACGCAGCCGCCTTAGCAAAGCGGCACTGCTAAGCAAGCAGTCGGCCGCCTTGGTTTGGTCTCTTTTAAAAAAAAAAAAAAAACAGGCACCAACTTCAAACACGTGATCCTCGCTCAGGCAACTGCCTGCGTGCGTGCATACAAAGGTTCAGATGGGCGGAGGAGGAGCCTATGCAGGTAGCCCTGGCCTCGCGACTCTCCCACCTCCTCGCGGCCGCCTGAACGAGAAGAACATTTTCTGGGTGCCCTTTGGACGGGCAACTTCACCTCATCCTTTCGGCTTCAAAAGCATCAACTGCGCACCCGCAAAAGGCTGGAGAAACGGGGGCGGTACTTCCGCACTCTAGAGCCGCGGGGAAAGACGTGATTCGGCTATTGGTTGGCAATTGCTAGGGAGAGGGCAGAACTTGATAATACTCATCTTGTTAAGTATGTCAGATTAACTATTACTCCATAGCGGGAACATTATGGCCCTAGAGTAGGGGCTCTTTATTTTCATTTTGATCAATACTTCATAATTTCTAAGCAAGAGGACAAAAAGACCCGAAAGTTAGGGACAAACGGTCATGGGAAAAAATCTGTGTAGTCACTAGGAATTGAAAATGACGTCATATCAGTAATCAAATGGACAAAAATTGATGATATTTCCCATTATTAGTACATTTATGGTGAGCATATTTTCTCTGGTACATCAACATTCAAAATAAAATAAACCATTAGCAATTAAGCAGATCCTCCCCCTGTAACTTCAAGCATTATCCCAAAACCTTTCACCTTGTTAGCTGCTGATTGCACCTACATTTTTGTGAAAGAAATCCAAGTGAATGCAAAAAAACATTTTCGGTGACGTTGCACTTCATGGTCTTAAGAAGTTTATCATCCAGCTGAATCTAGTTTGGTGCTTTAATTGCCAAAAAAATTCTCAACATCCTTGAATCCTTTCCAGGTGATTTTCTCTGGCCCCACTAACAAATCTTTGAACTGCTTGTGATTGATGGCATATCTGATCTGTGGATCAATAAAAATGCCTTCCTTAATCTTGGCATCAGTTATTTTTGGAAACATCTGTCCAAAATAATGAAAACCTTTATCTTGTTCATCAGTTTCACAAATTTTTTCAGAGTTTTATGTAAGGTCGCGTGAACCGAAGGCAAAAATATTTTTGGGGTCAACAAGTGGTTCATGTGCCAAATTTTTCTGTGCTGGAACCAAATTCTTTGAAAATTGTCATTTCTTTTTAATATAATGTCATTCTCTTCCATAACTGTCCCATTTACATCAGTAACTACTTGATATATCTGAGCTGCATTCCAAGCAGCAGAACCATTACTTTTGAGTCTCCACAATATTCCAGTTGTACTTGGTGTACTGAATGTTTTTGTATGTTTTTTCATGTATGCAGCATAGCCAACAAGTACTGGAGGGTCTACATTGCCATTTTGTAAAAACAGATTTTTATAAAACAGTATGAGATAGGTTGAATTACAGGTTGTTTTCATGATTCGCAGCCAAAAATCTATAAGACACACCTAAAAGTGTTCAGGAAGCAAAATCCAGTAGAATAAGGTTGGGTTATTATTGCAGTTACTCTTAGATATTGTAAATGCAGTAATAAACACATCTGAACTGCGTTGATCTAACCTATGTGCATTTACAACATACTCCAGTTTCAGACATAATATATTGATTATAGATATATACCAATCCATGTACTCTTGGCAATGTACTCTTGGATCCAGGCTCTTGGCAATGTTCTACCTCATGTTTTCAAATTCCCCAAGCTCATTTCTGAAAAAGAGATCAAAATGTGTACGATCCCTCAATTCCATATGCTAGATATATTCATTACAACTTTACTGGTAATGAAAATTATTTTTGTTTAAATTTCATAATTTAATTGTATTAATACTTAATAAGTGTTGTTAACATTATTGCACTAACTTTATCTCCTTAAATTTTTGTCATATTCTGACAAAATAGAATGCATGCATAAATCATTTTTTTTGTTATGACCAAGATTGACCATTTTGGGGGAGTACCATTGAAGATAGTTGATGGACCAATAACAAATCCACCCTCCCACCCTCCCCTGTACATTCTGTGCCCTCTCCGCACCTTTTAGTTGTAACCTGTATTTTTATTGGGTTTATAGATGTATATTTTATGGTTTTATTGCTTTTAATGTTGTAAGTCGCATAGAGCTGCCTCTAAGCAACATGGACTGCAAACAAATTTAATAAATTCTGTAATAGTGGTTGTTGGGACATAATGGACTAAAGTGAGAACCACTAAACTAAAAACATAATAGCTCTATTGTTGTACAGGTAGTCCTCAACTTACGACCACAATTGAGCCCAAAATTTATGTTGCCAAATGAGACATTTGTTAAGTGAGTTTTGCCCCATTTTACAACTTTTCTTGGCACAGTTATTAAGTGAATTATTGCAGTTGTTGAGTTAGTCGCATGATTGTTAAGTGAATCTGGCTTCCCCATTGACTTTGCTTGTCAAAAGGTCGCAAAAGGGGGGTCACGTGGCCCCAGGGCACCGCAACCATCATAAATATGAATTAGCTGCCAAGCATCTGAATTTTGATCATGTGACCATGGGGATGCTGCAACCATCTTGTGAAAAATGGTCATGTCATTTTTTTCAGTGCTGTTGTAACTTTGAACAGTCACTAAACAAACTTCTTGTAACTGGAGGACTAGCTGTACTTGCCCAGAGTCACATTTTGTGAGATGGGCACTTTACAAATTTGTACTGGGATATTAAGAATACTCCTAAGAAAATAGCGACATATAATGGCCATAGGCACAGAATGAGGCCCGCACCCTGGTTTTAATAGGACCTGTTCAAAATAATCGTCGCTCTAATCCTAGAAACTATTTAGAGTATCTCCGGAGTAAGAGCAAGCAAGCCATAGCCCTATAGTAGCTGCGGTTTGCTTTCCACTGCCCTGCACTATGAAGTCCCACCGCACAAGACCGCCGCCCTCGCTATTTCATTATTTATTATTTCATTCCCTTTCTAGGAAAAATATGTGCTGGGCCGAGGGGCGGGAGGAAGATCAGGCCGCCTGTCCTGACCTAGAGGGGCGGCCCGCTACGGCAGCCAGCACCGGGCGGAGGACAAGAGCAGGCGGGCTGCGGGGCTGCTGCAGTCGGGACCGGGGTGCTCTAGCGCGCTGCTCGTCGCTCTCCCCACGACCCCCGCACCGAAGCTCTCTGGCCAAGAGTGCTTTGGACCCACGGCCGCCATGACGGGCAGGTAAGAGGAGAAACACAGCGAGGTCCCCCGCAGTCGCCTGGAAGCTCGGTTGGGTTTCACTTGCCAGGGCGGGTGATGACAAAACGTCGAAACAGCTTCGCCTCCTTCCTCCACGGGACCACTCGCCCTCCGCGACCGCTGTCCCGAGTGGCTCAGGAACTGCCAAGACTTCCCTTTCTCGGGATTTAAAAAGGAATTGTCGGGTTTTTCAATCTTTCGGAGGAAACGGGGAGTTGTGAAACACGACTACTAGCTGGAGAAAAAGCTTCTTTGCCCGTTAACCTTTGTACTACCACATATTTACTGAGGAGATGAAGTTTCCCTCTTCTGGCTGAAACCGCTCATTTCTCTTGTATGTGATGCGATCTTTTTTGCTTTAAGAGGCATTGAAAACCAAATGCTGTTGTCAACAGCAGATGGCAGCTCCTGACTTTCGCTGATGGCAAAAAGGAAAGCGGCATCAATCCTAACATGTATTTAGATGGGAGACCATAGGGAAATCCAGTTTTTCAATCCCAGACTGGGGGGAAAAAAATGCTGAAAAAAAGGCAATATACTGCTGCTGAATTCCGTATAATTAAACAAGTGGAATGTAAAATACACTTGCTACTTGGGGCTGATTTTCTCTTAAGCAATCTTTATGCGTGTCTTATTAGCTAATAGACTATTATAGAATAGTGAGATATAGCAAACGGGCACTTTATATAGTGAAAGCTTTTATCCTGTTGTTGGACTCTTCAGAAACCTGTTTAAATCTTTATTATTTGCTTCTCTAAACCTTTAAAATTATAGATGTTTTTCACCAGATATTGAACTGATTCTATGTTATTGTAAATTTGTGCTATACTATCTATAAAATAATTTTAAACAATAAAATACAGTTGGGTAGAGTGAATACTATGCAAATGTATGTTGGAAAGAGCAAAGCATTTAATGGTAAAACCAGTAAAATTGCAGAATTGTTCATATAGATTGTTAAAAGAATTTCTCAAGAAAAACCTGTAAACAGCATGATAAGGTTATGGGCAGATTTTGGTCTGATTTTAGTCTGCCTTTATTTGGAGCAACTCTGCTGTAAAGAGGTTCCAAGTTGCATAAAAATACACAATTGGGAGAGCAGTTACTGAGAACATAAATACAGGTTAAATAAAAATAGTTTTATGCAATATTTCTAGCTAACATTATTACTATTCCTTGGAATGGGTTCCTTTTGAAATCAAATTCTCTTTGTTTTATGGATTTTTTCCCAACAGTTTATAGATCATTTCTTTTTTATCAAATGGTCCACAGCACTGTTTCTAATTCCTTCTCCAATAGCTTGTTTCTCCTGCAAATGTTGAAGGCTAAAGCCTTTCACTTTTCAAGTGGGCAGCTGGGAGGATCTCTTGTACTGTGCTAAAATGAGCTTCCTTCCTTTTGTTTGAAATAAAGACATGCATCCTGAGGAAATCTGCTGTTTGTGTGACATGCCCCTGACATTTGGAGTTTTGTGAAAGCAATTATATTGTATTTGTTCTTACTTATATTATTTGCTTACTATTTTGTTATTATTATTGGAAAAATAAGAATTCTACATTTTCGTCTTGTTTTGCATAAATACATCAATCCTATCAAAAAATAATGAAATAGCAATAATAAATCATGAAAGTCTGAAATGATGAGACTCTATTAACCCAATAGTGAACTCTTAACCTATTTTTTGTGTTTTGAGAGTACAAATTATAGCGTTCAGGGTTATTCAGAAAATAATGTTCTAAACCTTTCTTACATGATTAAATATATATATATATATATATATATAGTAGAGACCAATATATAGTACAAATATTCATGAACTATTTGGTATAAAATTGAGCTAAACTCATAAATACAAGAAAAAAACTAAAGATAAAGGTTTCCCCTGTCCAGTCATGTCTGACTCTAAGGAGTCATCTCTAAGTTCTAAGTTCATTTCCGCTCTTAGCTGAAGGGGCCAATACCATCGAAGATATTTTTGTAGTCATGTGACCAGCATAATTATATATTGAGGCACATGGAACACTGTTACCTTCTCATCAAAGTGGAACCTATTTATCTACTCTCATTTGCGTGCTTTCAAACTGCTAGGTGGGTAGAAACTGGGGTAAGTAATGGGAGTTCACACCCCATTGGGTCTTGAACCTGGGCTATCAGCTTTGCAGCTGACAAGTTCAGTGTCTAACTGCTGAGCCATCACGCCTCTACAATCAAATAAATAAATGCCTATTATTACAAAATTTTCATTGTTACTGATTCAGTATTTCTGCCCCTGTTCTGATATAGATTATCACATCTTTTAAACCGTAACTACCCAAAGAATTATGAACCCACAATTAATGGATTATGACAGTAGGACAGACTAGGAGAGAAGTAGCATAGATGAATCATTACAAATCTTACCCTATGTAATAAATATAACAGAATCCTGTAAACATATAATTGTTCTTACTTGGGGAAACTTGACATTTTCCTTACTTAGATGAATCTTGATCATTTAATAGATGACTGATGAGATTTAAGAGATGAAGACCTTCTGACGTAAGACATGTTATCATGTCTATGTATGATAACATCAAATTAGATAATGAACATTGATAGCATACCCAAGATCTTTCATTTCTAGGTCTGTGAAAACAATTAGTCCAGAAACGGGAGAATTTATAAGGTTACTCAGCTGAGCCTTTGGCAATGATTGCTTTAAAAGGTTATTAGTAATACTGCTGCCAACAATCTTAATAAAATCAATAGTTATATTTTGGGAGATAGCTAAAAATAACTTTTTGTGTGCTTGCATATTAGAGTTTGATACCTTACCTTACTCCAATTTGTTTCTGTTATAATTTTATATATATATACAGAATAAGGAATAATAAATAATTTTTAAAAATCTCATTTAAAATATGATAACAAAAGTTAACAGAACAATAGATAAAGGAGAGAAGGACAGGGAGGACTGGATTACCAAAACAATTTAAACTTCAGAGTTATGTCTCCAATTTGTGTAACATGATACTTTTTCCAAAGTGGGTGTAAAAGCAACAACATGAGTCAGTGACCTTCTGAGTCTAGAATTATGAACTGGGGGCAGGGAGGGTTTAGAAATGTAAAATATGTTTCTTTACTGCGCTTCTTGATATTTTATTGGAATGTGATTTTTGGAGTGAGTTTCAAAGCCACTCTGCTCCTTTCTAGCATTTTTTGTTCTAGTGACATAATTTTTTTTAGAGCATAACTAATGCAAAACTAGTTAAGGAGTGCTGAAATTAAAGGATATATTTTTATTATTATCATTTCTTTTTACTGATGAAATATCTACTATTAAAAATCTCATAGCTATCTTTTCTGATATGGCTACTCAATTGTATTGTTTATAATTTATTAAATTAATAATTTATTATTTATCACATTTCTGTGATTTTTGGTGAGGGAATTAAGGGGAGTTTGAAATATGGTGTTTTAAATTCTCTAAACAAATATAATTCTGAATTCGTAACATGAATGGGATGGATTGAAGAGAGAAGGAAAGCAGACAAGGAATCTGTATAGTTCTTTAGGAAAAAGTGGTGTATGAGAAGAATGGACGTCACTTCTTTTAACTAGCAAATACAAGAACACAGTTTTTCTGGAAGAAACCCATTTCCTGAACCTTGTGAGTTTCTACTTCAGAGTTGCTATTCGGTTACCTTCATGCAGTTTTCTTCCCAGCGGTAAGAACCATGGCTGGTGTGAGACTTCGGGGACTAACATCTTCCAAACTCTATCAACGCCGACAAGAGCGCCTGAGTGGCATAGTGTCACTATTGAATGATGAGAAAGAGAGGGCAACTGGGATATTGGGGTAGGTTATTTGGATACCTCCTCAGATTAACAGTTGCTGATATATTTAAAATGTTTGCTCTGACTTACTTTGAAGTGGAAAGTAAGGAAAACCAGGTTGGGATTCCTCCCTTTGCTTGAAGGAAGTGCTGCTTTGGCTCTGATAACATCAGTTCTGTATAAAAACAGGAAATCTGCTATGGAAACCTTCATCACTTGAAGTTAAAATAGGTTAGTGTAACTAGCACTGCATGAATAGACTTAAAAGATATTTCTTATCTTACTTGCCAACAAGAATCAATTTATATTTTTTTTCCACCCAAAATAAGTTTACAATATTAATGCTTTGTTTAATTTTTGTGTTCAACATGCATGATTATACTGCAAAAGAAACAGGAATTCTAATCCTTTAAACCGGGCAAATTTTCCATATTTTCTGTCTTTAAAATATATGAGAATCTCCCTTCTAAAAAATCGGTGATCTTTAGAAATAATTTAGTTTTCAAAAGATATATTCTTTATGCATAGTTCAGTCAAATATGTCTCATTTCTCCTTAACAGAGAATTTGATGCATAGTGAGGCATTTACAATGAATATTTTAATGGGTTTTTTTAACACATGTAAAACCACTAGATGAGGTCATCAGGAGTTTGGGTGTTGGTTGTTATTAAAATGCTAATGATACCTGTATCTATTCTTACATTTTTTTCCCTAAGGCAATGGGTTTGTCTTCCAGACAAAATATAGTTATCAGTTTAAAATCCCAAATACTTTAAATTTGAATTGTTTGAAACAATTCCTTTCTCTATATGATCCCCAAATTTAAGATAATCAGAGACATCTGTTTTGAGTGCCTCCAGCTTACGCAGTGATAGTTTAGGAATAAGCTTTTTCTATCATTGCTCCTGAATTATAGGTAGAAAGCAGCCCATATAGGTATCACGAATCTATTCCCTTAAGAGGGGTTCAAGGAAGCTATAAATCCCTGCTTTCAGTCTCTTCTAATGATACTTAATAGCTTTACATTTTAATTTGACTTTTATTTTTTATTATTTTGATCTGTTTATAGTATTTTTCTTTAAATTTGGTTTGGTTTGGTTTAAATTTTGATGTAACTTTGGTCCAGAGGGATTGAATGGATTGGAACTATAGTCTAATACTTATTACACTAGAATATCCGTAAAAGGAGTTCATATAACAAAATGTTATGTAAGTATAACTTTATGGATATAAAATGTTGGCTGACTCGTCTCATTATACAAGAATGAAAAAACTATGCTTACTATGTATCTGTCTTCTATTTAAACTGTAGAGGAGCCTTCCCTATCTTGGATTCTGGTCATTGATCTCTTGGCATGCAACCCTGCCATATGTTTAAACACATAAACAAACCTACTTCCTCTCATCAAAGATCAGCTTGCAGAATTCTGAACCAATTGCAGTCTGTGAATTATCTTCAAGGCAGCCTCAAGGAAAGCGCAAGTTAAGGTGTATATGCTAAGTCACTATTGTGAGATTATCTCAATTCTCAAAGGGTTGCAACTAGGTTCTCCTTACGTAGTTACATTCAGTGTAAGTTAGTGTACTTGTATATAGTGATTTTCATTCTCTCAAATATTACCCAGACTCTAGAATCATCTTTGAGGTGGTCGGTGATTGTCCTTGCTACAGCTGCTGAAAATCTAAGCCAATCAGTACTTCCTCAAGCTTGAAGGATAGGGAAGAAAGCAGACTTCACTGTTGTGGGAATCTCTCTAGTACCCAATTTCTCCCACACAGTGTCTCCACGGCATCCCTCTAAACAGTTGGCAGTTGAAACAGTTGAAATTAAAGACGTTTTTTTTATCATGTCTTTTAAAAACTACCGTAGTTTGCGGATGAGCTCTGCTAGTCTTCTTCCATGTTGTCCTTGCATTATATGTTATAGATGACTCCTGTTTTTTGCTTCTTGGGCTACTGGGTCATTTTGGTTTGCTTAAGATATTTTGAAGGGCTTTCATTTGTATGTTACTGTGATGCCATGTGGTTGCAGTAGTCTGTTTATTGTTTGTGCGATGTTTTTGATGTATGGGAGTGCAGCGGGTTGTGTGATTTGATACTTTTTGATAAAGTTGTGTGGGTATCCATTTTGTTGGAAGATGTCTAACTCCTATCTTACGTTTCATAACTCCTAATGTAAGTTACGAAAGCTTGCTGCTGTTCTAATCAAAGACATCTTTTACTATCTGACATTTTTAACATTTTGCAAGTAGGTGGCTATGTGGGATGGATGAGAAAATCCAGAAATTCTTGTAAAATGCTTGTAAGGTCAGAAGTAACAAAAGGCATAACCTCTGGCAAGATGCAGATCGTGGTTTTTTTTTTCTCTCATGGAAATTCAAACTTCTGTTCTTGTAATCCATTAGCATTTAGTTTTCCACGTAGTACTCATCTGGAAATGACATTTGTGTCATGACAATCTCTATCTCCCATTTTTATTTATTAACACTCTTCTGGTATTTTGGCAGTCCTTGCTTTGAACAGTTAGCATAGAAGTTGAAAGCATCAATAGAATATATCTATAATATTTCTAATACCGGTATACTATACTTTATTCTAAAGCAGGGGTGTCAAACTCAAGGCCCGTGGGCCAGATCCAGCACGTGGGGTGCTTAAATCTGGCCTGTGGGGCTGGCCTGGAAATAGCAAAGGACCAGCCCGCAGTGCCTCTGGCAGCCAAAAAGGAGCTTGGGGGCCTGTCCGCGGCCTCCCCACGGCCCATTTTTGGCCTGGATAGCCTCCTGCAGCACTCTGCCGACCAAAAGTTGGCACCCCACCCCACCCCACTCCACCCCATTTTGGCTGGCAAAGTGTTACAGGAGGCGTCCATCCCAACTTCCATATTCCCCCACCCCCCGGCCAGTCCGCAGAAGAGAACTACAATGCTGATCCAGCCCTCGAAGAAATCCAGTTTGACACCCCTGTTCTAAAGGATCTCTGGTCTATTATTTTTAAGCCATTAAAAATAATGGGAAATAGCTCATGAGTTCACAAGTTAATTATAAAAATTAAAAGGCAGGATACAAATAAATCAGATTCACAAATCATATAGAAAAATTAACAAGCAGTCACCTTCACAAACAATATAAAAGCTGATATATGTATAAAATTCAAAAAAATTAAATCATTATTCTACATACATATTCAAAGAAACTGGTAATGGAAGAGGTAGCTGTATTAATCTATTGGAGCAAAATTTGTTGCTTTTTACAAACAAAAGAAAAAGTAATTTTATAGAGAAAATAGCATTAGAGCTAAGTACTTAACCCAGCGGATTAGTTGTAGAAAGCCTGGTTTGTAATGTATATAAAAAATAATGGTTACACTCAGTTTTGCTAAAAATGGAGGTGTTCTAGTGATATTTATTTATTTACTTATAACCTATCTTTCACTCAGGAGCAAAAAGATGTTCCTTCCTCTTATTTAGTTCTATAATATCATTCCTCTGAGAGAATTCTAACAGAACATTAAATGTAGGATATGTTTCCTGCCAGGCATCAAAAATTTGTGAAAATGTCTTACAGGATATAAAATATTCTACCTTTAATTATGAGGTATTAATTGTCAACAGAAAATCAGATTTCAAAAGGGAGGTTCTTTTGTTTTGAAAATGACTGATGTTCCCAAAAAGACCAAATCCATGTACTGAAATCGTTTTTTTTAGTGGACATTTTTCCTAGATGTTCAGATGGCAAAAAGTATATTGTCACAATTACATTTTGTGTACCACAATATCCTTTCTGAATCCTTTGGTCCTTCAAATGGTTATCTGTGCCTTGTGAACATCAAGATTACATAACTACAGTGTGGTAGGAAAAAGAGGAGAACCATGCAGATTTTTTAAGTGAGTTTTGCCCGTTTTACAACTTTTCTTACCACTGTTCTTAAGTGAATCATTGCAGTTAAGTTAGTAATTCAGTTGTTAAGTGAATCTGACTTCCCCATTGACTTTGCTTATCAGAAGGTCGCAAAAGTTGATCACATGACCCTAGGACATCACAACCATCCTAAACCAGTTGCCAAGCATCTGAATTTTGATCACATGACCAAGGGGATGCTGCCATGTCATAAGTGTGAAAAATAGTCATGTCATTTTTTTCAGTGCCTTTGTAACTTTGAATAGTCATTAAACGAACTATTGTAAGTCGAGGACTACTTGTATTAACACTCAGTAGTATTAAACAGGTTACAAATATATGAAAACGACACTGTAAAATTAATTGGGTATAATTAGCTGTATATTATGCATATACAGCTTCTGGGTATGGATTCTGCAACCCAACAAGACAGACATAGACTTCAGAGGATAATTAGAACTGCAGAAAAAACAATTACTACCAACCTGCCTTCCATTGAGGACCTGTATACTGTACAAGTCAAAAAGAGGATCCCTTGCATCCTGGACGTAAATTGTTTCAACTCCTGCTCACAAAACGACGCTATAGAGCACTGCACACCAGAACAACTAGATACAAGAACAGTTTTTTCCCGGATGCCATCACCCTGCTAAACAAATAATTCCCTCAACACTGTCAAACTATTCACTAAGTCTGCATTACTATTAATCTTCTCATCGTTTCTATCACCCATCTCCTCCCACTTATGACTGTATGACTGTAACTTTGTGACTTGTATTCTTACGATTTATATTGATTGTTTCCTAGTATGATTTGATTTGATTGCTTATTTGTACCCTATGACTATGACTATCATTAAGTGTTGTACCTTATGATTCTTGATGAATGCATCTTTTCTTTTTATGTACACTGAGAGCATATGCACCAAAGACAAATTCCTTGTGTGTCCAATCACACTTGGCCAATAAAGACTTTTAATAATTCTAATAATTCTAATATGACATAGCAGAATTTAGCTATATTTAGAGTAATACAGACATGAATATCTGAAAGTAAACATAAATAAAATTGATCAGAATGAACAGGAAATTTGCTTAAATGTGGGGCTCCCCTTGAAGAGCACTCGGAGGCTCCAACTGGTCCAGAATGCGGTCGCGCGGGTGGTTATGGGCGCAACTCGTTGTGCCCCCGTGACACCCCTCCTGCGCGAGCTGCACTGGCTCCCAGTGGTCTTCCGGGTGCGATTCAAGGTGTTGGTCATCACCTTTAAAGCGCTCCATGGCACAGGACCCGGGTACCTTCGAGACCGACTTCTGCCACCAACAGCCTCCCACCGGCCAGTTCGCTCCCACAGAGACGGTCTCCTCAGGGTGCCATCAGCCAAGTTATGTCGGCTGGCGACACCCAGGGGGAGGGCCTTCTCTGTGGGAGCCCCAGCCCTGTGGAATGAACTGCCCCCAGAAATACGTAAGATCTCCGACCTCCGGGTGTTTCGCTGCGCACTGAAGACCCTGTTGTTCCGCCAGGCCGGGCTATCAACATAATAATTTTAAATTGGGGTATTTTAAATTTTCGGGGTTTTAAACCGGGCCAAATCTATTTAATTATTTTAATTTTTAATCATTGTTTTGTCTTGTGTTTTTAAATTGGCTGTACACCGCCCTGAGTCCTTCGGGAGAAGGGCGGTATAGAAATAAAATTATTATTATTATTGGTTAATCTTTAGTGAGATTCACAGCCTTTGAGGCTGGTTAATAGCTCAGCAGCTCGAGTCCTAACCAAGGACCTAGGAACTGTTAAGGTATCGTCGGAGGATGTAAGCTGTTCCGAGTAAGGTGGTTTTTTGTAGAGTCAAAATGTTCAAGTCCGGCAAATTTAGAATTTCTAAATAGCGGGGTAGCCCTTTGGGTATTGCTCCGAGGGCTCCAATTACAATCGGGACAACACACGATTTCTTTTTCCACAGTCGCTCAACTTCAATTTGTAAGTCCCGGTACTTTGTGATTTTTTCTTGCTGCTTATCTTCAATTCATGCATCACCAGGTATTGCAATGTCAATGAACCATACTTTTTTCTTTTCAACTATTGTTATGTCAGGTGTGTTGTGGACCAAGTGCCTGTCAGTCTGAATCCTAAAGTCCCACAAGATCTTGAGTTTCTCATTCTCTAAAACTTTCTCAACCTGATGTTCCCAGTGGTTTTTGCTATACTCAAATCCAAACTTCTGGCACAATTTCCAGTGAATGATTTTAGCAACACGGTCATTATTATTATTATTATTATTATTATTATTATTATTATTATTATTATTATCAACTTTGACTATATGCCAGCATAAAATGGCCAATATATAAAAAGAATTTAACAGTTTCAGTAGCCCTTTTGCTACATGGCAAAACCTCAGTCCAAAAAGGATAACTTTGTATCTCTGTTCTATGACTGCAGTAGGCATCAAATCAGGCTGAGGATAATGCCATCCTATATTTAATGATTTCAAGTAAGGTAGCAGGTCTACAAAGAGTGAATGGTTGATCAGAAGTAAACCCATGGAAAGAGATACCAGGTCTAATCGGAGATCAGTATTTTTAATCTGCTGCTTTGACATTACTATTGCATGTACCCAAATATACAGAGTTAGATCAGTGAAAATCCAAGGAACGCCAACTTTTTTTGCCTATTTGTAACCAAGGGTTGATCTCAATTTGACTGAGTTCTTCACAGTAAAGAATTGCTTTTGAGAGACAGCAGGGACTTGAAATATGTTCCTAAAAATTGATCTGAATTCTTTCTAGATGGCCAAAGAACTGTCTGGGTCTCATTGGGCACCAAATAATAGCTGCATTCTAACTTCAGAAGACAATTGGAAGGAATACAATTGTTACTTTGATTTGTCTCAATTTTAATCAAAATGTACAGATTACTTGGGAGGTAAAAAAGAAAGGTAAAGGTGGGTGGTTTTGAATGCTTACAAAAACCCCCATTGTCTAGCTTTGAATTTAGAAATTAAAGGGGGTCTAGTTAGAAGCCACTTGTAGAACACTTTCATCCATGACCTTCTACAGATGTTTCCATGAAGTCTCCAGGAACTGAACATAGCCTGAAAAAGCTTTACCTTGACCTATGCTGCTTTTTAAAGGTAGTTTAAAGGGCATCCTTAATAGCTACTACCACTTTATGTAGTTTTCTGTGACTTTTTGATAAAACACCATTTAAATCATAATATATTAATATTCTGTAGATGGCATTAAATAAGAGCCAAGCAAATAGCTCACTTTCATTTGAGAGATAGAAGACTACTTCTTTCGATATAATTAAGCTCCATTGCTTTATAGTACAAGAGTCTATGTATTTATTAAAAGTCCAATTACGAGTTTAATCCCCATTAAGTATACAAAGGATTGCATCCTTAGAGTCAGATAGACTGTTAATTGAAGTATAGTCACTAGCCTAGTGTAGTTCTGCACCAGAGACACATTCCTTGTATGTCTAATCACACTTGGTTAAATAAAGCTGTTCTATTCTATTCTATTCTATTCTATTCTATTCTATTCTATTCTATTCTATTCTATTCTATTCTATTCAGGATAATTAAATATTTACCTTCTAATTATTTTTATAATTGGCACCTCTACTGTGCTTGAATCTAAATAAAGGTATAAAATGGACTTTATTTTTTATTACTGTAACTTAATTTAATGGCTACACTTTGCATTTAGAAATATTTTTCATTTTTCTCTTGTTTCTCAGTAATATGTCAGATGCCCTTGCAAATGCTGTATGTGAACGCTGTCGAGCCCGTTTTGATCCAACTGAACGTATTGTAAACAGCAATGGAGAACTGTATCATGAAAACTGCTTTGTCTGTGCTCAGTGCTTTCGCCAGTTTCCAGATGGCCTCTTCTATGATGTGAGATTATTATACTTTTAATAGTTGGGAAAGTTACTTAGTTTTTTTCCTTCCTTGACTGAGAAGCATAACTGAACTATTTTCTATGCAGTATACAATTGCCTCAGTTCTAATTTCAGTGTTCCATTTCTCTTTTCTCCCCTATGTAATTTTTAATATCATCCATTCAGCAGAGTCTCACTTTCTTAGACAAGTAGCTAGAAGAGTTCAGCAATCACCAGTTCAGGTACTGTGCTAACCAGATTTCTTCAGCTTAGAATCTTGGAGAAATATTGGAGTTGGAACTCAAAAAAATTCTAGCCAGCATGACTTAAGAAAGTGCTAAATTATAGTTTAGGGCTATGTCTACTAGCTTGAAACCCTGTACTCCTTTCACATCCTCTTGCAAAAAGTGATATTGGAAGCTCTCATTTCTGTGAGCATTAATTGAAGATCACAAATCCAAACATTAAAAAATGAGTACTTTTTTCTGGGATGTGTTTAAACCAATGTCATAAACCAAGCATGAAACCTACATGTTTTAGTTAACCATAGTTAAGAGCAACCATAGTTTATCCAGCTTTAAACATAACATTATACTGTAGTCAGTTAACATTAGGAACCATGATAGTGAAACAGAAGGAAGGGAAAACTAATACTAAAAGAATAGGCTAAGTATGTCTCCCTTTGTTTTTGTTAATTGATTTAATTTAATAAAAATGCAAGGCTAAACAACGTCAGAAAATCATGAGCTATTATCTCTTGTGCATTAAAAGCAAATCTTTTTATAGTCAGTAAAAAAGGCATATTTAAAATCAGAGAGAGTAGCTAGCAAAATGAGATGAGTGCTATTACAAAATATCTAATTAATATTACAATTATAATAACTATTGTGATTTGAAGGTGGGTTAATGTTTTGGAATGAGCTTCCCAAAAGTAAGAATCAGTAATGCAAGATTCCCCCAGATATTGATGAGGGAATACTATTGCTTTGTATCTGCACATTCTACAGTTCTTGGTATGGTGAATGTTTTATAAAGATATGTTTTCCTGCATATCTCTTTCAGTTTGAAGGGAGAAAATATTGTGAGCATGATTTCCAGATGCTATTTGCACCATGCTGTGGGGAATGTGGTAAGGTTTCCACATAAATGATTCAAATCTAATTTTGTCTGTTTATTAACAATGTTTGTAAACTATCTGATTATGAGATCCTGGGTGTTCTATAACTAACTTCTTAAGCAGAGGCAGTAGAGAGCAAATTAAAAAGAAAATATTATAATTTATTTATGACTCCACTGGTCATAGGTAAGAACAAAAATAATGCATGGAAAATTGTATTTTTTTAAAAAGACATTCAGAACTTTATAATGGAATCTTTGTGGTTCAGTGAAATAGATATTAGTTCTGTCTCTAACAAACCTGTATTTATCTCAGTGACCTTGAGCAAGTTAGACATACTCTTAGGTTTCTCATTACTGTAATAAAGCAGACTACAAAATGTGTTTTAAAAAATTTGCTACCCAACTACTACTATGGAATTCTAAGGACCAGGGAGTCTTCTGAAATGAATTAAGGTTATAAAGTGTGGTATTTCTGTTTCAAGGTGAATTCATCATTGGCCGAGTCATCAAAGCAATGAACAATAATTGGCATCCCGAATGTTTTCGTTGTGAACTCTGTGATGTAGTTCTTGCTGATTTGGGTTTTGTGAAGAACGCTGGCAGGTAAGAATAGATAGATAGAAATATATCTGCATTTTATATGTTAAAATGTTAGCAGAGATAGGCATAGAAACTAAATGTGAAGTTGAATGCATTGTGTAAGATAGTAATAAGTTATGGAAAGGAAGATATGTCTCTAAAAAGTCTGAGATTGAATGTATTAGCAGCCATTCTCAAAATGGTAATTCTTTTAGACAAAATGCCAGGAAGTAGCTAAGCGTCTTTATAAATACAGTTATATTAAGATAAATAATACTTACCAACAGTGTTGGTAGTGTTGGTGGATAGACAGAATTTTGCACCATTATAAACAAAATTGCTTTATTCTCCTTTTGAATGTATTTTCAGTTATGTAAGAAATATAACAGTTTTTAAATATACATTTTAAGTACAAATGTGAATATAAAGAAAGTAAAAATAAAAGACAATAAATGCAAAAATAATTTGGAAAAAAAACACAAAATAGAATAGCTTCAAAATACATGCAGCAACTTTCCATTTTCTAGCCTATTCTTAGCATTTACGTTATTTTCCTTAATGAAAATAATATTGGAAATTAAACATTTTATTTATTTGTGAATTCTCTGAACCTATCTTTATGTTTTATATTTCTTCTATCATATTGGCTAATAGAGTTTAGATTACTAAAAATAATTTTTAGAAAAATTAAAGGCAGTCCTTGTGCCTTTTCTTTAGTAGATATTAGGTATTTGTGGTCACAACATACTTCAATTTAGAAAACAGAACTCAACTGCTAAAAGGCAAATGGAAGTAATTTACACTGTTTTAGCTAAACATTTATGTGCATATGTTCTAAACATACTGGAAAACATCAAAACTTATAAAATGCACAGTATAAAGTTGACTAGGATCTGAAATGTAGCAATAGCACTTAGATTTATATACCGCTTCATAGTGCTTTACAGCCCTCTCTAAGCGGTTTACAGAGTCAGCATATTGCCTCCAACAATTTTATTTTACCCACCTCAGAGGGATGGAAGGCTGAGTCAACAGCCTGGTGAGATTTGAGCTGCCAAATTGCAAGCAGTCGGCAGCCTGCAGTACTGCAGTACTGCACTCTAACCACTGAGCCACTGCCGCTCATGTAGAAAGATAACAAGCATGATAGTACAAACTAGTGATAGAACTGCAGCAAAGTTACATTGTCAAAGTAAAGCAGGTAGCTGTACAAGCTCAGTTGCTCCAGCTTCAGATCATCATTGTTCTAAGACAATATGGCAGACTCAGTCTACATTAAGTAGGGCTAAGTGCCCAGCTGGACTTACATCTTACATTATTAAAGTGAATTGAGTTAATGATTTGTAGCAAGCTCTCTAAGAATTCATTAACCATATTAAAAAATCTGCATATAAAATAAATTGTGGTTTGTGCATTCACTGCTATTGAAAATGGTATCTACAGCCAAAGCTGTAATTAAAAGGAACACTTCGTTGAAATGTGATGTTTGTAATTTATTCGTCTTGAGATGTAATAAAAAGCATCAGCAGCTTTCGTAATCATCTACAACTATGGTAGGAGAGTTATAAAGTTTGTTTAAAACTAAACCCCATATTCATAAACCTCTCAAAAGTTTGCACTGTAGATGTAAATGTTGAACAACTTTGGGGCTGAATTCCTGCCTGCCTTGTTATATTGCAGATTGCACAAAATAGGATTTGGACAGTTCTTGGATATTACTAAAACTTCTCTATCCACTGTTTTAATATTTTAAATGGTCAATTCTTTCATTACCTATGAACATTTATTTTCTGGAGAAGTTACCAAACTTTTGTTCACTGAAATTTCAATTTATATTTTAATGGAGTTATTACTTAGTGCTATTTGCTATGCAAAAATTATCACAAGATTCATAATTTCAGACAACCTGATCTAATTGTTGAAATGGTTATGATAAGGTAAAGTTGCCTCTTAATTGTCTGTAGATCAAAAGAATGCTTATGAAAAATCTTATTGGCAATATTTCCACTGATAGTAACATTCAAAAGAGTATTCCAGGAAATCAAAATAATTATGTGTCCTGATAGTCTTTGTAACTATTATCTCTGTAATTCCCCTCCACTCACCCATCCCAGAAAATTAAAAATGCTAGGGAAAAGGCAAAAAAGGGAGATACTATCCATCATGGCCAACAAGGAATAGCAGGGCTTTCGAAATAGCACCATCTACCACCTCCCTACTTCTTCCCAGTTAGGATTGTGTATATGCTTATCCTTAACAATTAAGTATTAGATCTTGTGTTTTTGTAGAAAAGAAATTCTACTTTCTAGGAGATCAAATTGTACTGGACAATAAACTTTTGTTAAGGAAGCATTTTGTTTTCAAGTATTTACAGTTCAGATTTAGCACTTAAAGAGCTGTCGTTTGTTTTCCCATCATAACTTGAAGGTAATCTTGCAATTCTTTTGGGGCAAAACAAACCACATAAGGCCTCTTGAAACTTTTCAGCGACAAAAAAATACATGACAGGATCTAGGGCACCATTTAAGCTGGTGAGGCACGAAGTAATGCGATTGCCAAGTGCCAGGATCCTCTGCATTGCACAAGAAGTCTTCACACCATCATAATTGAGGATATAAATGTAGCGGTTGACATGATAGGGCACAAAGCAGACCAAGAAGATTGTAAGAACCATGATTATCATTTTGATGGCTTTTTCCTTTAGATGATTTTCAATGCGGTGCCCCTTCTTCAGGCTTCGTATGATCAGTAAATAGCAGGTTACTGTAGTAAAAAATGGAAAAGTGAATGCGATAGCCAGGGAGACAAGAGCGTGGCGTGATGCTTTCTCCCTGTAGAGTTGGAGGCAGATGGTGGTATTATTCATCTCAACTGTTTGCACACTGATCAAAAGAGGTGCCATGGCCACGGCAACTATAACCCACAGGAAGGCACAGGTCAAATGAGCATAGAGTGACCTGCGGAGTTTGAGGGACTTCACAGGATGCACGATAGCTAAGAAGCGATCTATGCTGATGCACATGAGGAAGTAGATGCTCGCATACATGTTGAGGTAGAAAAGAAACCCTGTGAGTCGGCAAGGGAGCTCTCCAAATGGCCAGTGATTGCCTGAAAAGTGGTAGACCAACCGAGTTGGTAAGATGAGCACAAAAGACAGATCGGCTACAGCAAGATGCATCAGGAAAACATTGGCAGGGGTATCTGATTTTTGGTCCCGAATGAAGAGCCAGAGTGCCAAAACATTGCCCGAAAAGGCTAGGATGAAATTGAGAAGGTAGAAAATAGCAAAAAGGATGTTTTCCATGTGACTCTCTTTGCCACATTGCTCTGAATTTGACAGGGAAATGTTGAATAACAGGCCTGAAGAGTCTGCTTGGCTGTTCATTCCTCACAACTGTCTTCAATGAGAGCCTGAAATACCAAATAAATAAACTTGGATGAAAATATTACAATATCAAGAAATCTGTATTTTATTATTTATTATATGAACTAGTAAAACTTGCTGGGTTTTTTCCTTGCTATTGGATGTTGATTAGTGTTGTCTGATAATCCCCTCCCCAGACTTTTGAAAAACCCACCTCCAGATAATCGGGAGATCCTCTAGAATTAGTTGCATAAACAAACACGTTCTATATTGGCACATGAATCCCAGCCATTCTTTTTATAAACTATGCATGAAAATTAGGTACAATTCTAGGAAAGGATGTTCTATTTTAAATTTTTTGGTTACCCATATTTCAATTAATTGCCCTACTTGTCATAGGTACAGAAGCCTAATTATCCATATATATAATATGCAATATTATGTTTTTATGTATGTATGTATGCATATATGTATACAAGTACCTTCACTTGAAGTTCCAAAGAAGCGGTACATACTGTGCATTGATTGTATCATTTGCTTGATTGAAAGTGCTTTGTAGACAAATCTTTGTAAATAAAAGTGATATAAATACTGGAAAAGCTTCTGTTCCTATGGTTAATTTCATTCAAGTCTTTAGACATAATGAAAAGCATAGAAATCATATAAATGAAAAACTCACTATTATTTGGATCTAACTCTAGTATTACTTGGAACTTAAAACACTTTATACTAATTGCAAGTGTTAATTTTGCAACTAGACCACAGAGTGTTCCAGATATTTCAAAAAAGATAAAATAAAGAATTTCCTCTACAGCAAAAAGATAGGATTACTTTATGTCTTAATGAAGCTTGAACAAACATTCCCAAGTTTCCCAGCAGATTGTCTTTTGTTTGTATTCAATTTTCTAGTTTATTAAGAGAATCATAGCTAATTGTCTTAAAAATACATTAGAAATCACAGCTATTCTATTTTCTTAGAACAGCAACGCTTTTCATTCTTCATTCATCCAAAGTGAATGATACTTCATAACACTCTTATGAGTATTATGAAAATTAAAAAATCAACTTGTATCAATTTGTTGTAACTTGGTGGGTAATTCATTTATAAATGTAATATTTAGTTCGCAATCTTCTATTATGGATACATCTAGTAATATTGAGTAGAACACCCAACTGTGTTCTTATCATTATAGACAGCACCTTTTGAATAGTAATAACAGAAACTGTTCGTTTGGAAACACCAATACAAGTTAGGAGATGCTGTATTTTCTAGGCTAATAAATGTTGCCCACTCTGATACCAAAGCTCTTACCTCTTGCAGTTTGCTTGCAGTCCGATCGAGTTGTGATGAAAACCTTTGAGCTCTTTATAACACCAGCAAATTTAGGAAAAAGAACACAGCTGTAAAAAGTTCCATCAGGGGTTGACTGTAGGAAGTTCAGTGAAAAGGGTGCCACACTATATAGAGTTCTGCTAGGTGTGATATTCCTTTATCATCTTGCTCACAGAAGAGGAGGGGAGATAACATGCCAGTTGTGAAAGACACTCTTAATTCCAGCTAAGCTGTTGGAGGAGGGAGTTGCTAATTGTTACTGTATTTATGAATATTCCAATGTTTTCCCTGCTCATTAAAGCCTCTCTCTTTGGATCTCTGCTTTTTACACTGTGCCTTTGGAGTCCTCTGGCTGCCTTAGAGGTCTTGGAGAGTATTGCAGAAGGGGAGGGGAAATCTAGTGCTACAGACACAACAGGACATTTCAGAAAGGGATAATTCCATAATGGTGGGAATGCGGGTGAGAAGGACGGCTACCATAGTAACGGCTTTGTGATTCTAAGACCTCCCTTTGCTTTGCACTGGACAAGGATCTATAGGATAGTAGACAGGGGCTTCCAAATGAGCTGGGCTGCTAATGGTTTATCAGTGGAAAGGGCTGAAGGCCCCTTATTCAGTAAAACGGGAGGGCATTCTTCTTAGGACACTTGCAGTAGGGTCTCTATGTCTTGCCCTGTATAATTAGACTTCATTCCACAGAGAGGAATAAAATTGATGCCTTTATCCTGAGAGCAACACAGCTGCATACTCCCATTTATAAAGGGACGCTGTCTGCTTTCTTTCTGTGAACTGTAGCTCTTGTCTTAGTATCTTCAGCTTTGGGGAGGAAGAGCAGAGAAGACTTGTGAAGCAAGTGTGCTAATAACATTCCTTTCCACTTATGCGGACTGGGCTTTCTATTGGGGACTTGTAAGAAACACAAGATCCACAGTGGGCTCGTGGAACTGAGATTTATTATTAGCTCCTTTCTATTGATAAGGACCTAGAGGCCAAGTGACCTTGCTCGGATCTTTCAGGAAGCCTGGGAGACTGTGGCATTAATTTGAGTTGCTTGGGTCTTTTCTAATTGGTATTTGCACAGTTGTATCGATCAATAGCTTTCCATGTTATCTTTGCATTCAGTCCCATAAATGAACAAAATGGAGCATGTTCTATATAGGGAAAACTGAAAAATTAAATGTAAATGCATTTGTGTGTACTTGTATGTTTGAAATTTCGTGACTTTTTAAAAACCATAAGTAGATGCACAAAAATTCCATTTGCTGAAGAAAATAATGCTGTCATTTACCTAAACCAGTTCAGTGTTAATGTAATTCATGCAATCACAAGCTTCAAACATGGTTTATGAATTAATGTTCTCATTAAGATTCAGAAGCTCTGAAGTCTAACAAGCAATTTGTTTGTAAATTACTGTTATTTGAATGATACCTCTCAACATTTCTCTTTCCAACTGCACTTTAGACATCTCTGTCGGCCTTGCCACAATCGTGAGAAAGCCAAAGGCTTGGGCAAATATATTTGCCAGAAATGTCACTTGATAATTGATGAGCAGCCTCTTATGTTCAGGAACGACTCCTACCATCCAGATCATTTCAGCTGCACCCACTGTGGGTATGTTGACCATGTGCTAAGTAGTTATAAATCTCCTTTTACAAGTAAATTATTGAATTGAATCTCCTCTGAACATGAATCGCCCATTAAGAAGCTAGATATAAAGTGTCCAAAGTACAAACTTAATTAGATAAACATTTACAATAGAAAACCTTTCTAAAGTTTAATGGACAATGGCTTAATATTTCTGATTTTTAAAATACAAGTCACAAACCAAAATCTACTATTAAAAGGGGTTCTTCCAAAGAATGTGTAAGAATGAATAATGAGGCAAAGGAAGTCTAAGAACTATATTTATATTTAAGAACTTTTCCCCTCTTCATGTTTGGCAAGAAGCCAGGTAAGTGCCTTTTTTTAGATTATGTAGTGACTATTACATAATTACTATCTGTGACAAATATTTGTCCCAAAGTCTTAATTACTAATGTTGTGTATAGGAAGGAATTGACCGCTGATGCCAGGGAGCTGAAAGGAGAGCTCTACTGCCTACCGTGCCATGATAAGATGGGCATTCCAATCTGTGGGGCTTGTCGGCGGCCTATTGAGGGTCGAGTGGTCAATGCTCTAGGAAAACAATGGCATGTTGAGGTGAGAGCTTCCCCATTCTGCTGCTGCTGGAAATCAATATTGCCCTTCCCTTTTTGATACAATGTGTTTTCCTCATTTAATAAACAGATATTGCCACTGTTCTTCGTACATAATGAAATCAATCTTTATTTTGCATTTAGCTAAATTTGTAGCCTGTCTTGTCCCAAATATATAAATAATAAAAATGCATGAAACAATAATAGATTAAACTGTTTTCTGCCTTAAAATATAAATTTACTAACTAATGTATTAGGTCAGGAAAATTGTGTCCCTCCAAGTGGTGTTGAACTACAGTTCCCAATTTCTGGAAATTGTTCCCAGCATGATCCATGATTAAGGTTAGGAGGAGGAGAAATTCAGAAACATCTGAAAGACCACAATTATTATTATTTTTTAAAATCCTCTTACTAAAATCTTATAATAAAAACTGTGAATAGGTTCCAACATTTCAAGACGGGATGGCTGTGAGTGAATCTCTCTTTGTCTTTTGAAATATAAGTACTGTACATCAAGTACAAATAAGTACAAATGTTAATCTCAATAGGACAATCAGGAAAAAAAAATAACTCATCTTCATAAATTATATCAAGATATTTCATAGCTTTATAGACTATCAGAAAATGTGATTGAAAGGCAACTAGAATCCATGGAAATACTGGAACATACATGCAATATGATTCAGTCATTGATACTACATTAGAAGATGTGGTTCAAGTCCGTAAATTACTGGTTGCACTGACTTTCATATACTGTTTTAAATCATATAATTCAAATTTTATGGTAAGTACATATTTGATGAATATATCCAAGTTGTTCTTTAATATTTTAAGATAATTTTATGAATATTCTGTTTTGATACCAAGGTATTTCATCTTGTGAAAATCTTTGTGAGAATCTAATATAGAAATATTACTAAATAAAAATAAAACAAGTGTCTAAAGAAAAGACAGTATTCCCAGTTTATAACCAACAGATATTTAGCTAGGAATGCTGTGGTAACAATGACTCAAAAGGTGCAATTGTGAACACTAGAATTCAAGTCCTGCACAAATATGAGTGTCATTGATAATGTTTGTTTCACATGAAATTTGACATCCCACCTCTGAAATGAAAGTAACAGGATTCTGGAGTGAAACACAACATTATTGCAGAGTTTGATTCTGGAATATCTAATTCCCATTTCTTCTTGGCTATTTGGTATAATTTAGAAGTCAGTATGCAGTAGCATAAAAATGAAATATCCTCAGACATGGTACTTTCTTAAAACCATTGTTTCTAGTTCTCCCTTGAAGGAAATGACTATACAAAACAATGAAATAACATGAGCTTGATATCTCTGGTTTTGCTTTTTTTTCCCATACGAAACTCCTTGGACATATCATTTGTTATGCTTGACATAGCAACTCCTTTGACCAAGATCCTTTGACATAACATGTCCTTTTCACTTTACAGCACTTTGTTTGTGCCAAATGTGAGAAGCCATTCCTGGGACACCGGCATTATGAGAAAAAGGGTCTGGCTTACTGTGAGACTCATTACAATCAGGTAAAGTTTACTGTCCTTTATAAGATACTTCGTTTCTCTTTCTCTTTTTTCTTTTCTTTATTTTGACAGGGTAAAGAAGGCATAATGTTTTCCTGTAAGATACAGATTTTGAACATTTAAAGATATAATAGACATACTAGTCTTAATAAGTATTTAACGTCTAGGAATATTTTGCACTTGGGACGGAAATGCAAATCAAATTGCCTCTAGGTTGGTTAACCATAAATAGCCATTCATAAGTATGGAGGGGAATGAAGGGCAAGAAAAAGAGAACTCAGTGCCAAGAGTTTCCTAGGTGGAATTTACTGGAAGAAAACATCATGTCTTGCAGTGGGAAATAAGGCATAATTTATTGTTTGTTGCAAGCTAGACTGCTGAAAGAAATAGATTATTTTTCACTGTGCTGTGCTTACTTATAACGAAACAAAAAGGTGCTTTAAAAACAACACTGGTTTCCACAGCTTTGTCAAAGGAGACTGATCAGTAGCACTGCTCAGTTACAAGAGAATCTGTAGTTTGGGGAAATTCTCTAGGAATTTCTCATTGCTCTATGGGGCATCCCTGCACTGGATCTCAAAGAGGTTTGCTGTCTTTTTTAAAAGGGCACAACGAGTTCTCTTTCCTCTCATTTCACATTATGCAAATTCTTCAGAACTGCATTTCAGATTGGAGTTGGAGTTGAGGGAAATTTTGCGTTGTTACCTCTTCATCCATTTTTCATTGCCTGGAGAATATAAGAGGCTTTTACTGCACATCAGATCTGCTGTCCTTTCTTTCCTCTGCAATTGATTTTAGTAGGCCAAATAAACATTAGAAGTATTTAGTGTTTAGGAAGGTCAACCTAAAGATATTTTAAATATTCGACTAAATTAAAAATATAGCCTGTCACACTGATGTAATATTTTCAAGTTATTATCAAGCACTTATCAGCAATTGAAGGAGCCTTCCCATGTGGCCAAGGGGCTCCTTAACTATAGAATGTATAATTGTTTAGGTTAATCTAAGGTACTCTCAAAGATCCTCTAAAAGAGATAAACCATATAACGTTAGATCCAAATTATTCCAAAGCAACAAGTACAATACTGATTGATTTTTAGGTATAAACTGGAAAAAATAATCTGAAAGTTATGAAGGAAAACCCTTCAAGCATGTAAATAAACTCTCCTTCCTTCATCAGGTCCTCATCTTATCTGTTATGGATAGATAAAATCAGAGCAACAGCTTTCAACTTCAAAAAATACAGTTCAATAAAGCAAAGATTTTGCTCTGATTCTGTACTTTAAAACTGTGCAAGATACGTAGTTTTTAGGAATTAAAACTTGATTCTTGTCAGTTCTGAAAGAAATGATGTGAAGGGAGTGAAATTCAGAGCAATAACTGAGATCACACCAATGAATAAACTGTAAGGGCTGAAACATTCCTTCCTTTCAATGAAAATTATGGCTTTTGTTCTTTTTTTATGCAGCTCTTTGGAGACGTCTGCTACAACTGCAGCCATGTGATCGAGGGGGATGGTAAGTCGGAGAATCTCAATACATCCATTGCAGTTCTGCATGAACAATTTTCAATGATTCTTTTCAAATCTGTCTACTGAATTTGGAACAATGCTACAGTGTGATAACATCCTATTCTTTACTATTTCTCACTAGTGGTATCTGCTCTCAACAAAGCTTGGTGTGTAAACTGCTTCTCCTGTTCTACCTGCAACATCAAGCTCACCTTGAAGTAAGTGGCCAGCAAAGACTCTCCCATAAGGGATTTTCATAAGAAAGGAATTGAAACAAAATGTCTTTATATGTGATCCCAGCACACCTGGAATACAGTGTCAGGTGCTGGTATAATAGAACTGAGCATCTCAAATGCTTAGTGGGCTTGAATAATTTCTCTGAGTGTCGGATACTTTAGCTTGGAACAGAGGCTAATAGAGTAAAGTCTATAAAGTCATTTATGCCATGAAGAAACTGAAGAAGAAGACATTTTATCACCCTCCCTTTCTCAAAACGTTAGGACCAGGGTAGTGGTGGGTTGCTACCGGTTCGCCCCGGATTGGGCAAACCGGTAGCGGTAGGCACCCATTCGTGTACCCATGAATGAACTGGTAGCGATGGGTTTTGAAACCCGCCCATAGACCAGGGATCACCCAGTGAAGTTGCCTGAAAGATTTAGAACAGGAAAGGAAAGCTATTCTTTATACAACTAATCTGTACAGCTAACCTGTGGAATGTATTACCTCTCGACCTGTTGATAGCTACTAATTTAAAGGACTTTAAAAAGGAATGCATAAATCCAGAGAGGACCCATCAAGGGCTTTTAGTATTCAGTTGTACCTCTGATTTGAAATCAGCCTGCCTCCAAAGATTAGTTGCAGGAATAATAGCAGAAACAGGTATGTTTCCATTTCTACTTGCAGTCATCTAGAGGATCTGGGTAACCGCTGAGTAAAACCAAAACTCTGACCCAGCAGACTTATTCTTCTTGTGGGTCTAAAGGACCAACTACAAAAATTGCCACAATAACATGACTGAAATAATTGGCTGATACCTTTGGTTATCTATCAAGGACACATTCCAACAGCAAGGGGAAAAAACATGATTAATTAGAAAAACTCCATGTAAGGAGGCTTACCTGGATAAGGCCAAAATAGCAGTCAATGAAATGTTTCTTTTAAATGTATAAGAATTACAGTATTAAGTTTGTCCTTCATAACGAAGGGTTCCTATACTGCTCCTGAGAGTTTAGAATCAATGAGCCACAGGAGAAACATAAGAATTATAACAGAATAACAGAATTGGAAGGGACCTTGGAGGCCTTCTAGTCCAACCCCCTGCTCAAACAGGAAAACCCTATACCATTTCAGACAAATGGCGTCTTAAAAACTTCCAGTATTGGAGCACCATAACTTCTGGAGGCAAATCATTCCACTGATTAAATATTCTGTCAGGAAATTTCTCCTTAGTTCTAGGTTGGTGTTCTCCTTGATTAGTTTCCATCCATTGCTTCTTGTGCTAACTTCAGGTGCTGGAGAATAGGTTGACCCTCTTCTCTTTGTGGCAGCCCCTTAGATATTGAAACACCACTAGTCCTTCTTTTCATTATAATAGGCATATTCCTACAACTGTTTTTCATTTGTTCTAGCCTCCAGCCCCTAATTATTACAAAAATTATTAAGTACACAATAAAACTAAAGTATCTAACAGTATTGCAGACACCAATAGTATCTTATGCTTGAATGGACACTTAAGTATTCTATTTTAAACCATAGGTTGAATGAGGCATTTATTTGTATGTAGATTTACTACCAGGACTTTGGAGAAAGTTGCCTATTAATAGTAACAATAGGAAAAATGTATCTCACATCTTCCCTATTTACGTAGTTTTCAAGCCCAACATTGCTTTTCTGAGTAGAATTTAATGGTAATGTATTTCTTTCAAAGGAATAAGTTTGTGGAATTTGACATGAAGCCAGTGTGCAAGAAATGCTATGAGAAATTCCCTTTGGAGCTGAAGAAAAGGCTGAAGAAGTTGTCTGAGCTGACCTCCAAGAAAACACAACCCAAAGCTCTGGATCTGAATTCTGCTTAAACAGGTCTCTGCCTCCTTCACACTGCACTCTTCTTCCCGAGTGGCAATCACCCAAGAATGGTTAAAGGGCCCAAGACACACAGAACCTCACCAGTTGCATTTTGTAATCTGAATGTTTTCTGCTCAGGTATATTGCGCAGAGTCTGGCCTTTGGGGAAAAAATGCTGTGGATATACATGAAGATGCACTATTTTCCTTTTGTTATAAATGTGTTTTGTGATTTTTTTCATCTTTCAGTATTAAAAGCCAGATTTATACTATATGTCACAGTATTCTATAAATTGTTAAAGTAAGTAAGTAAGGGGTAGAAGTGGGAAATAGGTTACATTCTACCCTTTGTGAACATTATCTTAAAATGGCAAGGGACTAATAAGTAGTGATCTAACAATTTCAGTTAAGCTATTATGACAATATGATAAAGCTCCACTGGTTTTATTAGATGGCTGTCCATATCACTGTAATGGTGAAGCTTGATGTGTTTTCTTTAACCAACAAAACATTTCAGCTGCTGAAACAGACACTAATGCTTAAGCTAAACTTCCTACCTACTATATATTTTCTCACACTGTAAACTAGAAACAGCAGAAAATAAGACCTGAATGGACCAAAACAATTTAGCTAGAAACCTCAAAAAGCTACTTTTTGAGATATAATGTCTCAGGCAAATATAGCTAGAACAGATAATTTGGTGGGGAGAGGTGAGGGAGGAGTCAGAATTTTAAACTGTTTCTTCCTGCTTAATAATGGCATCAGTGATTATTCTGTTAGCAACAAGATTTTGTGAACATCATTTGGTGTAATCCATATGCTACACTTTACAATTTATCTTCATTTTATTATGATTCTGCTAATGCCATTCCAAATACCTATACTGTATGGTATTATAGCAATACTTTGTCCCCTAATACTTTGGGTTTTCCATTTTGAACCTAACTAGTCTGTTCTTGTAACATAGTACTTGTGTTCTTGTGATCAGAACATGAAATGGAGCAGAATGATTAGTGCAGAGTAAGATGCTTATTTGACAAACATTGGTTTCTCTTCAGTAATTATAGTAAATATGTATATTATCTCCTACTTGGTTTATTATTAGCAACTGTGTTTGGCACAAAAGAGGTAATTTTTTCTCTGAAATCATACTTTTCAGTGTAATAGAAAAGGAAAAAATGCACAAGGAATAGCATAATTTTTTATAATTAAGAGCAGAAATCATATTCTCATTGAATGAATCATCAAGACCAGGGGTGTCAAAATGAAGTCCCGCAGGCCACATCTGACCCATGGGGTGCTTAAATCTGGCCTCAAAGGGTCGGCCACGGCCTGTTTTCGGCTTCCATGTCCTCCAGCAGCACTCTGCTGGCCAAAAACAGGCCGCACGGAACCTCCGCGCAGCCCCTTTCAGCCAGCAGAGTGCTGCAGGAGGACTGGATTGGACTGGATTACAATTATGTGGCCTCAAGTAAGTGCCTGATCTCAATAGAAAACAAGCAACGTTATGTTAATACTACAGTTTAATGCCAGATTTTACATACTGTAGGTCCATTTAAACTACAATCAACGATCTATAATTGGCAGCCATTTCTATTTACTATCCTGGAAATTAACCTCTACTGTTAGATCTTGTATTATCATGTTATTTATGCTATTGTATTTTTATTATTAGTTGAATAATAAAAATACAATAGTATAAATAGCTTTTGTGCCTGGAAAAGCAATTTACTATTAAACAATGGGATATAAATTTAGAAATAAAAGGTTTAATGAAGTATGAATGCATCTTGAGCCTGTGTCAAACGCCCACCATGGCATGCCTGCCCCCGGCCACCACCCTCAGCCCTCTGAGGTCAAACACAACCCTGATGCTGCCCTCAATGAAATTGAGTTTGACACCCCTTCCCATGTGATCTAGTAAGCTATTTGAACTCAGGTGTCTGTGAAATGCCATATCCATTTAAGCAAAGTAAACAAAGCATTAGGTTTATGCTGATTGTCAGTCTGTTATAATGTTGGAGCAACCCCTGCAACATCTTAGAGAGGTATATAAGCATTGTGCTCCATTTTTGTTAGAGCAGCAAAACTGACTGATTACATTGCTAAAGAACAGTGCACAGGCATAAGCCAGAAGTCAAAACACAGAACACCTTGGAACTTATATAGCGGTTTAGTTGAATGTGAAAGGCAGCTATATAAATTATATAAATGGCAAATCAATTTATTGTAGTGATGTTTTCCTCTGAGGTCATGTTAGATAAACACTCTTAACCTCTTACTAAAATACCCTTTAATCACCATAAAATAGACCAGAAGACTGAAGTTGAATGGGTTTTTTTCCCCCTTGGTGGTGCTATCACAGCTTTCAGCTATTCATATCACTATCATAAGCAGAAGCAAATCAAAACACCCTGTTGCATTATCCTACCCTGAAGACATGAATTATACCTATAGAGCCTGATTCTTACCAATACTTACTCAGTAACATACACACAGATATAAACAGGTAGGTGCCATAATGGGACATGTTTCCAGCTCATGTAATACAAATAGTTCTCAACTTACAAGCACAATTGAGTCTGGATTGTAACTCATTGTAGTCTTTAAGCAAGGCACCTATGTGACCACCTCCCTCAACAATTGCAGTGCAAGCTCCTGTCGCAGTCGATAAGCGACTGTGCAGGGCGGCCTCGGGGTGTGGAAGCCCTATGCCCACCAGCACATGGAAATCTGCTGCTGGCTGGGAGATGACAGCTGGCTAGGCCCACCACACTCCAGCCTGTACAAGGGCCCCATTTTCATAATGATTCAGAAGGACCCTTCTGCAAATTGTGCAACTTAGAGAAGGGGTCTAAGTTGCGCATAGTGAGAACAATAGCGTTTGACAGCATTTTCTCCTCTGGAGAGGAAAATGCTAGTGAAGCTGGAATTCTGGAAGGCTCTGAGACTCAGTATTCTGAAACTTTCAGACCATTAGCAAAGGTGACTTTCTGAAAGATTCTGAGCCTGAACGCTTGCTAGTACAGTATTTTTGCCAGATTTGAGTTCCATTCTTCCAGCACGTAGGAGGAAATGTCCCTTTGTGCACTGGAAGACTGGGCCTCAAATCCTCCATTTGCAACCTTTCCTGCTGGCTTTCTCCATTGACTTTCTGAGGAAGCCAGCAAAGATCACAAATGCCGATGACAGGGCACTTGGCAGCTGGTTATGAAAGTAAACAGGTTGCCAAGTGTGCAAAATGCAGTCATGTGACAAGGGTGAAAGTGGCACAATGTTTTTTTACAAGTGCTTGTAAAGCGTTTTACAGGCCCTAGTACATGTTCCATTGCCATTGTGACTGAATGGTTGTTAAACAAATGGTCATAAGTGGAAGACTATCTGCGAGAGCTTCTTCACTGATCATAAACATATAAACATAACCAATACATGACAGATTTTGCTGTTAAATGCAATCGAACAGGTTTATATTATATTATTCAATATATTGAATGTAGATGCACTATACTTGCTTGCACTATATTGTTGAAATAAAATATTTTTTCCATATTTTATGTGCACTTCCTTCATCTAAATTTATAAATGATTCTTGAAGTTAGCAAATAACTCTAATAGTGAATACACAGTTATTAACCACTGTAACGTACTAATCCTGTGCATTGCTAAATATTTTGCAAGAAATAATCTTCAGTTATAAGAAACTGAAGGCATTAAAATATTGTGACTAACAGCACAACTTTATATATATATAATATATATTCAAAAGTAAGTCCCTTAAACATAACCTCAACTATTTAGACAACTCTTAACTTTAGCATGGTAAACCACTTCAATTTGTAAGATTTGATGGAGTGTTTTCATTCAATATACTAATTATCTTTCAATGTACAGATATAAAACGTTTTACAAAATGTGCACCCATTTTATAATAGTTTTACTCTGTATTTTTCTCTAACAAAAAGGTAATTCCTGCTGGGTTAAAATATTGTAATTACTTTCTATAGTTGGAATGATAAGCACAGCTATGTATCTTTTAAAGATAACATTAAAAACTGTTTTACAAGTCACATGCACATCATTGTATTGTTTTTATCTGTATTAGGTTTCTGTCTGTTTAATAGAAATCATTGTTACAGGGATGTTTCAAATGAACTTCAGTCTAATGCATCTTTCTCCACAGAGAATATTCAAGTATTATGCAAAATATTTTCCTTTCCAGTAAAATATGCTTTCATTCAGTTAAGGCTGATTATATTATGGTTGGTCACACGATCAGCCAGATGTTTAGACTGGATTTTTATCTACCTAACAAGTCCTTCCCAAGGACTAGGAATAGGCAGATGTTTTTTGATGATGTTAAAGGTACAGTCCAGGGGTGGGTTGCTCCCGGTTCTGTGCGGTTCTTGCGAACCAGTAGTAAAAGCAGTGAGAGGCTCCACCCACCCGCCTGGATGTCATAATGCACGATCTGCGCATGCGAGCAAAGCGAGAGAGCGTGCTCCCATTGCAAACTGGTAGTAATGGTAAGTAGAACCCTCCCCTGGTACGGTCGCAGGATATAAACTGTTCCAAGTAAAGTTACCTTTTACAATTCACTGATGGTGATTTTATCAATGCTGATAGTGTTCAAGTGGTGCTCCAGATGTTTTGGGATCTCATACCGATGATAGTCGGTACTCTCTGGGTTTCTTTTGCCACAGTCATTCTACTTCTAGTTGCAGATCTTTATATTTTGTGGTTTTCTCCAATTGTTCTCTATTTTGTCATCTCCAGGTATTGCAGTGTCCACTATCTAGATTTTCTTTCTTAAAACAATTGTTAAATCTGGGGTGTTATGTTGTGGCATGTTTTTGTCTCTTTGAATTCTAAAGATGCAGAACACTTTTCTTTGTTTTCTCTTAGTCTACTTTGTGGTTCCACCAATTCCTGCTTGCAGGCAAATTATATTTGTTGTCTGTTGCTGTCCTCAATTTTGGCTTTTTATGCATTCGTTCTTAAGGGTTGGACCTGGGCAACCAGAATTAACACCTCTATCTCTTTCTTCAATGTTCCTGCTCTTAGCCATTACCAGGACATGTTACTTGCTTTCCCTGTCCTTTTTTGTGTACTGACCATGTAATACTTTGCCATGCCATGTCTTTTTTCTGTTCTTCATTTGGTCTTTCCTGTCGGCACATTTGGTCTCTTGGGTATTCAGTAAACTTTCATGGTATACTAGCTTCAATGCATCCTCTTCGCTGTCCTTTAAATGTTTGTGTTCTTTCTATCCAGGGCTTTTAGTTCTGCTTGAATCCAGTGCACTATTCCAGCTGTGTATCTAATGACTGGCATTGCTCAGGTGTTAATTGCCTTGATAGCATTTCCTCCACTGAGGAAAACTTTAAACTCTTCTTTACTCTCATGATGTACTGAGTTCCAATCTTCTCGACTTCAGCGTACACGAGGCATACAGCTTGAAGTATGGTATTTGTAGTGATCTTCTTCATCCAGACGCTTGATATTATTTCCATAGGGCAAATTGATTTCTTTTCAATTTGCCATTTTATCCACAACCTCTGATCAGGACATAAAAAGTACATTCACTTTTAAGTAACAGTTTGTCTTGCATTTTACTACCTAATATATAATACATTGATTGAACTGCTACAACTATTTATTTATTTGACTTCTATTCTGCCACAGACATCCTTTGATCTAGTCAGAATCATTAAGGAGTTTGATAAAACCAGATTATGACAGATTATTCAGGAATTTATTGATTTATATTTTGCTTTGTACCATATTTTTCTGGAAGAAATGAAACTGCATTTAGTCTGCATTTGTGTTTTAAAATGGAGAAAATATTTTGATCATACACTTAACATAAAACACATATGGAAAATATATTTAGTTGCAACATAATGCTGAATTTACATTTCGAATTCAGAAAATCTGCAGTATAGGCCTTGTCACCTTGATCTTTCTAATTTCACAGCAACCAGTATCAGCAACAGACATACCTCATAAAATATATTTATGCATTTTATTTTTTTAAAAAAAATAAGTAGTTTGAAAAGTATGGAATTTCACTTACACAGAAATATTAGTAATCTATCATACATAGGTATAGGACAACTTGCAGCCAGCTTGGCGCAGCCAACTCACCGCAGCCAGTTTGCCACCATTAAGTCACTTCTGTCAACTTCCCGCTACCAAGTTGCCTCAGGACAACTCCACACAGCCAACTTGCTGGGGGACAACTCCCTGTGGGCAGCCAGAAGGACAGACAGGTGAACAAGCAGATAGGCAGAGTGCAGAGCGGCGGCGGCCACAGCCTTCCATTTTCATATATCCTGGCATGCTGCTGCCACTGTTGCCAAGCTCTGGGCCAAAGAGGCTGGAGACGGCAGCAGTGATAGGTGTGTGTGAAAATGGGACATCCTTGGCAGCCACTGCCTCTCCATTGCCCACTCCTGCTGTCCTCGGCTTCTTTGGCCCAGAGATAGGCGGCAGCAGTGGCGGGTTTGTTTATGAAAATGGGAACCCCCTGGCAGCTACTGCTGCTCTGCGCTGTGTTCAACTACATGCTCGCCCACCTGGTTCTCTCTCCATCTGCCCCAGAGAATTGGCCCCTAGTGAGTTGGCCATTTGGAGGTGTCTGGTGACCTGGCAGTGAGTTGGCAGAGGCAACTTGGTGGTGAACTGGAGGCAGTGAGTTGGCAGTACTGAGCTGGCTGCGGCAAGTTGTCCCATTCCGGTCACACATACGCATATGACCATTAAGTGCAGAACAGTATACCTTCCTCTAGGATGACAAGACAGTATGTGACTACTTTGGCAAAATAACAGTCAACATGGTGGCTGCCATCAATTGCTAAAAATACTTCAGGAACCAGATACAAATATACTGTGATTTTCATAAATGTCTGATTTGGACAACTTCAGTGTCTCCTCTTATACACAAAGCATTGCAGTATCAACCATAGTTATTAAGTTCCTTGTTCTGATACGAAACTAAGTTTCGTGTCAGAACAAGAAAACCAAGAAAATAAGTTTCAGCCAAAAGAATTGGTGGCAAAGGGAAAGAAGAACAAAGGCTGTGTTTGGTGGTAACACCAGATCAGAAATGATCTGACAAAGCATAATGTTAGGTATGTTTACCTAGGCTGAAGTTCCGCTATGGAAGCTTGTCCAATAGGGTACAAATCATAGAAAGCAAGCAAAAAAAATAAAATAGCGTTAAAAAAATACAACTGCAATTCTCTCTCAAACAATAAATATGTAAATTTACAGAATTAATTAAGCAGATGTCAGTTTTCATTCATAATAACATATGCAAGCATGTTCCAGAAATAGGAAAGGAAGGGAGCAATATTGAATCCAATGGCCAGAAGGCATATATGACACAGAGGCTTGTTTTATGAAGTTCCAACAGTCCTCCAAAAATGAAATTTTCGGCTCATGAGCATGCTGTTTTCTTTCAATGTAATATATTTATAACTGGAAGCAAACATCTTATTGTACTGTACTGCTGATGGCTAGAATACAGTAAGAATGTGATCAATATTTCCAAGGAAGGAAGTTATAATTATTAAACAGATAATAGTTTGGAACAAAATCTTGATATGCCGATAGTACAATTTGTAGTCAAGCCAGGTATGATTAAGCTGCAGTCAGCATAAGACGACACTTATTTCTGGTATAGAGCAATAGTATGGTTTTCTTCGGTTAAAAAAAAATGCAAAGTAACCAAGTCCCGTTTCTTTCAAGATAGCAAATATTGCAAATCTGGCACAACCTTTGCATGACGATAGCTGCATCTTCAGGTAGGGATATTGGGCTTTTTCTGTTTGTTTACAATGTTCATTAGCAAATGAATATATGATGTCAACAAGTCATCCATTTTGTAACCCTTGGAAAAAAGCAAAACAATATTTACAGAGATAAACAACATTCAAAAGAGACCATCAAAAGCCAAAAAAGAAACAAAAAGACCAAAGCACCTCACCAGCAATCAGCACCCAGATGAGCAGATTAACACCAAGATTAACATTAGACCAACAGCCAAAGAAGCAAACAGCCCAATCAAGCAGCCACCAAGATCACTCCCACCAACATTGATAGGAAAAAGCCAGTAGTATACAGAAAGAGAGCAAACCCCACTCCCTACTAGCACTGAGGTTACCTAGTTTGGTAATGAAACATCTGCAAGCTCAAAGAGCCCCAAGTTCAACTGGAGCTACAAATATTCTATTAGTAAAGCAATATTAAACCATCCCTTGGATAGAATTACAAATATTTTTTAATAGTTGAAAGGGTATCTTTCCCTATCAATCTATGCAAGCATTTTGCTGGTAGTCCTACTTAAAGTATAATCTTTGCACAAGCTAGCTTTACTGTAATGGCTAGTCATCTGTTCCTCATAGAGTTGTATACTTAAATATCCTAAAGCCAAGAGGGATTAAGCCTTATGACACTCTGGCCCAAGAAGAACATTTTTCCAATAAGAATTTAGGGGAAAAAGGAGAAGTTGTCTTTTTCAGAATTTTTGTCTATAATGTAGAATAAGGACTATTTTCCAGGTCTGAAATCAAATAAACTGATAATTATTGATGATTACTTTCCAAAGATATTGTGAAATCCATTGTAGAAAGTCAAACTCCCCCAATCGTTTATTATTTCACAAAAAGGAACCAAACTAATTCCCAAATAGACACATCAGCAGGAAGGAAGCAAGATCTGGTTCAATGCCTTCCTAAGTATAGCTTCTACTTCTTTACAATGATTCACAAATATACTAGCACATTTGTCCGTTTCAGAACACACATGAAATGCTACCCAAAAGCAACATCAAAAACTCTATATAGAAATGTGATGAATCAAAACATTTTTTTCTAGGAAGTATAGTAATAGACTTCCTGAAGTCTATTTTGTATGAGCAATTTGTAGATATCTAAATTAAAGCTTCTTCATGAAATATGTTTAGGAAATGTAGAAATCATGCAGGCTAACAATGTTTTGCTGGCTGGAAATCAGGCCTCGTTCTTTCCTCCTTTTTTAGCAACCAAAGGGCCATACAGATAGTCTTCGACTTATAACCACAATTGGGCTCAAAATTTCTGTTGCTAAGGCAGTTGTTAAGTGAGTTTTGCTCCACTTTATGACCTTTCCTGCCACAGCTATTAAATGAATTGCTGCAGTTGTTAAATTAGTAACACAGTTATTAAGTGAATCTGGCTTCCGCATTGACTTTGCTTATCAGAAAGTCGCAAAAGAGGCTCACATGATCCCAGGTCACTGCAACTGTCATAAGTACATGCCAGTTGCCAAGTGTCCAAATTTTGATCACATGACCATGGGGATGCTGCAATGGTCATAAATGTGAAAAACAGTCAAAAGTCACTTTTTTCAGTGCTGTTGTAACTTTGAATGGCCACTAAATGAATTGTTGCAAATTGAGGACTACCTGTAGCTGGTCGGTTGTGATGCAATAAAATGTTGGTTGATCAGGCCAAACCTCGTATATTTCTGGAGGATTGGGGAAGAGTGTACAGCTTACCTAAAGCTTTCATTTTTTCTTTCCTTTTATACAGAAAATTAGTAGAAATGTTTTTCATAGTTTGGTGAGATACCACCAGATTTTAGAGCTGAATAATAAAAAAGGACTAAGTGCTGTACTATATTATTTTCATTAAAGTGGAAGAAAAAACTTTCAATAAATCATTATCCAATTGTTTTCTCCTCCCTCCAAGATCTTTAGCAAACCTGAAAACTTCTGTTTTTCTCACCAGAAATGTCTCACAAAGAATTCGATTTCCTCGTACCAGGTTCCCTATTGTCATATGAAAATATGTGCTACCACTGCTCCAGTTAGAAATTTTATTGAAGGGATAAAGAGCTAAGATCTCCTGTAGAAAAAAATAAATGATACATGTAAGATTGATAAAATGAAAAGGTCACTATTTTTTTTTAAAAAGGGACTTGTGGACTTGGAGACATCAGATCAGATACTTCTAAGAAGCAGTACTTTCATTGTGTTTTTATTTCCACATTACCCTGCAAACGTCTTTTGATTTAAAATAGATTATTTTAGGGATAGCTGTCCCTAGATTGAATTCTTCTAATCATGGGTTGACTTTCCTCTATTGTCATTATTACATGTCATGACTAACTTTATTTAGTAATACGTTTCTCCTTCTCAGCTTTATCAGACCTAATTACAAAAATCCATTGTGATTGATTTTATTTTTCTGTGAAAGAAAACATTCTGAAGAGCCAATGTGAGCAGTAAAGAAAGTGATTGAGACTTCAAAAATTGTTTTATCCAATACTAGCTGGATACCCAGCTTCGCTATGAAACTATGTGATGGGGCTTGATAAATTGACAGTTAAAGCTTGAAAATTAATGAGTAATTACGATCGGCCTCTCCTCTCCCCTTCTCTCTCTCAGCCTTGTCCCACAGAAGTCTATTCTATCATATCCCCTGCTTGCTGCTGTGAAAGTAAAACTGAAACTGAAACTCCTCTCCTCTGCTTGTGTTTTGCATTTGGAACAGATTTCTTTTCAGATGGGGAGGGGGAGTACAACTCCTTAGTATCAGAGCATGTTAATCATAATATAGGAAATACTAATGCTCTGATGGTCATTTCAAAAAATCCTTTCTTAGTGAGCACCTAGAAGCCAAGAGGAACATATGTGGCAAATTTCAAGTTTGTAGGCTTTACGGTTGTGGAGATTTTGTGATGATGTGTGAGTGGTATTTTGCTTTTATATATATATAGATATATTCACAACAGAAATAACAGGAGAACTTATACGTTCACAGCCATGGTCAAATAGTTATTTACTGTAAAATGTTTAGGCTGCCTCAATCTTCTACAATTCTTTACCTAAGAAATGCATTTAATTAATTCTATCATAAATCAATTGTGTGAACCTTTTCCATATTATAATTAAGCCACATTTTTGAAAAAATATCTTACCTTAGTCTTTGAATGTATTATGGAAATCCCTTGCTTGTTGATAGCAATCAATACTATGTCAGGGAAATTTGGCTCTGATGTTTGCTAGCAAAATAGAAGAAGGCAGAATGGGGTCACAGAGCTGTTATTTCATATTGTAACATTAATTGTCATTCTGTTATTAAACACTGGAATCACCAGGACTCTGGAACAAATTACTGTAGGAAGAGGAGTAGGTAAAAAGCTGCTCTTGGGGAGGCAACTGAAATTGGTTAAGGCCATGAGAATCAATCCTCATAGAATTTATAAACATGAACAATCAATAAGAGATTTCTTTTAGATAGAAAACAACTTAAAATAGTGGCACTCTTCCCCACCCTCCCCAAAAAAGCCCTAGAACCATTGAACTGACCTTCACTTCAAAGAAGGCTGAGCCAAATGTTGGCCAACGATATATGAACTTCAAGAAGGCGACTTTGGCCTCATCCACACTTTTTTGTCCAAGTTTGCTGACAGCAGAAATAATATTCTGTAATGCAACATGAATCAGTTTTTTACCATTAGAATTATTTTCTTGGGTAGGAAGAGAAAGTAGCCTTTCCTTGTACCCATAATCACACAAATTGATTTACTTTAGAACTTTTCACTCCAGGATTAAAAATAATATACACTGCTCAAAAAAATAAAGGGAACACAAGCAGAAGACATCTGAGATCTGAATGAATGAAATAGCCTTATTAAATACTTTGTTCATTACATACAGTAGTTTTGTGTTCCCTTTAGTTGTTTGAGCAGTGAATAAACTACTGTATGTAAAGAACAAAGTATTTAATAAGGCTATTTCATTCATTCAGATCTCGGATGTCTTCTGCTTGAGTTCCCTTTATTTTTTTGAGCAGTATATTTTGCTATAGGCAGAAATGATGGCACTGCGCACTGTAAATTATTCCTTAAGTTTCCAAATGAGAATTCAAAGAAATGAGTAAAGTGTGGCATGTGTAACAATTAAACAGAAGTATAATAACTATAACAACTACAGAAGTTTTGAAATGATTGTATTAGTGAAAATTTTTGCAAGGAATAAACTAGACTTATTTACAAATGAACTCCACAAAATATATTAAAGTGTTCAGTATTGTAAATCACACAGAATCTATAATTGGGGTGGCACATAAATTATGGAAAATAAATTATTTTCAGTAGCTTTATAAAGCTGATCAATAGAGGAAAGCTAATGCAAATTTTAAATAATATAATACTAAAATAATGTAAGATTCTTTATACCCGTTTCCACTCCTCTGGGGATAGTATTGGAATCATGTTCTCAGGCACTAGTTCCTTCAGTATTTTAGGTATTGCAGCATATTGTGTTCGATCACTGTTAAAACGAACTCTGAAAATCAGCCCAGCCAGTTGGATGGCATCCTCCTTTGAGCACTTGTGATAGCCTCGCAGATACTTTGGCAGTTCCTGAAACAAAGACCATCAGTACATTGACCCATTCTGTAGTTTGGCTGACATATACACGCAAAAAAAAAGAAGAGATTTAGCATTGACTGAAATTATTTGCATATTCGAAATGAGATGTGCATGAATGAAAACATGAAAACATTTGCTGTCTTGTACTATTCAGTCCTTATTTCTAGAAAGTTTTTTGCAAGCTTTCCCTTTTGCAGTAAAATATCAAGCTAGAAGCAGAAAGTCTCTGGTTCAGACACATTCTGAAGGCTTGCTTTTCTGGTTGGCTGTGACTTTCAAAATGTAATTTAAGTTACTTTGCAGGGTCAGCTGTAAAAATGCTTTTTAAATTTTTTGTTAAGCTATCATGGAGAAGACTGATATTTTAATTTAATTAGTTTCAGTTTGATCAATCCAATATATACAGCCAAGAGGTTTGTCTCATTGCCATCAATTATATTGTGTAACCAGTATTTCATATACAGTACGCTATGAAGTGTATATATTATGACAAATCAAGCTTTGATGCAAAAATTCACTAAGATAGTCCAACTAGCTGCTGTCATCAATCCTGTTTACCTGATGATAATGAAAGATGCAATCAGCCTTCAAATCCTTCCCAGGTATCACATTCAGCCACAACTTTCTCATGAAATATACCTGATAATTCATAGTGGTGGGAAACACTAGAAAAGCAATGTCAGACATTTGAGTAAAACACTTCAAAGAGGCATGTACAGGCACTTAAATATATATATACTACATTGAACCAGAGCATGAGGAAAAATAAGCTTTCTAGCAACTGGGGAAAAGTTGTATTATTTTTCAGGTCAATTATACTTCAGGTAATTATTCAATAAATCCATGTTTCTGCATAAATGTCTATTTACTTCAATACATTTTTTTCAAGAAGAGATTATCAACATGGAATATGCCTTCTTGCTAACTAATTCCAAGTGGATTGAGATTGTCCATGATTCTACCAAAATGTTCAGCCAATATGAGCATTACCATTCTCAGCCTTATGAATTTCAATTGGGGGAAAGCTGACGGACCATACATGTGGTGTCTCCTGATACAGTTTTAACTTACTTTAGAGTGATTTTTCCTTAGCACAAAAATGCATCCTCTATCAATTTAGTAGCTAAATAAGAAAGAAACGCACAGGAATAGTTGCCTCACTACCTGCTTTACTTGTAATAGTAACTATTACAATAGTTAACTCAACGTCTGTAGAAGTCTGCAAGAAGAAACTTGAGGTTAGGAAGATTTCATTTTTATCTTGTTTTGTTTGTGGTTATGTAATATTCAAAAATATCTCAGATACTGCAAATTACCTTTAATAAAGCTAGGTCCAAAAGGTGTCCCTCCTCACTGCCCAGTTTTATGTATCTCATTACTGATAATTAGCTGTCATCCAGCTCTTTGCAGTTCATCTATTGTGAATCCAGTCAAAGCAATGGCTTGATGTATTGAGCCAAGTTTATCTATTCCAATATGCTTGGTTGGGGTGACCTGGAAACTCCACAAGTAACGTCTAACACATCTTCTTAATCAGGTAATTACTACCTCTCATACTAGAACTAAAATATAGCTATTATGACTAGAAGCCGTATATCCTTCAGTGATATATCCTATGCACATTTATCTGAAAGGAAGCCACATTAGACAAAGGAGTTTATTTCCAAATAGACATGCAAAAATACACTGTAAATATTAATTTCTATAAAAAGAAAAAAAGGGAGAGAAATTGAATTACAGAGTTTTTGCTGCTTTTTAATTGGAACCTAGTAAGTTAAAAAGAAGCAGCTGTTATAAGGGAGAATCACAATTCTCAGCTTTTTCAGAAGATATTGGATACGTTTTTGGTGGCTGTAGCTTGGAAGTAGTAAATCTTTATTATTTAAACTGAGACAGTTTTAGTTGTCTGCAGGGATTAATTCAAATTGCTATGAAGGGATGCATCATGGCAATTTGAATTAATTTAGTAGTCCATGAGCTAATAAATAGTACTAAACAATCCATGACTCGTTGGGTCATCCTTTTAGAGATATTTCCTTACCAGGTTTCTAAATGCTTTCAACAATGATGGAACACCTAATGTATTGCCTTCACTGGAAAAGTTGAGATACACACAATATATGTATCTGCTTGAAAATAGTCCATGTTGAACTATATAGCACAGTCAAACATTAGCACAGGAAAAGCTTTATGTCATTTTGTATCATTTCATAAACTGTTCTATTATTATTTTTATGTCATAAAATGTTTTATAAAATTGGCCAAACACACTCTATAAGTTAGCCCATTTGAGGTATTTTGGTTCAAAAATTGCTGCTTTATGATGCACTGTTTCGCCTAGTAAAAAGTTACAGGAACAAGAGCTTTAGTAGTATATAGATGGAGGTACTCCCTACTATTCTAGTAACTTTTTTGTAACAAGAATTATAAGCCATTGCTTTATAGATAGTGCAGAGCAAAGTTAATTTTATTTTTTATTTATCAAATGTACTGTAGGTACTGCTTATTCTATTTTCAATAATTGAGGGTATTGACCAAAGTTTTGAACTCTCAGATGGATAATTTCCCTTTGATAAAGAAGCACAAACAGCTTCTAGGTTACTGTCAACACCCCATATTTCATCTTTCCATCTCCATACCCTCTTTTCCTGGCCTGTTCTTCCGATTCCAGTCTGTCACCTGCCTTAAGGAGTCAAAGAAATAATCTGCTTCATTCTGGCTGATCACCTAGAATAGACAATAAAAGGAAGCTGAGTTATTACAAAAAAATTGAATTTATTAGTGCTCTGAGACAACATTCCAGAAAAACTGGCATAAACTGTCAGCTGCCTTTCTGGCACAATTAAAGATGCTTTCTTATATCAGGATGATCTCCCCACACAAGCAGTCTATTTCTGCTCTTACATCATTGACTGGGTAATTTTTGTAGGTCCCCATTTAAGAGCAGCAGCCAACTCCACGTTTTCTGTACTGAAGCCAAACATAGGGAATTAATGGAATTGAAGCTGTATGTATGTATGTATGTATGTATTTATTAAATATGTATAGCCACTCATCTCAGGAAAAGCTACTATGAGAAGTGAACAACGATCAGATAAAACAACACATGTATAAAGCAATCATTATAATAGCTGTAGGTGGTCTCTTTTCAGCTTCAATGTATGTGGGAGATTAAAATGTAACTTTTACCATAGAGATTAATTTAACTTGCTTAACTTCGTGGACTTGATACACTGAATGTTATTGTTTATTATATATTTTTCTAAATTGTCTAAAGCTAAAAGTTGTTGGACTGAGTGGCAAGTAAAAGTCATTAAATTAAAATAATAACATCAACATCAACAACAATCCTCTAGAATATAACTCAGAATAAAAATAAAGAACAGAAATTAAACAAAAACTGCAGAGCAGTGACGGAAATGATGCACAGTGGAGCTCACACAGAATAAGATGACAAAACAGCCATTTGGATATCTGAGGAATAAGAAGCAAAAATGTTCTTAGACCCATCAAAACTTTCTAGTTCTCCACATCTCTTCATCAGATGGAACTGATATACTCATGTCAAATTACCTTATCTGAAATCTTGATAAAGAGGCTAAATCCATCCAAGGAGCTCAATTCCATCTTGTTGCCTATCATCTGACATAGATCCCATACTTTTGTGTTTGTTCCTACATCAAAAACCTGGAACATAAGAACAGGAAGCTAAAATGACTAGTTTGGAAGGAAAAATGATAGGTGCAACTTGCACAGGTGTACAGGCTGCTAAAAGTAGGCTACCTGCCTGCTTGGCTGTTTGTTATTGGAAAATGAAGCAAAATGTATTTAAGAACACAATGTGATTATCAGATGCTGAAAAAAGCAACAGAAGATGACTATTACCATTATCACCCCTTAGGCTTTGCTCAGGTGTGCCTAGATAGACCACGATAGATAGATGAGAGATAGATGAGAGAGAGAGAGAAAGAAGAGAAGGGAAGGAAGGAAGGAAGGAAGAAAGGAAGGAAGGAAGGAAGGAAGGAAGAAAAGAGGATGGATGGAAGAAAAGAAAGAAAGAAAGAAAGAAAGAAAGAAAGAAAGAAAGAAAGAAAGAAAGAAAGAGAAAGAAAGAAAACTTTTATAGATTGCCCTTCTTATCTCAAGGTAACCTTCTGATTCACCATATTACCTATTACCTTCTGATTCACCATAACAGTTTCTCTCAATAATCACTTCTTCCAAGCTGATTTTTTTATTTTTCTCTCTTCCCCACCCATTCCACAGACGATGATGAAATTTTTATCCCACCTTTTTATATATAACTCAAGAAGGCAAGAATACTTTACTCCCGCTTCCTATTCCCACCCTCCCATCCATAATGACAAATCTCTGAAGTAGGTTGGGATGAGAGAGATGACTGGCCCTAAAGAAGAGTCCTCTTAAACCTGGAATATATATCAATATGAAAATAAAAGAACTTAACCTTACCTGCTCTATCTCATTTGGAAAATGAATCTTGTGTGAAATCTTGGTGATATTATTCTGAATTGCCTCCACTTCTACACTGTGTGGAGCCCACTTCCGACAGCCACTCCTGAAGAACAGAAATACAAATGGCTCTTAAAACTACCTTTGATTGAGAAGTTCCTAATGCTAGCATAAGAGGGTCAATTTTCACCAGCCTCACAGGAAAGATAGTTGAGGTGGGGGTAAAAATAGAGACAACTGAAGCCGAAGGTGTTTTTTGTTTTTTTTTAAACATAGACACAGTTTCTATCCATGTATGCAATAAAATAACATATATATTTTGGACCAGAGAATGAAGAGACAGAAAACAAATTGCATTCACAAAAAGACCTTAATGAAAAACAAAACCACTAAAGGATGAGGAGACTAAATTAATCTCTCCTCAGGAAAGAAAGATTATCCTCTTCATAATGATTGTAGTTTAGTTTATACATTATATGGGTTCTATAGACCTGATTAGCATTCTGTATTTGTTTAAAGAAGAAAAAGCATGAGCCAATCCCTGAGAATTAAAAAACCTTGTACCTCATCACTTTTTGAATCCTATGTCTGCATTCCAACGCCAGATTCTCCTTCAGACGAGTCTCAATGAACTTCTGAACATGTTTCAGCAATGATTTACTAGGTGGAAAAAGGCCTGTACAGAGCCACAGTAACTGCCAACCACTATTCAGGCTATACCTGCCAATTTGATGAATAATTTCAAAATTTGCATACAAATATCCATAACCTAAGCCAAAAAAATTTCAGACTTAGAAATCTATTAGGCAACTTAGACTGATTTTATGATTTGTGCTTTCTTTATAGGGATGCATGCTAATAATTTTTTGTTGTGAAACTCAAGGAGTTTCTGGAATCCAACTGCAGCTCCCCTTCCCCCCAAGACCCACAGATCAATATGTTCTTTTTTGTTGCAACCACTAATATAAAATCTATCCTATTGAGAGAACTCCCAAATTAATACTCCAAGCTGGCACTTCCAGTACCAACCTAAATAGTTATGTCAACTGGAAACATTTAATTGGAAATATTTTTTCATTACCTGTTGTGGTTTTCTGTTAACTGTTTCAAGATCTGACAATAGACCTCATCTTGCAGAGTATCCTCCTGAATTGCCACTAAAAATATCTGGTCAGTAAGTTCCACAGAAGATCTCTCTTGCTTTGAGGGATAATCTCCCATGTATTTCATTATGGGTGAGCAAAAAAAATATAAGGAAAGATTTAACAAAAAAATAAGTACAAACTACAAACCAACTCAAAACTCCTTCTGAGTGCAGCATGTAACCACTTAGTGAATGCTCTTTAGTAGAAGCTAGATTTGGCTATTAAGATAGTGCTCTCTTACATACCTATCTTATACTAACACATCTTGTTGCCCAAATCTTTTTGTTTGCCCAAATTCTTTTAACATAATTATTTTGTTTTCTCTGGCAATCACCATTAATGTAAATTTTCTCCTGGATTATCCAATTGGGTCACCTAAAATCTGGATTCACTCTTTATCCTCTTCTCAATTTTCTGCACTCAAATAAATTAAACCATGTCAAACAATTAACAAAAATGTAAAGGTATTTATCAATACCTATGTGTTTGTTCACTTTTTATTAAAAATATTTCCAAGTCAGGGACGGAAGCGTAGAAACCAGTTCATAGAAAATAATTATATTCTGCCCATTACCAAATAAACTGACTTTAGCATAAAGGATATCAATGAAGGTCTGGTAAGCAAAATCCCAGAGGTCTGGATTAGAACACACTTTCTTTAGCAAAGGTTTTTTCAGGGGCTCCCTAGAATGAGCCCACAGATGACTCCGCCCTCGGGACTTGGGTAAAACAGCCTTGCTGATTGACTCCTTCTCAGGTACTCTGAAGAAACATAAAAATATTTCAAAACTTGGTCTGATCAATACAGACAACTAACTCATACCTGTTGTTTATAGGCTAATATAGTTAGAATCTGGATCTTCCCTAAGATTCTCTAGCCATATCACCACTTACCACTCAGAATTAGAATTAATTCATAAAGTAACAAAAGGACAAAGCCATTTTCATATAGCAAAATCCTAAACCTCTCGGTTAACATCTATCAGAAAGAATCAAGCAAATTAAAAAGTTGATATGGATATACACCTGTTGTCAAATGGCAATTCCTTTTTATAAAAGAGGTATTTAGAGTGGACGAAAACACTTGAAAGTTTGAACTAGGATCCAGAAAATGTGCTACCCTATCAGGCTTTGAAACTAAAGAGCTATATGTACCGGGATGGTCTGGATGAAAGACTCACAGAGCAACATGGGACTGAACTACACATCAGTCTTTCCAATTTACAGACATGGCTGTAATGAATGGGGGTTGAAGATAGAAGAGGATCTGCCTCTCTCTTCAATATACCCAATATGGTACTGAGGTGGCAGTAGAAAGATGGCCGCAGCAAGGTGGCGGTAGCGAGTTGTCCCAATCCAGTTTGTATGTTTTACAGAGGAATATCCCTTATAAATGCAGTGAACTGAAGCAGTACCAATTTGCCCTCTCTAATGCCTTTTGGGTGCTGTGATTATTTAATGCTAATATTCCCTTGTAGCACTTATCAGTCTGAGCTATTTCTTAGTGCAGTCAGTATTAGTTTATGAAAGCAAACTTTAAGATAGCACTTTAGTATTGTTATGGAAAGCTCTTTCTCTAGTTCACTCTATTTTTTTGTAAGTTAGTAATAACAATTTATTTTAATGATGTCCTTCACACAGAACAATCACACATGGACCAGATACCCTTTCTGAGGAGACCAGTATGGAAGACAAAATAGAATTTAATAATTAATACAGATTTTAATGCAATACTCATTGATTCTTCCTCAATTAGGCTTAAAAGGCAATACAGGTATATTTTTCAAGGAAATGTAAAAAATTGTATAAAATATAATAAGGTATGTCAGATATAAATGCCTTATTCTCCAATGTGTAAATAGTGTACAGACAGGGTATCAGGGGTTAACTTATTCTTCACTTCTTAATGTATTCATAATTCACCACTCCCACATATAGCTCCACCCATTGTATATATAAGGAGCTACCTACACCATTTCCCCTGCTTCTATCTGTGAATATTCAGTGAATATAGAATGCCTAATGTAAATAAAAGAATATATAGTTAACTCTTTAACTCTTGTTGATCTTATTGAGTCTGATCCTGAAAATATTGCAACAAACTGGTAGCAGAGGATGGTTAATTGACTCAATAAAAAGCTTTAAAATGTCTAAGAAAGATAGGCCCAACACCAGGGCCTACAGCAAAGAAATGGAAACGGAACAAGAAATAATCAACGAATCCACGAATGCAATTTCGAGAGAATCCGAAGAATACACCACTGAAGACGAAGAAATAATTGATGACCAGGAGGAAATCGAAATAGAAAATAACGAACTCAGGTCAGAGATATTAAAACTATTAAAAAGCCAGAAAAATGATGAAAGCCTCATCGCGAACCTCCAAGATATGCTAAAGAACAGCGGAGCAGCGAGAGAGAAAAACATCACCAATGAAAAACCCAAAGATCCAAAAATAGTGAGTAATATGACTGCGGAGAAAATCATTACAAAGAAGAAAAACGATGATCCCGCGCAAAAATTTGAATGGCGGCCATCTTGGTTTCAACCGGCCTCCAAGATGAACGAAGAAGAACCAATCAGCAATCTCAATTCAAAATTTCTGGCGCGAAAAATGTTATCGGACAACGAAAACGAAAAGGAAGATTCAAACACTTCAGAAGAATCAGAACCAGAAAGCGAGGAAGATCCAACAAAACACCAAATAAAATCAGCGATGAAAACGCTCTTTGCTGCATTTGGGCCAAAACTGAAAATCACTAAAAAGACACTAAAAAAGCGAACGAGCAAGCCAATGCCTCAAGACCTGCCCGCTCCCATCCTGACTACTAGAGCGCTGACGCCGGAACCCAGAGAGCCCTGCCGATACCGCCCTACGCCGCAGACCGAAGCAAGCACCAACGCTTTCAATAGAAGAGGAAGAACAGCCACCGTCGCCAGAACCCCCAAAGTCGAACCAGAGACCGACTCATCTGAGGAGGAGCAGAGCGAGCGGGCCGCAATGAGGAGAACCTTCCACGACGACGCCGAAGAAGAAATGGGCAACGCGCATGCGCGAAACTACGCTGACGATCCGGGAAGACATGAACAGGAGAGAAGATCATGCAGACTCGTAGCGAGCATCCCCATGCCGTTTTGCAATTTTCTGCATTTACGAGACCACGGACTACCTCAGGTTGTAAGTAATGGGCCCAATAATGTCGGAAATTTACCCAGTGACTTCCCAAAACTAAGGGTTGATGGCATTAATTTACAAGAATGGTATCAACAGCTCCAGGTTGTCTTTATGAAGGAAAACTTATTGTTTTTTATCACCAGTCCCCCAAAAAGACCTTGGACACTAAAAATAGATTGTTTACACCATAGAGCTTTTTTCTTAATAATATCTAGTGTGTCTCCTGCAATGTATCACAGCATTAAGCCAAATTTGACTGTTTCAGAAATTATTCAATGCATGTTTAATTTGTTTCACAGTGACAGTGTAGCCACCACCACAAGGATATCTAAAGACTTCTTTTCATCTAGGATAAAACCAGGGGTTTCCATAAGTGAACATTTAATATCTTTGAACAAAATAAGAGCTGAACTGCATTTGAGGGGGGAAGTGATTTCAGACCAAACAATGAAAAGTGTCATTATCAACTCACTTGACCCATCATGGGACAATTTTATGTCACATTTAGACACAATCAATCTAGGGTATTTATCCATAGAAAGTTTATCTAACAAATTGATAACAGAAGATAATTCTAGAAGGAATCGTTCTAACAATCACACAGAACATAAACCATATAGGAAAGTAGCCTTCCAAGAAAAATATAGTGGAACATTTAAATGTCATAATTGTGGATCCAGGGAACACAATAGAAGAGATTGCCCAAAATTCTTAAAAGAAAGATATAGATCAGAACACAGAAACAAATACGATTATAGACAGCCTTCCATAGAAAGGCATAGATATAGGAGCCCACCAAATCACAGAGAGAATAGAGGGGGCAGAGACAATTCAAAGGATAGAAAGTCTGGTTCACTGAATGGATTAAATAAACAAGACAACACTAACACACAACAAAGTGAGAACAATAATTGGCTTATTGATTCTGGAGCAACTAATCACACCACTAATAACAAAAGTATATTGTCTTCATTTGCAGAAGATAAATTTGTAATTAAGGTAGCTAACCAAGAAAAGGTTCAAGTATTAGGTAGAGGAAATGTAACCTTGCCTGGTTTAGGAAAAATAGAGGGGGTATTACTAATACCTGAAATACCTCATAACATATTAAGTGCCATAAAACTAAGCAGAGATTCTGACATTAACATTGTCTTTTCAAAAGGAAAGGCAACTTTGGAAAAGAATAAAATAAATGTAGGCACTGTGGTGACTAAAGGAGGACTACCTTATCTAATAACAAAAGAAAAATGGTTACATAACATTGATTCAAATATGGAAGATTGTATTGAAATAGATGATGAGAATGTTAGCAACAGTGACAATGATGAATGTAAAATATCTCATGATCACACAGATGCACACAACGATAAGAAGCCAAAGATAGGTAAACCAATTCATGATGAGTGTGCTCACATATTGCATAGGAAGTTAGGACATGCCAGTTTTCCTGTAGTGCAAAAAATGACTGAACACGCAGAAGGTGTTAAAATAAAGAATTGTGAAAATTATCTGGAATGCTCAGTATGTAAATCTACAAAACTAAAAACTAGTCCCAGGCCAAGAAAATCTACCAGATCAACTAACAAAATTTTTGATTTAGTACACATGGACTTAGTTGGTCCATTAACTCCATCAATCACTTATAGGAAACGTTACTTCCTGACAATAGTGGACGATTATAGCCGCTATGGATTTGTTTACACACTAAAACACAAAGATGAAACATTTCAAAAATTTAAAGAATTTTACAAACGCATAGAAACACAACACAACATCAAAATAAAACAAATTATGACAGACAGAGGATGCGAATTCATGTCTAAAGAATTCTCACAATGGTTAAAAGACAAAGGAATGTTACATTACACATCTAGTCCATTTTCTCCGTTCCAAAACGGGATTGCAGAGAGAAAAAATTCCACATTACAAACCATGATTAGATGCACATTGGAAGATGCTGGCTTAAGCAAACAATTCTGGTCAGAAGCCTTACATTATTCAAATTACACACAAAATAGAACATGGTCCAGCATTATAAATAAGACACCATATGAAGTGATGTATAATAGAAAACCAAAACTAGCACACATGCATATATTTGGAGTCACAGCAGACGTACACATACCTAAACAATTAAGAAGAAAGGGAGAAAATGTGTCCAGGAGACTCAGATTTATGGGATATGAGACCGGCACTAAAGGATACAGATTCATTGATAGTAACAACAAATTTATAGTCTCCAGAACAGCTGTGTTCCATGAACAAGCTAACTGGTCTAAATTACATCTTAATGAGATATTCCCAAATAAACATGAAGATACAAAATCTCATGAGAAAGGGACTATAGAAAAACAAAATATCAACAAATATAAAAACAAAACCAAAACTTGGACAAATAGCCAACTCAAAATAAAGACAGATACACTAACAAAAAAGGAAGCAAGATATTTACATGATAACGATAGTAAACCCGAGAAAATCATTAGAAACACCAGAAATCAAATGCCAAATAAATACAAGGATTATGTAATGCACATGAATGGTGAACCAACAACACCCAATACATACGAGGAAGTGTTAAAACTTCCTCACGAAGAAAAAGAAAAATGGGAATTAGCAATGAAGAAAGAGATGGAAAGTTTACAAGGACTAAATGTATTTACACCTGCATCTGCACCTAAAGATAAGACAATTATTGGTACCAGATGGATATATAAAATTAAGAATTTAGAGGGAGGAAATACCCTATACAAAGCTAGATTGGTTGCACAGGGTTATGCACAGAAATATCCAGAGGACTATACTGACACGTATTCCCCCACTGTAAGAACAGAGAGTGTCAAAACAGCTCTAGTGGTAGCTTCAGCACTCAATCTAGATGTATTCCAATATGACATACAGACTGCGTACCTACACGCAAAATTAGATAAAGAAATATACGTGAGAGCACCTCATAGTCCATACACAAACAAAAATGAGACTTGGTTGTTAAACAAGAGTTTATACGGGCTAAAACAATCTGGTAAACGGTGGTATGATTGTTTAGTAAAAGTACTTAAGACCATGGACTTCAACGCTACCACTGCTGATAATTGTTTCTTTGTCAAGAGGGGTGATGATTACATTGAATTTGTATTGATTTATGTGGATGACATTTTATACATAGGAAAACATAAGGAAAGAAGAGAAACTTTTGTAACTAAACTAAATGAACATTTCTCATTGAAATCTTTAGGCAAGGTAAACAAATACCTTGGTGTCCAAATTAATAAGACAAAAAGGGGATTCAAACTTACCCAGAGAGATAAGATCATAGATCTTTTAAGTAAATGCAACTTAAACAATGCCAAACCTTGTGATACCCCTATGCAAACTGACTTTCTAAGGAATTCTGATGAATCTTCTCCCGAGTTCAAGGACAATACATTCTATAGATCAATCATAGGTTCACTCCTTTACATATCTAATTGGACTAGACCGGACATCGCTTTACCACTCAATTTATTATCTAGGCATGTCAGCAAACCAACAATGTACCACTGGGAAGCTGTTAAAAGAATTTTAAGATATTTAAAAGGTACACTAGACTTTTGTTTAATGTTAGAACCTAATGATATTAAAGAACCAAAGCTTACGTGTTATGCAGATGCAGATTGGGCTGGAGACACCTCATGCAGAAAAAGCACATCTGGTTACGTATTTATCCTAAATGACTGTCCAGTCTACTGGTACACTGGTAAACAAGAACTAGTGGCTACTTCAACAACAGAAGCGGAATATGTTTGTTTATCCAAGGCCGCAAATAATCTTGTATGGTTTAATGATTTAATTTCAGATGTCTGGAAAAAACCTGCTCTGCCTTTTGTTATGCATGAAGACAATAAAGCAGCCATTGAAATATCTAGATCTGATGCCATTGGACAAAGGTCCAGACATATAGATATAAAATTTAAACATGTGAGACAATTATCTCAGGATGGATTTATTAAAGCAGTGCATTGTGACACTTCAGAACAATTAGCTGATATATTAACGAAGCCTTTACCTTCTAAACAACATAAATACTTAACTTCTAAGTTGTATGTTTTGTATTGCCCTGAATCTGAATGTAACTGGTGTTGTATAACGAATCGGCATTTAGAGGGGGATTTGTCAGATATAAATGCCTTATTCTCCAATGTGTAAATAGTGTACAGACAGGGTATCAGGGGTTAACTTATTCTTCACTTCTTAATGTATTCATAATTCACCACTCCCACATATAGCTCCACCCATTGTATATATAAGGAGCTACCTACACCATTTCCCCTGCTTCTATCTGTGAATATTCAGTGAATATAGAATGCCTAATGTAAATAAAAGAATATATAGTTAACTCTTTAACTCTTGTTGATCTTATTGAGTCTGATCCTGAAAATATTGCAACAAGGTATACCTGAAGTACTCATAGGAGAATTCTTCCAGAGTATAGGGCTTCACATTTGCATTTTCTTCCTCGGATTCTTCCACATGAGAGTTTAGTGATACTAACCTCCGTTGTTCAGGTGACATCATCAGCAAGCTCTGGAAAGATATGGCCATTTGAAGACACTTCACATATTGTCATGGCAGCAACAAATATTAGAAATTAAGTCCATGTATGGATTTTTGGGAAAATATTTGTGAGGAGGACTTCTCTTTCTGCCAGATTTGCTCAAAGATGTTTGACAGAAAAAGAGAAGGAAGGAAGCACATCAGCATTTTTCTAATGTTAGAGGATTCATTCCAAAAAGATTCTGAAAGGGGCTAGTGCTGTACTTGAACAAGACCAACAGAACACATTTTGAAATTTAGCAATTAATTATTTTAAATCTATATATTTAGGGCAATAGACAATATTTTTTAATCTCACATAGATTCTGATAACAATCCTACAAGAATAATCACATTTATAACTCATTATATTAGTTACCTATGAATTACAGTAATTTTCTGTGCAGGCTTTATGATGCTGTTAAATAAAGCCATGCAGGAAAATTAGTAAAAGGGCAAAGTTAACTTTTAAAACTAAAAAACTAAAAAAAAAGGGGGGGGGAAATCTGTCTGAATATATAAATTCTGAGCATCCACAGTGAAACACAGTATTGAGGTCCCAAATTAAAAGGGAAATTCCAAGTGGAGAGTAAATCTGCCATTAGAGGAAACACTGCAATAGTTCAATATCCAAACATGTAAACTAGCAGCTAGAAAGAACAGCTGAAACTGTACAAAGATTTGTGGACCAAAGTCTATCAAGGCCTAAAAAGATTGATATTCCACATATTGAAAAGAAAGTGACAATATTATTACTTGGATTAATTACCATAATCTCTTCAATCATTGGAAGCATGTTTTCAAGTCATCAAATTTGAAAAGATGCAGAGAAGATGTTTAGGAATTATTTCTATCCTTGTTGGAAAGCCTCAATCAGGCTATCAAAAGGGATTAGACAAACATCATTAGAAGGAAGAGCACAGCTTCTAAACAGTAATCTGTTTTAATCTGGTGACTGGGTCAGGACAGCCTAAGATATCTCTCCCTTACTGCAATGAAAAAGGCTGATCTGTGTGTCTTTTTAAAGAAGAAATTATTGTAATGAAAAAGTGAAATGGGAATTTGGCTTAAGTATTCTTACAAATTAAACCTAGTCAGTGGCTGAAGTACTATGCCTTGTTTGCCATCTGACTAGAAAGAAACAAGATAAACTGGAGTGGCAAAGAACATTTTAGAGGTTGACAAGGAGCCATTTTATAAGAGTCGCCCCCAACCCTTCTTTTTTCCACTACTAGTTTACTATCTTTATTATTCAGGGGATAAAGTGGCAGTCATTTGTCAGAGTTAAGCATTGCACCTGCATTATTTGATCCTTACCAATATTTGACTGGAAGGCTTTGTAACTGTAGGGATGATATAAATGGTCTCTGATGACACAAGCCCAGAACCATTGGTTCGCTCATTTTGAGCAGGGATCCAGCCTTGATTTTCTCCTAGTCTTTTGTCCTGGGTTAAAATCAACAAGTCCCCCTTCTTGTAAGCCAAAATGGTAGTGTCACCTGGAAAACAAAAACTGAAGCATGTTATTTCAGCTATTATACATCAGATCTAAAATGCATGATGATGTTTCAGATTGAAGCATGAGTCAACTTTCTGACAATGACAAAATGCCATTGTCTCTATTTTGTGTAAGCATAGATACTTCAGGTTGTGTCATAAGTGCTTATAACATGTTTAATATCAACAATGTTTTCTACTACTTCTTAATCTTTCTCATTTCCAAAAAATGTCTGCTGTGTAGAAAAAGACTGCATTATGTTTTTTACTAGCACTGAGAAAAGAAATAGCCTGATTACCCTTTTCTCTGCAATTGATAGTGTACACCACTAGGAAAAATAAAATTACACAAAGATAACAAGTAAGTTCCTCATGAATTCCCAAGAAAGAAAACTGAAAGGAGCCTAAGTAGAACTTGGATAAGAGAATAATATCAACTGGCAGAAACTGGGAGAAAGAGCCTAAACTCAAAGTCTTTTCTAGCCAATCTTGTTTCTTGAGAAAAGAGTGTAAAAACAATGTATAAGCAAACTTTCAAAAGATAGATTATGATAAGGATCTAATACATCTATAGTTGTTTTTGCATCATATTACTCTGCCTACCCCTATATTACTTGGCCCAGTGGAGAATGGCATAAGAATGGATAAACGTATTGCATGTGTGGCTCTTTTCCTCTTTCTCCCGTTTTTCTTTTCTCTTGAACTTTCTTTTCGAGTTTAATTTGTATTGTCTTTTATTATTTCTAAAATAAATATTGTTAATTGTTATGTCTTACAGCACAGTATGCAATGGAAGTTTTTCCTTTCCATGCTATAGATTTTTTTCTGTTGAACATCAACACACAATAAATATAATATACATAAGTTACCTTGTAACTTTTTGTCTTGTATTGCTACCGCATAAAGTGATCGCTTTTTCAGTCCTTCCAGGAACATGACTATTAATTCTGCAATTGCAACACTATTGACAGATGTCAAGACAAACTCTTCACCACACAGTGTGCTAAGGGTGCAGCTTTGCCCAAATCTCTTGACTCCCCTGTAGTCACAAAATATTTCAAAAGAAAATAGTTTGTAAAATGGCAAGAAAACAAAAGTCTGGATTCCTTAAACATCTAACATAAGCAAGGAGTAAACATTTCTAAATATAGAAGTGTTCCAAATCGACAACCATTAGTGCTACTAAAAAGATCACATTGTGTAGCTTTTCTTTCTTTATAATTTTTTTGTATAGAAAACAATAATATTGTAAGTAAACACAGGACGGCTATACATGGAAACGCAGAAAAGCCAAAAATTGAAGTCCAGATACTTTGTAAAATCCTGTGCACAAAGCATATACTTGCATAATCAAAGTAGTTGTAATGCTCCTAGAAGCTGAAATAGAATTACTTTGGTTAATTCAACTCCTCATCTCTCTTTACAGAGATAAATTATATTGCATTAGATTCTCAACCCAGAGGACACAATATTTTAAGAGCTAGAAAAATACTTTCTGAATAAACAAACTCACTACGTTTATTCCTTAGGGAGAGAAAGCTATGCAAATCAAAGAACATGGAAACTCTTTCAGTTTGACACAATAACAAAAGAATCAAATATGGACAATGATATAATAGCAGGTGAACATCATTTTTCCTATATATTGACAAAGAGCTCTTTCCAGTCCAGCATGTCCAATAACAGTACCTGTTGGTATGGATGCCAGTAATTTCTGGAAAAGACAAGTCTAGAAGTCTTCTTTCAGTGTCATCTAGGAAACATATACCTTTCCAATTAATTGCCACAATGAAATGTTTCTTTGGCAGACTGGGCCCTGCAAACACAAAATAAATATTAGACTTTCTCAACTTCTCACTATACCCCCCCCTATACAAAGTATGTTGCCATCACAGTACCTGAAAATTTAGTAACTTCAAAGAATCTAGAAAAGAGCAGAGGCCACTGATCACGGGCAAAGTCTACCAGCTGCTCCTTTACACACTGAGGGGAAATCTGGTCCTGTGTGTAAGTCGCCTACAACATACAAGAAATATATTGAAGTTCAGTGGGTATTTCTTTCTTAAATACAGTATACATTGCACAAAGGCCTTCAAGTACATCTGACAATCTTCACATATTTATTGTTTAATCATCAAGTTACAGATAAAAAATTACAATGGAAATGAGTTTAGGCATTCCATTCATACTTGACTTCACAGCTGTAGTAGAAATAGAAGCTAATATTAATGTCAAATCCTACATCATTTGGATGTTCATACTTTAGCGTGAGCATATGTGATGAGGTTCACCCACTTCTCTTGGGATTTGGATCTTAGTAGCTTTGCTGGGATACATTCTTGGAGAATACTTTGAACCAACTCATTTTGGATGGACTCTCCAAACTTGATATAACAGTATTTGGCTCCAATTTCCACCATGTCCTCCTCCTATAACAATTAATCAGATTAGTCAGTTTTCTGGAAGAGTTCTTAATCCACCTTCATTCCCTAGGCCTCATTAGCTAGGCCAAACAAATGACATATTAAGAGAAATAAGCTTAAAATAAAATAAAACAAAGCCCTTCGTGGCATGGGACCAGGATGCTTGAGGGACCTTCTCATCCCACTGGGATTGGCCCGCCCCACCTGTGCTGGCAAAGGAGACATGCTGTGGGCCCCATTGGCCAGGGAATTTAGCTGACTGTGTCCAGGAGGAGAGCCTTCTCTACTTTTGTGCCTGCCTTTTGGAATATTTTACCCCTCTCCTCCCCTCCCCCCCCAGTGAAATTGGCTCCAAGTTTCCTGTCCTGCCACAAGGATTTAAAAGACCTGTTTCTGCTAGCTGGGTTGGGGCTCCAATGGAGGAGTTTCACATGAAAAGTGGTTGATAGATAATAACAGATGCTATCACCCCTCTTCTCATCCTACCCTCTCCCTCCCCATCTTTTAACTGGATCTTTACAGTATTTTATTTATGTCTTTTAGGTTTTGGATAGTTTGTATCTTTATAAGATTATAAGCTGCCCAGACTTACCCTGTGGTAAGATGGCCGGCCAATAAATTTTACAAACAAACAAATAGTACATAGAGCAATGGATTTAGAATGATAAATAATTCTTGTCAGAGATATGCCCTTAAAAAGTCAGAGTACAAAAAAAATCTACCTTTTCACAGCAGTATTCTCCAAACCGGAGGCCACGTATTATCTGATAATAGATGAGTTCAGTACTGATGGGATCTTCTTTGGAATTATGCCAGGGGGTGAAGATCTCTTTTCTGAAGTACAGACGCCAAGGAGTATACTGTACATGACCACCCTTCTCTTTTTCCTGTTGTTCACACTGAGAAATGGCATCCATGATGTGATCCCGTCCACTGCCCAGTGACCAGACCTAAGATCATTGGTAAGGGGGAAAAAGTCTGCTCAGTTAAAGAAGTACAAATTGCCTTGAAAAACTTAATATGATAAAAATTGAATGAAAATTGCACAAAAGTTATAAAGGAGAATTAAGTATTCTCCTTTACTTAAGTAGTATTATGTATAGCTATACATAAATAAGATGGCAAAAGGAGGGGATGGCCTCATTATATATTCTTCTACATTATTTGTAGGGCAAGGTGAAACAGTCTCTGAATTGACACAGATTGGGAAGTTACATTATATTAATATTCCTAAGTATGTCTGTGTAAACAAAGATAAAAATGCCATCAAGACGATACCGAATTGTAACAGGTTAAACAAAACAATCTAATAAATAAATTATATATATTTTGAAGTGATAAAAATTATTATAAGGCTATGAATAAATTTCCTAGTACGTCTCTTTGTAAACTGCATTAACATTCATTACAATAACAACAGCTCATTTTTTTTTAATTCCAAGAATGTCAACTGAAACTTGACTGTATTTGTCTTAAGGTCAACCTGAAACTTTGCTGACTTAAATTCTGGCTAAAAGGAACATTCTGGGGTGAGTCCTTGGAATAACTTATACTTTGGGATAGTTACATCTCTTCCTTGAAAAAGCAAATAGATTGTGGCCTATCCCCGTTAGCTGTATGCTCTAGGGGAAAAGATAAAGCATTGGAAGACTCAAGCAGAGAATGTTGGACTAAGAGGTATTCCAAAGGATAGGAAAAATTGACGTTTTCACTATTGCAAGTTTTTAGATGTTCCTTTTCTCATCCTGAAATAATTTTATCACATCCTTCATACTCCATCTAAGGCAGGGGTGTCAAACTCGATTTCATTGAGGGCCGCATCAGGGTTGAGCTTGACCTCAGGGGGCCAGGTTGGATGTGGCCAGGGTGGGCGTGGCCAGCTTGATGTCATTGTGTTGGGGGTGCCTGTGGTGGCCCAAGCATTCTGCTAGCAAAAACGGGCTTCCAAGCTTCGTTTTCAGCTGAGACAGCCTCCTGCAACCCTATGCCAGCAAAAACGGAGCTCGGGAGGCCATGCGCAGCCCTTGCGAGCTCCGTTTTCAGCTGGGATGGCCTTCTGCAACTCTCTGCCAGTGAAAACGGACCTTGGGAGGCCACACACAGCCTCCCGAGCCCTGTTTTCACTGGCAGAGGCACCACAGGCCAATCTTCGCTGTTTCCAGGGTGGCTCTGCAGGCCAGATGTAAGCACCCTGTGGGCCAGATCTGGCCCGCAGGCCTTGAGTTTGACACCCCTGATCGAAGGGCATTTAGTTTTGCATTATTTGATGCTTGTTTTCAATGACTTCTACAGGTAACTATCACCACATTCCTTATTAGAGTCACTTTTGTGAGGTTCAGCTTATGGCACATGGATTACCAGTATGCTCCTGATGTCACAGATGGTGCCTTGATCTCATTGAAGTAGTTAGTAGTAAGCTTTCTCAGCTAATGCAATAAGTGATTATAAATCAGCTGCGATAAGATCAATGGCCTGAAATATCTAAGAAGGCCACAGAATTCTTAACCAAAGCTGTGGTCTTTAGGCACCAATGGCTTTATTCTACAATTAGATAAGTCCAATATTTGATTCTGTTTTTGTTTTGCTTCTCTATCCACTTACATTCACAGTTGTTGACTGCCTTGTGCCAAGGAATTTCCTGTACCTCTACTTTTTACTTTTCTGTCAAGTTTTATTACCTACATCATACTGGTTTTGCTTTGCTGCAAATACTGTCTGTCTGTCTCATTAATTTCTTTACTCTGTCAGTCTATGACCATCTATTAAATAAGTAATTCCAAGAACAGTCTTAACCTCAACTCCAAAGGGGCCTTTATGTAAATATTGAGCAAATTGAAAAAAAGTTCACTCAGATTGAGTATGCAAAGAATGAATTACTTATGTAGACTGACTAAAATGAACATTAAATACATGATCAATATGATAGTGACATATATGAAAAAAATACACAGCCCTTTGGATCACGTGGGTTATTTTGTTTTCACACAATGACATTCATATGATCAGATTAAATAGAAGAATACATGGGGGAAATCCCCTGGTTGCACCAAAAAAGCAAACTATCAATTCTGGTTATGTGAATTTCTTTAAGTTATAAAACCTCTTAGTGCTATTTATATGAAAAAAGGGTAAACAGCTGGTGAAATCTGGGAAGAGATGGAAAGTGCATTTTTATATCTAGAGCCCTGGACTGGCAAGAAAAGCCCAAACCACCCAGGAAAGTATTTTATGAAATAATGTTCTCACCCTAGGATACAAATATAACAGATTAGAAATGAAAATATTTTTAAAAGTGTGCTTTTCCAGAGCATTTAGATTGACATGACACATAACTTCATTTTACCTTATCATACAAAGCAATGTAGAGAGAGAAACCAAATGTGTCTTTCAAGTTCATTTGATCAGCTACCAGCTGGCAGATCTCCTTTGCAGTGGAGGCTGAATCTGCAAGCACTTTGGTACTGTTGCCATTCATCATGATTACACTAAGTGTAATTGGTTTCTTACTCTTGGTTGCCTAAAAAATAAAGTTAAGTAAGTACTAAGAAATAGAAGTCTATTCTGAAATGAAGAAGATTGAATCTCAGCTTTTACAATATAGTGTATATAAATGATCTACATCTAGTTAGGGAAGGCTTTGTGAAATTATTAGAATAGATTAATCAATATTTAACTTGTCCATGCCTTTTAGTGCCTTAATGCTAAAAAGGTGGCAAATATCTGTAGCTTGAGTATAGAATGAGGGTGGAGGTTTGTTCTCTGAGCTCTTGGGTTGGTTTTGAATGTTTCGCTACCAAGCTGGGTAACATCTTCAGCAGAGTTTAGGGGAGATCAGTGTCAGTGTTCCTCTGTTTATAAGGGCTTCGTGTGGTCAGTAGGTCTTATGATGGGAAGGTCACATCAGGTGGGTCTTGTGATGGGTCAAGTGTGGGTTGCATCAAGTGATGGTCTTACGATGGGTTAGGTGTGGATCACGTCAGCAGCATCGATCCTCAACCAACCCATGCAACCCATGCCCCCAACCAGCACTTCACCTCCCAATGATCCTCACCTAATGTTACTTCCCCATCACAAGACCTATCACAAGATCCTTACTTGATGTGACATCCCCAACACAAGACCTACTGACCACACAAAGTTCTTATTAACAGAGGAACACTGACACCCCTTAAACTCTGTTGAAGATGTTATCTAGCCTGGTAATGAAATGTTTGGAAACCAATCCACAAGCTTGGAGAACGAACCTCTGCTCTCAAGTAGGTTTTTCTATGCTTAAGTGTAAATGGTATTATCCAGAGATGTTTTTTCTCATCATCAGGTTCCTCTTATGATGTTTATTCATAAAGTTACAGCCACTAAATGTTAATCTTTCAATGTTAATCTTTTTCTGTTTGATAGTTGCTCCTTTCAACTCTTTCCTGTTCTCTCAAGATATTAGTAAGATCTTTTCTCTCTTGAATAGCTGATCTTTCCCCACAGCCAATTCATATTGCTTTTGACAAAGGTAATTGCTAACTTTTTTTACTTACCCTTTTTATAGCAAAAATTCAATTTTGAGGGGTAAATATAATAATTCAGTAATTTAATTTATTTTCTTTCACAGGAAATAAACTTGTATTTGTGCAATTTAAAGAAAGTTCTGGAAAAAATACTGATTTTTGCTTGCTTACTTAGAATGGCTAGTGCAGCAAATGTGTCTCAAATGAAGGCTGTTAAAAGAAAGAGAACATGGAATTCATAAGAAAGTCTAGCTAAATAGTGTCAGCTGGATTCCTCATAAGAAGTGAATGAAGAGAGCTAATGTGGAACCTACTCTAAGCGACTTCAGGCATGGAAGGAAACGTAAGATATCAGAAAAAGGATGTAAAATAATTGGCCATTCTGGTGAGGACAATGGCAATTCTAATCTAACATAGCTGGAGGATATCAGACTGGAAAATATTAATTTAGATAATTAGAATTACCTATCCTTTGTCCTATCATACCATAATTTTTGATGTTAAGAAAAGAGCAGATAAAATGTAATGTAATTTGGGTAATAGTTACCTGCAGCTCCATCCAGCTAGGTGGTTCAGATCGTGTTCCATTCATATAAGTTCGCCTCAACCGTTCAGAACAATATGGTGCATACAATAATGGTCCACCCCGAATGAAATTTAGTAGATACTACAATAGTATGAAATAAAATGAGTTATTTGAAAGCATATGACCACATAGGTTTGTTAGAATTTTCTATAACAGTAAGTAGAACATAATGAAAATGTTTACAGTCCATGTTACTTTTTGCGCTTTGAATATCATGTCTCCAGTATAATGATATTCTTTAAATACTCTTTAAGAATGGGCTTGACAAAGTAGAAGGTGAAATCATTCTTTAGGCTGCAAACATGAAAATATTTGGCCTGTGTCTGAAAACTGCAAATGTCAACCTTCAGTGTGTAAGATGGAAACAAACTTCACAATGATTGTCAAAATCCAAATGTTACCAATAAGATGTTTTTAGGATAGCATTAAGGCAGAAAGCAGCCTAGAATTGGGAGTGAAGAGGAAGAAGGTCAATATATACAATAAGAAGGGAAACACTAGAAAGAATAGGGAATAGTTGCTGCTGAATTTTGCATTAGGTAACTATGGGCTAGAGCAGAGCTTAGCAACCTGAACCCAAAATCATCTAGCCCAGGAGTCCCTAACCCCCAGTCTGTGGATGGCCAGAAACTGGGCAAACAAACAAAGCCCCATCCATGGGATGCAGGCAGCATGTGAAAACATGCCCCGCCTGGTCCATGGAAAAACCTCTCTCCATAGAATTGGTCCCTGGTCCCCAAAAGGTTGGGGGCCGCTGATCTAGCCCATGGTCCTAAATGAAATATATTTACCTCATATGCACAGAAAGAGTGCTTGCTGCCTCCTCAGGCAACCATTTTAACTATGGCTTTACCAGCTGTCTCTGTGCAACTTGTGCAAAAAGTAAATTATCCAATATCTTCTTAAAAACTTCCAGTGTTGGAGCATTCATAACAAAGTACCCCAGAATGGTGGCAGTAGTATAGCCTCTGGCTCCTACATGAAGATGTTTGTCACCCTAGGGCTAAAGCTTTGTTCTACACATGGTCCTCAGCCATTAACTGAAGTAGCTTTTCAGAATCAATACCTTCACAAACTGGTCCGAAGGGCAGAAAGAACCAAGGCAAAGTGACAGCAAGATCCAACCTCTATGGTAACTAGTTTTATTGTTATTTTCAGTGAGTTGTTTGCAGATCTGACAATAAATTTCATCCCTGTTATAGAAAACAAATAGGCATTTTGTTATATTTCAAGTTCATTATTTCAGAAGCTAGCAAACTTTTCTGGCCAGAGATCACATTTAATTACATTTTTTTAAAAAAGACTGTGTTCTCTGTTGGCCACAGCAGGGATGAAGAGCCAAAAGGTTTGCCTTTCCTCCTTTTGGGAATATAGGATTTAATGACATTCCTATTTTGCATAATAGGGGGGGAAAAGGAAAATCATAATGGGGGGGGGAAAGATTTTAAAAACCCAAATACTTTCTCAACAAAATGAATAGAAAAATGCACAGTTGAAGAGCAATAGGGGAAAGGTGAATGCAGTGTTGAATATGTCTCTCACTCTCTGTTACTTATCATGCATTTTGGTTTTCAGGGTTATTTCATGCCCTGTACATCAGTTTTACCTATAACAACGTTAACTTTGCAGGGAAAACAAATCAAACCAATGAGTACTCTAGATGTGTTGTGAAACTTCACCCTTGTTATGAAATTGACTAAACAAAAAAAATGGAGGATCTCATGTGAAATTTAAGAGATTTAAAACCTCACACATGATATTGTTCACTTAAATGTAAGCTTAACTAAAATATTTTATGACTTTTGTTTAAAAATGCAACTGATACAAAAATAAACAGTTAATATACTTTTATATTTTAAATCTTGAAATTCAGCTCAAAAGCAATAGAAAAAACTTTGCTTCAAGCTTTTTGCAAAGAAAATAAAAAACAACATAGGCTATAAGAAAAAGTATGCTTCAGAGTATTAATGTCAGACATGCAAGGAACAATTGACATAAATATCAACCACATATTTAGTGATATCAGGAACACCTCTGATGAAGCTTAATAGCTTTTTATATAGCCTTATTGCACAAAACATCCACATACATTATTTCAATACCTGAAGGAAACCTGAGTTTTATTCAAGCCATTTTAGATACACATTTTAGATGTTTTAGATGGATCTGGATCTGTGCAGTTGCTATTGAAAATAAAGGTACTATTTAATAAATGTAATACCTGATGGCAGAACGCAGAATAGCATTTCCAATGATAAACTGCACTTTTTCAAGGTTAGACATAGGCCTCTCAGATTCAGAGCATTCCTCCTGAAACGTACCGGTATCTTCCCCATTCATCAGCTGGTTTTTTATCTAAAATAAGCATAAAACCATTCACCCTTTTTTATCAGAATTGTTTTAAATGGCACCCAATCCATGCTAGAATGGAACACCAGCTCAGCCCCTCCAACCTGATGTGCTTTAAATGTTTGGACCAGACTAATCTCAAAACAAAGTAGGAAGTTCCTATTATAGGCAAGATATGTACTCCATTCCTCCCATGTTGCTTTGGACATGAGAAATGTCTGTCTGTTCATCTGCAACCTAGTTTGTTGACATTATTCATTTTATATTCAAGATACAAGAGGAGGGGGAAACATCTGCATATGTCTGCTGCTTTCTCAGAAAGTTTCTGCCTAGCAATAAGCCCCACAAGTATATTTTCAATAGGAGACTGTAATGCTGATTGGATGGTGAGAAGAAAATATGCAACAAACCTTATCAGCCATTTTGGAGTTGCGCTTCAGTTTCACAGAAGAAATTACCTTGGAGAACTTGTTAGCTTTTTTGATGTCTACCTAAGTTATCCAATTTATGAAGAAGAAAAAAAGAGTTAGCTTGATTCCCCAAAACCGATAGAAACTGAAAAAGAAGGGGAACCAGCATTCATAAGCATTGGGTTATAGGAAGAAAGCAGTTTTTTTAAAGTCTCAAACATTGTTTTTTATTGTTATTTGTAACAAATAATTTTGGAAAGCAACCTTTTTCTCCTCTTTGTAGTGTCACTTAATTACCCATCAAGATATTACTGCTTATGTTACTATTTTTATATTATAACTTTTTAAATTAGTATTTTAAGTCACTTGTCTTCAGAAATTGAATGGCGTAAAAGCTGCAACAAGTAATTGGTTAAATAATAGCTATTAATTGATGGCTACCTTGTGTTCGGAGTTTAACAAAATATTACATTATTAGATTCAATAAATTTGTCATAGACATTTATGTTAGAAAAATGTCACATTCTAAGACATCAATGCTCTACTAGCAGTGTACAGTAAGCTTTAGAAAATTAACCAGTATAGTTAAAGAAATTTTAAAAGTCAAAAACATTACAGAGTGAGAAGATTGAATTTAAGAAGAAAGTGTGGCAGCAAACCATTCTCATCTTATTTTACTGATGGAATAGAACTAAGTTTCTTAGTCTATTGTGGAATATATAGACAGAATTGAACTGAGTCTGCTTCCATTTTAGTAAGATGTTTTTCTCTTGTGGAGAACAAGATGAGGATCATGCTGAGTCTTTCTAGTATTTTGTAGACACTTAAGACTAACTTCCTGGAAGTGTTATAAATTATATGTTCTGTCATGCAAATGGAATGTGGTGCTTTCTTTTCAATAAACAGAGTGCTAATAAACTTTGACCCAATTTTCTGGCTAAACCAAAACTGCTTACAATTAACAATAGAACAATTACAGACAGCTACCCTGTCCCCGGTAACTCTACTAGTTCAAATCAGCAAACTGTAGCTGAAATAAATTAACATTTAAGCCCTAAAGACAAAGCAAACATTTCTAAAATCACTGAAACCCAGAGTCTGTGGTTTGTACAAGGCACACAAGATGACACTTCAGATGTTTGATAACTCTCTGAAAAGATGAGCATTATCAAGCCCTTCACAGGCTACAAAATACTTGTTGTCTGTAGGGTTCATATTGTCCATAGCTGCCCATGTTATGAACCAAGAAGGTAGGCTTCTTGTCCTACCTGCTCTGTTAAATCTAGTGATTAGTTATAAATTAGTATGGAGCAACAAATAATTAGGATTCTAATTTTTCTATTTAAATAAGCTTATAGCAATGAAAAATATATTTTCCTTACTATATCTGGATGATAACTGCTTACAGGCTGCGGTTGGCTTTTCTTGTCAAAGCTTTCATAAATCTGGGTCTCCTTGGAACTTCTCTTGCTGTTGATATTCTGCACTCTTTCTGGCAAATCACCCATGAACTGCAAAATGATGGTCCATACAGCTAGAGAGGCCTAGTGAGAACAGATAGTAGACATACTGTCCTTGCAATTATGATGCATTTAATTAACAAATACTTATTAGCTGAATGGAGAGAAATTAACTTTCTTGATTTTTGTACATCAGCATATGAATGTACTTAATTCCTATTGAACATTATGAGAATTAGTGCATGTCTATGTTTACAATATAGTTAAAACAATAAACATGATGTGGTATGAGAAACATTGGCTACTCATTCAATAGATGATTTTGCCATTTTGTCCAATCAAATCAATTTTGTTACTGTTGCCTTATTTTGAGGCCAACATTTAGGAAGAGAAAACTGTATGTGGTTTCATTAAATACAATTACTGTACAATTACTGTACTTCCCAGAATAAAATGTGGAAACAATTAAATATTAATAATTCATTGTATAAATTTTACCATGAACAAATGGGCACAAATTTTGTCTGAAAATATTGTAAGACATCTGGAATGTGCAAATTGGAGAAAGCTAATCTAAATTACACTTATGGTCTTGCTGCATATTTGCCTTTTATCTCAATGTTAGGTCTTTCTCATGTTTTATGAAGTAAATTGCTGGGTGTCATTTTTTTAAATTAAGCAGCAATGAACAAACAAATCATAATGTCATAATGTGCCATTTTTAATGGATAGCCCTTCAAGTTGCAAGAGAGATGGTGAAATGATGCCTCAATATTTCTACATGCTTATCCTAAATATAGTTAATGTTTTCAAAATTGGCTGAACAAAAATATTTTAAACTAGGTAAAGGTAAAGATTCCCCTCGCACATATTTGCTAGTCGTTCCTGACTCTAGGGGGCGGTGCTCATCTCCGTTTCAAAGCCGAAGAGCCATTGCTGTCCAAAGACGTCTCCATGGCCATGTGGCCGGCATGAATAAATGCCAAAGGCACACAGAACACTGTCACCTTTCTACCAAAGGTGGTCCCAATTTTTCTATTTGCATTTTTTACATGCTTTCGAACTGCTAGGTTGGCAGAAGCTGGGGCAAGTAACAGGAGCTCACCCCGTTACATGGCACTAGGGATTCGAACCGCTGAACTGCCGACCTTTCGATCGACAAGCTCAGCGTCTTAGCCACTGAGCCACCGCATCCCTCATTTTAAACTAACTGGTAAACAAATAGTCCTAATTAGATAGTTTAGTAACAAATGAATACTTTAAAGCCTTCAGGGTCCGAATAGGGTGATGTTAGCATTTTAGTTCAGTGGACAGTTGACAGAGTAATAAATTATACAGAAGATTAACACTACAGCAGACTTTTCTACCAGTCTAAGCCTTTAGTTTTCTGCACAGATTTGTCCTTAAAAAGTACTTGAAAACAACATCTACTGAAGAATTTATCAGCCAAATAACAGAATATTAATTTTGAAACAGCTACAAATGTTGCTTAACTGTTCTGAATCAACTTCAATGTGCTGATTCTTGGCTATAAATCTTGAAAAAATTGGGAACAAACTGTGTTCCTCAACTGCAGAGACTTGTGTCTTTCAGCAATTAGACAAAATGAGAATGTGGGGATTAAAGCAGACTATTTTATACATGGCCATTGTGTCAATTGTCTGGAACTCCTTTTCATGGTAGGATAGGTTGGTCTCTTTGTTTTTGATCTTTATATTGTTAATAACTTTTTCATTGAGATTGGAATGACAAATGTTTCCTGTTTTTAAATAAAGGATTAATTAAAACTGAAGTAATATTGAACTTTTAATATTGCAGTTATTTGATGACTGAAAAAGACTAATTTATAGGCGATAAGGCCATGATCATCAATTGCTATAACATCTTATTTATTTGTTTGTTTGTTTGTTTGTTTGCCTTTGAGACAGTATTAACTCCTAGCAACTGCCTAGTCACTGCAGTTTTCTTGGCAAGATTATAAGAAATAGTTTGCCTTTTCTTTCTTCTTAGGGCTTCCTGGGAGATAACAATTGACCCAAAGTCACCCAGCTGGCTTGGTGCCTAAAGTGACTCTAAAATTCAGTCTCCTGGTTTCTAATCTGGTGCCTTAAAACATACTTAGAATATGCAATATGCAAACACAATAAAAATCAACATAACCAAATACATTCCTTATCCACATCACTGCATTAACATCCATTCTATAATATTCAGTACAGTCTGCAGCACCACATTCCAAATTATCAGGAAAAACATAGTCTGATTCAGAACAACTTACACTTCAGTCCCTGAAGGCTATGTAACAAACAGTTGTTTTAATTTTCCTGCCTGTTATCAGGGAAAGAAAACAAGCTGTTCCAAATTTATTCCAAATGCAATTTATTAAACATTACTTCAAGGAACTGGGAGTTTTGATTTTAAAAACACATTAAACTAAAGTAAATAATTACCAAAATATCATCTTTTTCATCATGATAAAGCAAAGGGTGGCGCAGTGGACGTCTAATGTGTGTATAAGTGGCAGATCCCTGGAAATAAGTTGCTGCAAATTTGGGGAAGGTGTATTGTGCCAAGTCATCTGCCTCCTCATCCAGCTCTACCGTTATGGGGATCATATCCAGGTCTATCTCGTGCAGCTTGTTTGTTTGTGTTTTTTTCTCCAGGTCCTACAAGGTACAGAAGTAGAAAAACAGTTTAGCTTTAATTCTCTAGTGTTGTTAACCTAGCCTTGATATAAGAAGGTGTTAAAGTTGCAGGCAGAAAAGTTATTTAAATAATGTCCTCTTCAGCACTCAGGGATTGCATTCCAGGGAAAAAATGGTAGACTGAAGATTATTCCACAAAAAATGACGCCTATGACCATAATGGAATGAAGAACCAGCAAGTAGGCCTCTCTGGACAAGTGCTCCAAACAGCTGCTCTCCATGAAGAGATTGACAGGCAGCAGTCTCCAGGAGGTTTGTAGCTCTGGGAAATGAGGGGACAGCCATCTTGCTCAAATTGCTATGACAACCTCAGAAATTTGGCTTCTCAGAAATAGGGATTTTCTGATCAACTTCATAATGACTCCCAGAAAATAAAAATAAAAATGGTGAATGGATGAAATCTATTGCTCTGCTTTTGCAGGGTATTGGTATTCACTGCCCAGAAATAGGGCAACTTTAAGTTGAGATGGTGGATAAAGGTGGTCATGTGAAATAACTTTATCAGTTTGCTTTCTGGTAAATCATTATTTTTATTTTGGTCACAATCAGCAATGCTGCCATTTTAATGATATATTTTGAAATTTTCAAATGTGCTCATTAGTTCTTCAGAATTACTTCATTGTTCAAAAAGCACAATCAGGAATGCTAGACCTATTTTTATTACAAGGTTACGTTAACAGAAGCTTGCAAGTCTGAAAGTACCCCTCTGGTACCTCACTTTTACTCACCAAAAACCAGGGAGAGTCCCTCCTAAATGCTTCTGCCACTTTCTCCTTTGGACTCAGATTTTGTTTACCAGATTGTTGTCTAGGCTATTGCTCTTTCTCCTGCCTGAGAAGGTGATTCCCACATACTATTACAATAGACAATCAATTTAATTATTTCTCCACCTCTTCTTACCTCAAAGCCCAAAGGAGCTTGGCCTTCTTGTCCCCCAATGAACGAAGGCAAGAAGCCAAATACTCTGTCCACCATTTCCTGATCACTGATGACATCATACATTGATTCATGTTTGTTTTCTTTAGAGTCCTTTATTTTTAAAGGAATTGCCAAACGTTCCTGTAAAGAAATAATAGGAATCCATTAAACTGGACTTAGGGATTGAGTTAGGACTTTATATGTACAAATTGCATTTTATAAATACTCCTGCATCATCAAAACAAAATAACAGAATTAGTTACTATTCAATGATTTGACACTGGAAACTTCAACAATAATTTTATTCCTGGCAATTTATTAAACATTGCTTCAAGATGAGGGTTGTTGAAATGTTAACAGAAAGCTATTTATTTTATTTTGGCCCAGTGAAATGCCTCATCTAGTTAAGCAAAAGAAATCCCACTCAAGAGATTCAGAAAGGAAAACCTGATATATTGATACAGGTAAATGGGCAGAGAAATTTGAAACTTGCAAAACCCAAACACTAATGGATTAAGATATTGTCCTTTTTTTGCCTTTCATAGACGAATGAGAGTACTCTCCCAGGGCTGGCTCAAAATGATAGGCAGCGTCCAGATCCAGAAACCAGGCTGGAAATCTAAGAAAGGACTTGCAATCTAAGAAATAGTGAAGTTGGATATGGGTTGATATTTGGATTTGATCGTACAAAAGATTATTTGGGTTTGGTGACTTAATTATACCTTCTTGTTATTCCATCTCTGTCTTCCTGGTTCAAGGAGTTGCTACTGAGATAATGCTTTCAGAAGTCAGTTTTCTTTTATTTATTTTTTTCTCCTGTCCTTTTGTTCTTTCAACTTTTTAGTTTTTTAATTAAACTAAACACATGATATAGACTTGATTTCTTACTGAATGTATGACTCCATTCTGAAAGGGTTTTAATATTATCATATGTATCTTCCTTCTGCTGACTACTCCCAAGTAACTCTGGTCCAGAAAGGATTTCTTTGTGGAAGTGTACCTGATGGTAGCATTTACAGAATGGGCTCTCCTTAGGATCATGGGTATTGTAAGATTTGCAGAGAAAGAGGCCTTAGAGGGTCCCTACCTGAGGCAAGCAGGCAGCACACACACACCACATCCTAAGCATGTATGCCTTCAAGTGCATCTTATTACACCTTAAAACTCACTTTAAAGCAAAATATTGAGTTCACCCTTTTCAAGGAATTGTTGTAGAAGAAAACTTTACACATTTTATCATCTATCAAATCAAAAATTGAGATTATTTAGGTATTGAAGAGTTGTCATAGATAAGAGATAGGGCAAAATTTTCCAGATGTTTTAGAAGACAAGACAAGAAGGAATAGGTTTTAGCTGGAGGGGAGTAGATAGTGATTGGACATTTGGACAAGTACTGATGGTGATAGCTAATCACCGGCAAAACGACTGCCTCAGGAAAAGATGAACTCTCTTTCTCTGAACAAATTAAGTAAATGCCAAATTGCCATCTATCAGGGATGTGTAATAGTGGATTGTTGCATTGACAATAATCTTAGGTAATTTTGACACTGTTATTTTTAAGCATTTATTTAACACAGAAACAGGCTGGATCTAATACTAATTTTAGCCATTCTGTTCTCATGTCCTAGTTATGATTTCCCAGATTCTCCACTTTAATTATATTAAACAAGCTATAACTAGTCACTCTCTTTGGAGGTATAGCTATTTTATTCTATCATCAAAATTACTCTTCTGCACAATTTCTATGGACAAGACTTGTGCTCTGATTCCTATTTCCATGCTTCCAATCATACTACCTACCGTCTTCATTTTGTGCAAAGTCTTACGAACAAACATTCCCCTGGCATAAGCCTGTATCACACACACAGCTTTCAGCTGTTCAGCAATTTTCTGGCGCATCAGGTAACCTCGGCACAACGCTTGAAACTTAATCATGTTGCCACGGGCTTCTTCGTACTTCTTCATAAGCTGTTTGCTCCGGAAAAGGGCTTGCAGACGTTCAAATCCCAATATGAGCTATATGGGAGAAATAACAGCCTGACATTAATTGTGGTGCAAAACATCTTCTGTTGCTGTATCTCAGGGTTAAAGGCAAATTCTTACCATTCTAAAATTTTTCCGAGCAATATATCCTCTCCAGGCTGCCTGTATAACTACAGCACTTTGTCTCTGGTTCAGAAATTGTTTCCTTTACAGAGAAAGAATAACAACAAACACAACTAAGTTATTCCACAAGGAAAAAAAATATTAAAGGAGTGTTCAGAGCACACCCAATGGAACAGGTGCTGGAGAAAAACTGAGTTATCCCAAAAAAACAAATCAAGACCAAGTAATTTCATTATAGCAAGACCAAGTGATTTCATTTTTTAGATGAAAACAATGACATGTGAACTCCCTCTTCTATGAGGTACTGGAATTATCTTAAATAGACATGAACTATTCTAAGTGGTTTTTCCTTTAACACTAACACTTTAATGCTCAATGTACCATGAATTTAGAGTTCAACCGCCTAAATGGGTTAAAGTGATTTAGCGTGTTTTAGAGGAGATTAGGTATCTGCTGTGGCTCCATTATTGTGGGCAAGAAGGCTTGGATCAAACAGTAGTAAATGATCTGTTTAAATGCAGTGATCCTGATATTCCATAGATGGTGTTCCATTCATCACCATTTCCTATTTCTTTTCCAACTTTCCATGTGTATTGAGCATGCTCAGTTCCCTCTGGACTACTGTATTTCTTTGTTTCTCTTTTACATTTTTTTTTAAATCACGAACCTTATCCTTTCTTTTCTTGTTAGCCAGACAGGGTAGATTAAAACCTAGACAACACATTGATTTGTTTGGTTATGGGAGGGTCGCATAACAGGAAGGGGTCCATAAAGTCAAGATGGCATCCAAAAAGCCCACCCTTTTTGCATGTGATGTGATGAACATAAAAATGGGCAGTACTTCAATTGCCTGATAGTGGCTGTCATCTTGTCTTTTTGGACACCCCTCCCCCTATGGTCACTACTAGTTATGGGTTTTCCTCTTTCTGGAATGGAAGGCCAATGTTTTGCTTCCTAGGCTATAAACTACCATCTTTTCACTCCCTCCTGCTCATTTTTGCTCTTTGAGGATCTTATTGCATTCTAGACAGAGGTTTTCAAGCTTTTTCAGGCTGTCCAACTTGTTGGTTTTTTAAAATATTGGAAACCACTGATCAAAAGTCAAGGCACCAATCATGGAAAACTGACTTCATTCAATTGAATTTGTTTGTTTCTCTTTTAGTCTGTCACAGAACCTTATCATGTTCTTGAGGAACTCAAGGACTCCATGGAACACAGTTTGAAAACCCGGATCTAAACAATGCACCACTGTGACTGTTAATAATTCACATTTGTCACTACCATTAAACATGGTTACCTGTCTTTGAATCCCCTCAACACCTTCTGAATTAGAATGGCTTTTTCTCTGAGTGCCTTGTCACGCTGCACCTCCAGGACCGTATCATGATAATCCTATTAAAAATTTGAGAAAAATAAAAATTTAAACTAAGGCTGAAGCAAAACAGATTAAATGATTCTGTATACACAACAGTAGCTGGATTTAATTGTTCTTCTTAACAATTCAATTTATTACTAAACCCACTGGCAGTTGATCAATGGTCCCCTGATAAATATTTTAAAAACCAGTTCTGCTGCTCTGTTGCTGCTGCCAGATTACTAGCCATAGATCAGCCAATTTGCATGCCATGCATAGTGGCTCAGCTCACAAAATTCCAGAAACTTTAACAGTCAGCTTTTGCCAGCCGGTGTAATTCAATTCCACCGTATCACTGGGTTTGATTATATAGAAAGCATAAATCAGGATCAAGCTGCAAAACAAATATTTTGAAACAGAATAAATGGGGAGAAAAGAAAGACTTAGAAAGTCATGTTTGGAAAAGGTTTGAGGAGATCCTTAAAAAGGGAAGACTATTTCTTACTCTTCTTCTGTGCTGCACATACCATTGCTTATCCAGAAAGGAATAAAATAATAAAATATATGTACATTGGAGTATTTCACCATTCAAGTGTTCAGATTTGTTTGTTTGTTCAGAAATACATTTATTAGTTATGAGCAGTTTATCTTAACTTGTAAGAAAAAAATTCAGAGGTAGGATTAAAAGTATATCTAAATGAGTTGTCTATTTATTATGATTTCCACATCATTTTTTGGACATCAAGGGAGCATTTATTTGATCAGAATAGAATAATTATTTTATATCTTCAAAGTTAATTTATACCCTGCATTCTGACTCCACCTATTTCTATTTTCCACTCGGATACTCTTGCTTTCCAGTATGGAAAGGTTTATCCCACAAAACAGAATGGGGCTCTGGAACCTATTTTTACCAAGAATTATCTGAATACTTCAAGTAAAAATGCTTAAGATTATACCATCAGCCTACATGCAATTGGACATACCATAAACCCCACTGAATCCAATTGGATTTGTTTCAGAAACAGGTTTGCACAGTTAGTCATGAAAAGCATCTGCCTGTGAAAACTGTGTAACTTACTTTCAGAAAAACTTTGGTTTTTCCAATTTTCCAATCTTCATCTTCCATTACTTTCTTACAGATACAAATGCAACTCTGACGAACATCATTTTTCAGCTGGAATGGAAGGTAACAATCTCATTTAAATTAAAGTAAAAATATAAAGGCTACATAAGAAATAAATTTATTTATTGAGTCATCAAATTTGTATGAATTTTTAAACATTTCAAACTGGCCATGCTTAGGAAGTATCTTTTTATACATTTTTCCTCTCTATTTGCAAATAATATCTCATAACATGAGAAATGAGATATCACCAAGCGCTATCATTAAAACATAATAAATTACTACATGTAACACCTGCCCAAATTGGTAGTATTGTGGTTCCTGCCTCTGATGTTTCATTATTCTAAGAGTATCTGCAATCTTCTCTAATAAACTGATTAAAGAAACTTTGTTAATTCATATCTTAATTGTTGATTATCTAAGATTTTCAAGTGTTAGCAATTACCATTTTTTCAACAGATTTATGTTATTCCTATACTTCACAATATTTGATAATTACTGTTAAACAAAAATAAAAGAAATAGATTGCTATGTACTAAAGGAAAACTAAGAATATTTATAGATCTAATCTGGGTTGGTCACTGGGACCAGAGGTTTTGTATTCCGTGCTTTTGGACTCATGCTGGAACCCCAAGGAACTTCTCTCTAGCAGAGTGTGAGCTGTTCGAATTAAGGCTATAAAGCCTTAGTAAGACTACACCTAGAATACTGCATCCAGTTTTGGTCACCACAATATAAAAAAGATGTTGAGATTCTAGAAAAAGTGCAGAAAAGAGCAACCAAGATGATTAGAGGACTGGAGACTAAAACATATGAAGAACGGTTACAGGAACTGGGCATGGCTAATCTAGTGAAAAGAAGGACTAGGGGAGACATGATAGCAGTGTTCCAATATTTGAGGGGCTGCCACAGAGAAGAGGGGGTCTAGCTATTTTCCAAGGCACCCGAAGGCCATACAAGGAATAATGGATGAAAACTGATCAAGGAGAGATTCAACCTAGAAATAAGGAGAAATTTTCTGACAATGAGAACAATCAATCAGTGGAACAATCTGCCTTCGGAAGTTGTGGGAGCTTCATCATTGGAGGCTTTCAAGAAGAGATTGGACTGCCATTTCTCAGAAATGGTGTAGGGTCTCCTGCTTGGGTGGGGGGTTGGACTAGATGACCTACAGGGACCCTTCCAATTCTGTTAATCTGTCATCAGTTAGAATTTATTTATAGTTATTTAGAAAATTTAATATTGATGCTGATACTGCACGTAATAAATGCTGTAGGAACAGATTTTAGAACAAATCAATCTGCTTTATTACCACTTATTATTATAAAAGAGTAATTTAAAACAATAACCAATCTTGAAAATATATAACAGGATACCTGTTCTCTAGCTGGCACTGGCTGTAGGACTCTGTATCTCTGAAAGAAATCTGCAAAGTTATAGCGAATTGGATAGCCAGCTTTCCTAATCCGTATGGTTTCTATCATACCAGAGTAGTATAGCTGTCGGATACAGAGTTCTCTATCAAATTGCTGAAAATGAAAGAAATGCCAAATTTACCACAGAAGCATAAACATTCTCTAACTAACCAAATCCAGAGTTGATTTAATGAAAAATATTGTTTTGTTCTTAAATCATATTTTCAGGTAGGTCTAAACTACCTGGTCGCACAAAGAAAAAAGCATAGTTCTGAAATAAAGCAGCCTTTGCATCAAATTTGGCTTCTGATGATTTAAACAAGTCAGCCATCTCGTTTTCTTGGAAACAAAATGACAATGGTTTGTTTCTGTCATTTTTCCATATCCAGTCTGAACTATTGCCCTGCTATTGGTAGCCTCCCCTCTGAGTACTAACCAAGTCTCACCCTGCTTAGCTTTTGAGATCAGCCAAGCTCAACTAGATACTGCCACTCATGAGGGCTAGTTAGTGTATCTGTACATGTATCATCATTAAAGTAATGTAAACTGAAGCCTGGAAATTTTTGAATAAATGGTCTTCTCCCCTGAAAATCATTTACAATTTGCAGGGTATGAACAATCCAGTGACAACAAGAAAAAGCACGTTTTCATCATTACTTTTCTCCTGGATATGGTATGTCTTGAAAATGCTGTGATATCTGACTTAAACTAACCAAGAATGTTCCAAGTGCAGAATGAACATATTACATTTTTACTTACTTCAATTTGAAATTTTTATTATACATATTTTCATGTAGTAATATCCTTTATATAAAGAAAATTAAAAAGTGCAATATATTCTACTTGTGGTTAGGCCAAACAGTATTTTTCAAACTTGGCAACTTTAAGATGTGTGGACTTCAGCTCCTGGAATTCTGGGAAATTTATCACAAGACATCTTCTGGGAGTATTTTTGGCATACAGACTAATAAAGCTATGTCTTCTGGAAACTATTAAAAATCTAAGAAATTAATTAATCAATTATATAATCCTTACAAAATTATTTCCCCCCTCCTGAAACCATATGACATGACATATGAGGAGCATAATGAAAGTTTACCATGGGTTTCTTTTGGTCATTGGGTTTAAGGCAGCGGATAAAATAAGGCTGACAGCTATTCAAGATTTTCATCAACTGCTCCAGAGACTGTTTGAATTGTCCTGCTAGTGTAGGCAAGCGTTTGCCAGAATCTGATCCCTGGGGACAGAAAGTACAGAAATGGCATAAATGCCAAATGCCAATCAGCAAACAATTTATAACAATGCTGTAAATTGTTTACAGGAAAAAAATATAAAACATAGATGGTTGAATGCAAATATACAAAGCCATTATTTATTTTGCAAGTTTAATAGTTCAATTTTTTCTCAGTGTTGAAAGGAATTCAAAATGAACCTGATATATATACATGCAGCAAAGCTTTTTTCTATCTTTCTTGAAATAACATTTCCATGTAAAATATTCTACGTGCTTTGCTAATGAATGCATATTTAAAGCTGCCCCTTTCTTTGTTTTGGTTTCATATAAGCTTGTTGTTTGTCCATTGTGTTTCATAATGATGCCATATAAATGCTCAGAGGAGAAGGAAGCAGCATATATTTCAGCTTTGCAGTAACAACTTTGTAGATTATTGGATCTTACCAATAATTTTGCATACACATATGGATCATACTTTGAAAATAAAAGAGGATATAAGTGCTAACAATATGTGCCCTAGGAACATAGTCAGTATATAAAATCAGTGTGAAGAAGAGATTCAGTACTTTATGTAAAAGGGAAGAGAGAAGAAAACCTGTATTAGGAAAGACAAACTGAAAAAAAAAATCCAAATAGTTTGTATAATAAACTGTCATGATAGGGAAAGACAGAACAAAGGTCTTGAATAATATTATAACTGAACACAAGCCAGAAAGAACAAAGAAAAATATTTTAATCAAGTATGTTATCAGATAAAAGAATATAATAAGAAATTAGAGGTTTTTTTTAAAGAACAAAACATTTTATGTGAATTTACACCATAGTGATCATACTTTATTATAAAGGACAGTCCTTTATTTCAGAAAGCTGTCCTTTAGTTTAATTTATTATTTATTTTCTTGGTTTTGCTCTTGAATTTTATTTATTTATTTCAATTTATATAGCCACCTTTCTCACATTTATGACTCTGGGCAGCTTACAATTAAAGCATAAACAATACCAAGCACATAGAATAAAACAACAATGCAAATATTACATGTAGTCCTTGATTTATAACTGTAATTGAACCTGGAAATATGGTTGTAAGTCATTGTGATCATAAATTGAGGCATCATGTTATTTTTCAGGTTTTTTGTAGCAGTCGTTAAGCAAATACCAGAGTTGTTGAGTGAATGTCATGATCTTTAAGTGAATGCATTATCCCCAATAGGTGTTTTTTGCTGGAAACCAGAAGTAAACACTGGAAATGACATAAATTGCAACCATGTGACCATGAGATGCTACAACTGGCTGTGACCATGAGATGCTACAACTGGCTGTAAAAGTTGGCCCATTGCCAAGCATCTAAAGTGTGTGTGTGTGTGTGTGTGAGAGAGAGAGAGAGAGAGTGGGGGGGAAACCATTGTGACTTTGAAAATAGGTCATATATAGCTCTGGGGATATCCTTCTTAACTTTGAACTGTTCTTATGTGATCAGTTGTAAATTGAGGATTACCTGTATAAAATATTAAAACAATTAAAACTATGGAATACATTGATCATTAGACCATAATAATTCACAAACAGTACAACCATTTTATGGGCTCTTCGCCACTCTCTGATCCCCAAGGCCAAATAGTATTTTCCTTTGTAATAGACAATTATAAACATGAACAATTAATTTTTAAAATCCTTATTAACCTTTTTCAGTTTTGCTCTTTTTCAGGTTTGTCCTTTGTTTTTTTTCAAGAAAATATAGTCACTGTAATTTATGCCTATGATTAGAATATTCAAACAAGTGTTTATGGAAAAAATGTGAAAGAGGCAAAATGAGATTAAAGAAAAGTGGAAATGTTATACTGACACTCCATATGGGTGTGATTATAGTACAACAGAAATATTTGTAGAGGCAGGATACATTCAGGAAATAACTTCACTAGATAGCAAGACAATAGATGAACTGTCGAAGAGGAAAGCACAAGGCACAAACAAAATAGCACTACATTGTTTAAATCTGCAGGAGATGAGACTATTAAATTTCTAACTATGCCCATAAATATGGGACAAGAGTGCCATAAAGTTGCCTAAAGTTTGGAAAAGTTTGGTTTATAAAGTTTATATTGTATTCAGTATACGAAATGCAAGACAACACACAAAGTACCAAATCACCACTGAATTTATTATTTAGAGAGGCAAATCTTTATTTGAAGATGTTATAAAGAACAGAGCTATATTCAGAAAAAGAAATGCCAAATGAATAAGCATGCTTTAGAAAAGGCAGAGGGACATAAATTCTGATATAAAATTAGACTGATATTAGAGAGATCAAGAGAATATATCCATATTCCTTTTCTTCATTTCCTACATCAAAGTTTTGTTTTTTTCATTTCCTACATCAAAGTCTTTGTGTACTGGAATGTGAAGGCTGAGTAATCTTTACTATAAAAAAGCTACTGTAAGGACTGAATTTGGAGACTCAGAGTGATTCATAAAAGGGAATACAGTGAGACAAGGATGTGTATTGTCCCCATGTTGATTTAATTATATTGTAGTAGAATTGAAAGAGATCACACAGCAGTAATTAAAACTGCAGTTAAACATTGAGATATGGAGATGATATCATTTTCTAACTGAAAGTAAGAAGATAGTACTGTAAGAAAAACAGACAATGAGTCCTGGACTTAATCAAGTTTTAACTTACTTTGAGGTTGTATTTAACAAGCAGTAACTCATACTGCTCAATGATACAATTAGTATTGTATTAGAAAAAATTACTAAATTAGACCAGAAAAAATTAAAAGGGGAAAGTGTATTTATTTATTCCATTGTCAGCAAGACTTATATGACAATCCAAATCTAAAGAAGATAAATACATGAGAAGATGCTGTGAAATCATTTTGCATGTGCAGAAAGAAATATGTATTATTTCTCCTTAAATTTTGTGAGACACAAAATGCTACATTATTATGTAATTTTATAGTGTGTGAACCCTACTATGAAAACCAAACAAAGAAATCAACATAAAGTTCAGTCACACAAAAACCAAAGCTAATTTTATTAACTTTGGCTATAATAACAGACTCTTGTAAATCTGATGGTGCTTTATGTCCTCCCTTATGTAAATTTGGAATTCATCTTTTGTTCATTCTTCCTTCTTACTATGCACTTAAGCCATGTTTTTCCTGTCACTTTGGTCATAGATCTGGTCTATCTCTGTGAAGGTCATCTTCCTTTCTTTCTACAGAATGACAGGAAAAATTTTTGTAATAGCCAAGATAAACTGCACAAATCTGCATCTCTATAATGGGAATGACAATCCCAAGCATCCAATGTGCTCAAGTGTCACCAACCCTAATATACCTTGCCACTAGAGCATGGGAAAACTGATTGTGTAATCCTTCTCTTTCCCTCTTTAACTTTTCCCATTTGCCTTCAATTGCTGGAGCCTAGGAGATTTAGCACCTGGCGTTTGTCATCCCGTCATCTGAAAGATTTGCCTTGTGAACTAGAGACCTCAACTTATGCCCTGAGCACTAACTGGCTTCAATTTTATACATAAATCTATCAAAGTGGGAGTAGAAAGTGTTGTCCATTCATCAGTCTAACCTTCAAGGAATCCTTTCCAAGGTGCTTAATGGTCCCACGGCCAAAAGGCAGAACATGCATGCTTGTGTCCACCTGAAAGATCTCTTTGAGGAATTTATTTTTGGATGAATGAACAAGTTGTATTATGTTCGAGCTAAGCATATCACGATTTTTCTCAAGGAAACCTGTGGGGAAGAAACACAAGACATGTTGTTTTTTTCCATTTGATGTTAATTGCATTCATGTTCACTTTATTGGGTTAAGCATTTTCCTTGCACAAATAGCTAGTACCCCATTTAAACTAATCCTTTGCAATTGAAAGAATTGTACAGTTCTTTCTCATGGGCAGTTTGGAAGCACTAGTTATCAGTCCCTGAGCTAGAAAAAAAAGTATACTGATATAGGTTGTGTTGCCTATATTTTCACCAACACATATTTTGCCACAGTTACAAGCTTTGAACATTGTTTTGTCTTCACTTATTATGGACATTTTTTTTAAAAAAATTGATGATCTCCCCTGGTTTTGTTTCCATTCTCACCAAATATCTAACAATGAAAAGAACAATGCCAATTACTCTCTTATGGGATGGGGCAGGTGAGTTTTGCTACCCATCATCTACTGATAGCAGGGGAGGGAGGGGTACAGGATGAAATAGCAGAGAGTGCGCTTAATGTTTTTGTTTTGAGAGACAGGCCTGTTACCTGACAAATTCTCAGATGAGACTGAACCATAATGTAAACTTTGATCAAATACTTTCCATATCAAGGCCAAAAAGAGAGCAATCAAATTTCCATTGAATAAAAAGGACTGGAGAAAAAGTCTTTAAATCTTGGAGCACATACATACATATATACATATATGGGCACATTCTGATTTCTAAGTACTGCTGAAAGCAGGTTTTCCTTGTGTATATGGCTTTTTTCTGAGCTGCAATAAAGAAACTTATCTAGCCATGTGAAGTTTGTCCGCTTCTGCCATAGACAGTTTCTAATTCCTAAATATGGAGCTAAATGTCTGGAGAGTCAAGATTTACTGTTGTGTCTGGCATGAAGCCCTCACAGCATCCTATGCTGCCAACACCCGAGCAGAGTGCCCAAATGGCCCCTGCCACCTCCTCCACACTAAGGAAGATATAAGTAACTATGATACATTGTACAAACAGTGGGTTTAGAAACTGTAGTTGTATGAGACTCTTGGGTCTCATTAATACAAGTAATAAAACCAGGAAAAAATACAGCTACACAAAGCCCCTTTGAGCTAAAGCGCCTTTAAGACAGAAGTAGTAATAGCATAATTTAGCTCTCCTTTCTGGCTTAAATCAATTTTCTGTGCAATGCAGAAACTGGCACTCTTTTTAAAAACCAATAAACTTATGTTGTTAAGTAGTAGCATGTGACCTGACAAGCGCTTCAGAAAGTGCCAGTCATGCACTACATGGGCAGATGCCTGTTTGCCATCCAGATGTCCAGTCTGTTTGCATCTGCAGCCAAACCAGTTCTGGAAGACAACCACCAGCAATCAGAAGGAACAGAAATGCCCGCAGCAGCCTCAAGAGGCCAACAGAAGCTATTTCAGAAGCAGATTCTGAAACCTGCCCTCGTCAACAGCGAATAGTGAAGTATGCCAGATCCTATTTGCAAAAAGAAAAGTGTCAGGGCAAGAGGAAAAACCTATTTTAAAATCAGCACAGCTAAGGGTTGTTTATACTCTTTATGCTCTTTCTGATATGGGCTAGTGAGGCAAAGAATATGTTATGAAGACATGGCAGAAAAAAGAGGTTGCTAGTGAAGAACCACCCAAGTTTCTTGCATTTGCTAGAACATCTATCAAAAACAACAATATACACATTAGGCTTCACAACTGTTTAACAATGGCCCGAAGATCTACAAAGATGCTATAAATCACTAGTGAGAAAATGCCTTAAGTAACAATAAGTAAAAATATTTATAGTCAAATACAGATAGTCCTCCACTTACAACAGTTTGCTTAGTGATCGTTCGAAGTTACAACAGCACTGAAAAAAATGACTTACGACAATTTTTCACACTTATGACCACTGCAGCATCCCATGGTTACGTGATTTACATTTGTATGATTGATAACTGACTCACATTTATGATGGTTGCAGTGTTCTGGGGTCATGTGATCACCTTTTGCAACCTGCTGATAAGCAAAGTCAATGGGAAAACCAGATTCACTTAACAACCATGTTACTAATTTAACAACTGCGGTGATTCACTTAACAAATGTGACAAGAAAAGTTGTAAAATGGGGCAAAACTCAGTTAACAAATTTCTCACTTAGCTACATAAATTTTGGGCTCAATTGTGGTCGTCGGTTGAGGACCCCCTGTAATCTCCTTATTGGTCTTAATCAAAAGAAGCCTCTATTAACCAATGGAAAAGTACTGAAACTCACCTTTTGACTGGTAATAAACAACTCCAGCAAAATGGTTAATAGCAAAAATTGTATCATGGACATTCTTTGGAGGAATGTAGATTTTGCTTCTGCCATGGTGTGAATTGATTTTGTTTAGCATAGTGGTGTCTGTCCCCTGGGAACATTCAAAAACATGAGTTGAAGCAAAATTGAGTCACTCTTTTTATGTTACTATGCTAAAATGAGGAACAACAATAATAACAACTTTGTGATAAAAGTAACAAGGGCCAAATCTGATCCATAAAGAAGTATGGTGGGTTCAAATGAAGTATCCTCACTTTTATTAATTATTAGACAAGCCATGGTCCACTGGGTCTTTTCAAAGTTATTTCCTTACCTAAGCAGAAAAACATATTGACCATGGGCAGGCAAAAAAAAAATAGTGGGACAGAAGTGACTTCCAACTTCCTGTCAGTTTACTACAGGTAGTCCTTGGCTTACAACAATTCATTTAGTGACCATTTGTGATTACAATGGCACTGAGAAAAGTGACCTAAGACTGTTTTTCACACTTACAACTGTTGTAGCATCCTCGTGGTCATATGATCAAAATTCTAATACTTGGCAACTGGCATGTATTTATGAGGGTTGCAGTGTCTTGGGGTCATGTGATAACCTTTTGCAACCTTCTGACAGGCAAAGTCAATGGACAAGCCAGATTCACTTAACAACTGTGTTACTAATTTAACAACTGCAATGATTCGCTTAACAACTATGGCAAAACTCACTTAATAACTGTCTTGCTTTGCAATGGAAATTTTGAGCTCAGTTGTGATAAGTCAAAGGCTACCTGTAAAGTGCAAATATGTCACTCTTTTATGACACAGAGATAGGAAGAAAGAACGGAATCTAGAAATAAAGCTAAAACTAGTCAAATAAAAATAAAGATATTTCTTTGTTGACTTTGTTAACTAGAATACAAAAGAAAGACAGGGCGACAATTTATTTTCTCTTTTCAGTTTTGAAATGCAATTGATTTCTGTTCTATCGATACCCTACAATGAAAAACATGTAACTGTACACAAGACAATCAGTATTTTCAATGAAGTATAAGCTATTTGCTACAACACCCAACAATCAGTAGTTTTATTCCTACAGAAGCCTTAAGAAAAAATGATGCTTACTTTGGGAAATCTGCTTTCCTCATCAATCAGTGAAACAATGTTCATGGGTTTCAGTACAATGACTTCCAAAGCGGCACAGTTATCTTTGAAGTCTATATGGTTCCAGGAGATTTGCTCAGCTAAGTATTCCTCCTGCTCCAGTTTGAAGATGTGGAGTACAAAGAATTGCTGGAGATGTTCATTGGCAAAGTTGATGCAAAACTGCTCAAAACTGTAGGAAGAGTTTTCACTGAAAATATGTTTCAAATCCCTCTCACAAGAAATAAAAAAGCTACATAAATAAATATAAATATTAAATGCCAGGGGTACATCAAAAAAGTAATGATATCAATGACACATAGTAACAACTGATACTGCATGGATTAAACTATAATAAATAAATAAATATATATTGTGTATTTCACGATTGCCCTATTTGTAAGATTGACTCCTGGACAATAGAAGATATCAATGAGTACTTATAATGCTTTAATGGCCAATAATTCAGACTTCCACAATCTGATATAATCCAGATGCTTGGGCTATCAATTCTGGCTGGCTGCCATTGGTTAACAGGATCAGGACTGAAAGGCTATGGATGATAGCTGAAGGCTCTAGATCCATGTTTCTCAAACTTGGTGATTTTAAGATATGTGGACTTCAAGTCTCAGAATTCCCCAGTTTGCTCTAGAAGGCAGCAGAAAGAAAAAGTGTTCTGTATTTCTTTGCTCCTATCTAATGGTTATTACTGAGATTTACAGCCCAGGTCAGGAAACCTTTGCTTGACTTCAGAATACAGATATCCTCCACTTATGACCACAATTGGGACTGGAATTTCCATCATAAATTGTTATGTTCATAAGTTGAGTTGGCCCTGATTTTTATAACAATTTTTACAGTGGTTGTTAAGGGAATCCAGATTTTGCAATGGGCCTTTTTTGCCACTGTAACTGGTTGTAAATGCAGTTGCCAACCACCCAAACTGTGATCATGTGACCATAAAAACATTGCAATGGTAGTGTGAGTACAGGTTGTAAATCATTTTTTTCAAGACTCTCGTAACTTTGAATCATCATTAAACAAATGGTCATATATCAAGGACTACCTGTATCCATTTTGTAAGACTAATTATTCATTCCTAGAGTTAACTTGAATTAGACAATTGCAGTATTTTAACATGCTATTTGTTATAAAGAAGGAATTATTATTATTATGGTTGGTTGGTTGCATAATTAGCCAGATGTTTAGACTGGATTTGGTATTTTTGACAATCTATCAAGTCTTTCCCATAGGCAGATGCTGTTTAATAATATTAAAGAGATCAGTGCAGGATATACGCTGAAATAAAAGCTGCCTTTTGCAACTGACTAATGTTGATTTTGTCAGTGCTGACGGTGTTCAAGTGGTGCTCCAGATGTTTTGCAATCACACCCAATGTGACTATTACTATGGTTACTATATTTGCTTTCTTTTGCCACATTCTACTTCTATTTACAGGTTTTTATATTTTGTTGTTGTTTCTAGTTCTTCTGTTCTACTGTTTCCAGATTTGCAATGGTCACAATCCAGAGGAGGGTTTTTTTGTTTTTCTTACAATTAAGATTAATTTATTATTATGGTTGGTTTCACAGTCAGTCAGATGTTTAGACTGGATTTGGCATTTTTATCCATCTACTGAGTCCTTCCCAAGGACCAGGGATAGGAAAATGTTTTTGTTTAATAATATGAAAGATATCCTCATATGATGTAAGCTGTTCCAGTGAAAGCTGCCTGTTTTGCAAATGATGGATTGTGATTGTATGAATGATGATGATGGTATTATTATTATATAGTGTCCAACAGACACAGTCATTGCATACAGTCATTTTTTTCTTACGACAAAGAATCTATTTAGTGCTACCAACTATGTTTTTTGGTTGACATCACTAAGAATTAGTTCTGAAATGCTAGTTCCCTAAATTTCTCAAAAGAAGTAAAACTGGACTATACCTGTTAGTGTTAAAGTTTTCAAAGCCAAATATATCCAGGAGTCCAATGGATTTGTACATTTTTTTCTCATCTGGAGAAGAAGGACCACAAATTGCATCATTGATCTTATTCACTATCCAGATGAAGAGGAATCCATAGATCCCCTAGGTTTAGAAATGGAATAAAGATAAATTAGGTTTTATATACAAATTATTAAAATGTACATTCATACATAGAGCTTAAAAAAACAGCTATCCAATAAAAGCCTATTCATGCCTGTGCTAGATACATCTGGGGAACAGTGGTGAAATTCAGCTGGCTCTATCTGGATCATGCAATCCGGTAGCGCCAGTGGCGGGAGGCTCCGCCCACCCACCCGGATGTCATCATGTCATGTTTTTGACCCTCCGTGCATGCGCAGAAGGTTCTGCGCATGCGTGGAGGTGCGTGCACTCACATTTGCGAACCGGTAGCAAAGGTAAGTAAATATGCCCCCTGTTGGGGAACCAATCAGGAGAACCAATCATGTATAAAAACTGCTGTCACAAATTTGGGATACAATTCTAGTGACCGGCCATTTAGTATGTAGCACATGATTGTCATATGAGCAGGCTAAAAAGTTTGTAATTAGAGGTGACATTAACTCTGCCATTCAAAAGTAGCAAATAGGACATTCCCAAAGCACGTGTGCTAACCTCTCCATTTTTAAAGTCAAAGCAAATACATGAATGTTCTTGATAGGTCCATTGTATCTACTTGATAGACTCATTGAGGTGTTACTCAATTTGGTAGTTATTTATCTTCCAAATAGGGGGTTGGTAAATATACCACTCTGCTTGATTAGTACAAACATCTTGGTTTTCATGTGATTGATTTATAGCATTTCGCATTGGTAGTATGATCCTGAAGCATGAATGCTATATAACTACAATATTTACAATATTTCAGCATCATCAGCATATAGCAGAATAGAGATTGGTTTATTGCCAGAGGAGGATGAAATTCAGCTTTGATAAGGGCTTGGATACTATTATTCACATTTATTATTATTTATTTATAAATAAATAAATAAATAAATTTATTATCCACTCATCTTACCTCAAGGTAACTCTCTGCAGTTTATCCACAGCCGCCCAGTTGATATAAAAACTGAATAATAGAGGGGGCAGGATAGATCTCTGTTTAATTCCCTTCAAAGTTAGAATAGGGCCAGTCAATTTTCCACCATTTAACCTGCATTGCAGTCTTTTCATATGACATTATACAGGTAGTCCTCGCTTAAAAACAGTAATTGGAACTAACAATTCCATCACTAAGTGACATGGCTATAAAACACAGTATCATATGACCACACTGATTTATGGCAGCAGTTGTGGCAGTTCTGATTGCTGTTGTTAAGTGAATTCCACTCAGTTATTAATGTCATGTGATTGTCATTTCAACCTCCTACTGACTTCTCCATTGACTTTACTTGTCAGAAGCTGGCAGTGAAGATTGCAATAATGATCTTGTGATTGTGAGGACACTGAGATGGCCAGTTGTAAGTGTTCTCATTCAGTGCTGTGCATTCAACTTTGCACACCACTGAAAGGTTATTAAGTGAGGACTACCTGTAAGTAGTTACAAAAGCCAGCAATTGATGGAGAAGCTGCTAGTGGCAGGGAGAACTGAATCTCTTTCTTTTGGTCTATATAGCTCTACATAGCTCTGAAGCAAGCATATTTGAGGCACATTTTTTAAACAAATCAAACAGAAGTATAAGAATCACATATATAATGACACTAAGAAGTCTTGCAGATCCCTGAATATTTATTAATTGGTGATATTAAGTTTTTACAGACCATAATCCATTTCATCACATGGAGATTAATATGAGAACAGCACTGTTCCCTTGTGTTCGCACAACATTTGAGGAGCAGTGGTTGGGTGGAAGAATCCTTGACTAACATGAGTGTCTTTTGGTAGCAAAATTTTTTTGGTTTTCTATCTTTAAGGTTTGAAAATAAACATATCCCTGAGAAACATCATTGAAAAAACAGAGCTAGTCTCTTTCACCTTGACAAAGGCATCTCTCACATCGGCTGCTTGAGTTACACTTAGGGGCGTAGAGACACTTTCCCCTCGGATGATGATGGAATGGTTTGTAAGGCTCTTGTGGAGTTCTTTGCAATCTACCTGTGGGAATTGATATTGTACTAGGTGATTTTATATAGACACAAAAGATTTATTAAAGAAGAATAGAGCTACCGTATTTTTTGGACTATAAAACGCACCAGTATATAAGAAGCACCAATATTTCGAAGAGGTAAGTAAGAAAAAAAAGGGTTTTGCCCTCCCCAGACCCCAGGAGCACTCTGCAGGCCTCCCAAACCCTTTGTGCACCCTGGTTTTGCAAAAAAACAGGCCCATTTTTTGCAAAAATGGGACGAGCGGGGCAGGGCTTCGAGAGGCCAAAAATGGCTGTATTTGGTGTATGAGACGCACCAACGTTTCCACCCTCTTTTAGGAGGGAAAAAGTGCATCTTATACTCTGAAAAATACGGTATATCTAATGAAGGAATAGAGAAATTTATTAATGGGATACAGAAACAATACCATCTCTAAGTCAAACTTACTGCAAAAAATTATTCGCAAGAGTAAATTGAGAAGGTACTATTTTAAATTCCTTAGTAATTGTAATAAATATAATAAATAAAGCCAATACCTCTAGTAGTTTGGTTGCAGTGGAAAAATGTACAGAATCAAGAATATGAGAGCAGTCCAAATTTTCATACACAACACCTAATTATAGAAAAACAGTAAGTCTTATTTAAAATAAGTAAAAAATGCAGCATTTGTTTATTTTACTTCAATTTCAGGCAAGTTTTTGGCTAAAGTAAAGGACAACATAAGAACAAAATTTCTAGTTTCTGGAAAACATTACAATATTAACCTATTCAATAATATTATGCATTTTCCTGAGCTGAAATTGGAAGTTGTTCTTAGGTTCTTTTAATATAAAATTAACACATTTAAATGTGGCAGTTAGTTAAACAATGGCATAACATTATAATACAGAGAATCTTTTGATTCTTCTCTCACTGTTTAAAGAAAAGGACAGAAATCACAGTCTAAGAGGTTCAGATATGAAAGAGGTAAAGGAAATAGCTATGCTATAAGCAAAGACAATTCAAGCCCAGGAAAACCAAAAGTAAAAAGCCATTGAGGAAACTGAAACATTTCCCTCCACAGGTGAGCTTTTAAAAAGCGGAAACAGCTGTATGTTTTGTATTTGATAGGAAGAAGGGCATCTTTCCCTAGATGGGAACCAGATAAGTAAACAAAGAAACCCAATCTGGAGAATCAAGAAAAATGTAGCAATGAAGGGAACAGTGAAAATACGTCCAGATCTGGATTTTAAAATTTTGCTTTATGAATAATCTTTGCCATACATTCGATTCTCTTGTTTCTATGTGTGAACCTGGCAGAGGAAGCAGTAGGCAAGAGAATCCGTATCAAATTGGCTGTTTAGGATTTTTCTTTTCCTTTATACCTTTGTCCAGTAGTTAATTCTCTACCCATGGTATACATAATAAAAGCTTGATTTTCTGAAAGGGCTTTAGTTTCTTTTGATCAATTAAGCTACAAAGGACAAGTTAGAGAGAGATGTATTATTTTCTTCCCCACAAGCAAATTCAGCAGTGTACCAAAAAAGCTTTCTGTAAGAGTATAGGAAGGATATAGAGGAAATCTTATTCCAGTTCCTCAGAACTTCCTCCTTCTTGTGAATTCAAAGTGCCATTGAACCTTGAAATCATCCTGTCCTTCCTAATCCTAATTAATCTGTTCCATGTATAAATGGCTGGTTTATCAGCACATTTTTTTCTCACTAGGAAAACAAGGCACTGAGAAAAAGAAAAAAGTGGGGGAAATGGCTGGCTGATACTTCTTTGTGCTGCCCTATTGGACAACTGAAAAGGACAGTTCTCTACTCAAGTAACTCAGGAGGAAGGCGAGGTCACTGTGTAGTAAAACTGTGAAGATTTGAGAAACAATACATTAGCTGTGTGAAAATGTCGCATATGTCTGTAAATGAGCCAAGGTGGTGCAGTGGTTAGAGTGCAGTACTGCAGCTACTTCAGCTGATTGCTAGTTCAGCAGATCAGCGGATCAAATCTCACCGGCTCAAGGTTGACTCAGCCTTCCATCCTTCTGAGGTGGGTAAAATGAGGACCCAGATTGTTGGGGGCAATATGCTATTTAGTATACTGTCTTTGGTGTAAGCTGCCCAGAGTCTTCGGAGGGTGGGCGGCATAGAAATATGAATAATAATAATAATAATAATAATAATAATAATAATAATAATAATAAATAATATACACATGTACTAGTCTTACCTTCAAATTTTACATTTCCTAGATGCAAAATGGCTGCCAATAATTTGCTTATGTTCCACTGTTCAGAATCAGAGAACATGAGAATTTTCATAGCTGAGCATATATGAGCATATTCCTTGGCATCATTACGTCCTTCACACAAAGTGCATTTGCCCTGCAAATCAGCATAGCAGTAATGCAAGACTTCTCTTACAACAGTACGCATAATAAAAAGGTAAAGGTTTCCCTGTCAAATTGTTTCTGACTCTAGGGGGCAGTGCTCTTTTCTGTTTCTTAGTTGAGGGTGTCAGCATTGTCCAAAGATATTTCTGTGGTCACGTGGCCAGTGTAACTACACGTCGAGGTGCACGGAATGCTGTTGCCTTTCCACCAAAGTGGTACCTATTTATCTTTTCACATTTGCATGGTTTCAAACTGCTAAGTGGGCAGGAGCTGGGGCAAGTGAAGGGAGCTCACACAGTCGCATGCACTCAGGTCTTAAACTGGGCTGTCAGCTTTCCAGTTGATAAGCTCAATGTTTTTAACCACTGAGCCATCACACTCCTATATACTGTATATTATATACATACATACATACATACATACACACATTCATAATATAACTGAAAATGCCTACATAATGTACTTCAAATGAAAATATATACCATGAGAGGAAAAAATGAGTAAATACTCACATACACACAAACATATACAAACACTTAAGATGAGGGGTCCTCACTTATCGACTGCAATTGGATTCTAACTAAAACACCAAGTGCACCAACTTATAACATCTGTTAAGCATAATATCACATGGCCATGACTTATGACTTCCTGCAACTTCCCCTTGTTTGTTAAAGTCAACTGTGAAGATTGCAAATGGTGATCATGTGACTGTTATGCAATAATCATAAATATGCACCATTTGCCAAACACCCAGATTGTGATCATGTGGCCAGAAGGATGCCATGACAACTGCAATTTCAAGGACTGGTTGTAATTCTCTTTTTCAGTGCTGTTGTAATTTCAAATTGTCACTGAATGAGCAGTTGATAAGCAAGGATTACCTATAATTAATTATGTATGTAGATTTTGGGCGGGCAGTTTGAATTAACTGACCATCAGCTGATTGGCTGACCACCACAGCTGCAAGGTATATAAAGGGAGCTGTTTCCCCTGGTCAGTCGCTGGGTTCTCACCCTACAATAAAGAGCTGTTGTCACTGCCTGGCTTGCTGCGTCCTCATTCACCCAACTTAACAAATTATCTTTTTCTCCATCACAAAATTTTAAAAGTCCTTTTAAAAATACATTGGACCACAGATACACAGTTCTGATGAAATGTTTAGGACCTTAGAAGGTGCCATTGTCACATATCCAGCTCTTGATTCCTTACCATAGTTAGGTAAGTATACTCTGAAGTAGTGCCAAGATTCAACACTTTTTTCTGTTCCAGATTCATCCCTGTTAACATGCAATAAAATATGTGATAGTTTCTTTCCTCGGGAGCCTAAAACAATAAAAAGACCACAAATATGTCACTAATAGCAGATATAGAAAAGCTGCCACAATGAAATAATATTTCTTTATATATATATATATCTTTACCTGGCGACACACTCTAGACTTCTCCAGAAGAAACTGTTCTATTCGAGCTCCTTCTATTATACCATTTTGGTTGAAGTGAATGTCAATGTATTTCCCAAAACGGCTTGAGTTATCATTTCGAATTGTTTTAGCATTGCCAAAGGCTGCAAGAGAGACAAAATTGTGAAGCAAAAGAAGAAAAATGCAACCTATGTAACAATGCTGAAGCTCAGAGGATAGAGACTAGGGGCCCCCAACATCCTTTCCCAGAAGCACTTACACCCCGGTCCCTCCTCCTGTTTCAGGATAGAGGTGTGTTAGTTCCTGCTGCCACCACACATCTTACAAAAGACATCACACCTGATATCTATGTCCTCAACCCAGCAGGAAAAAGATATAGGGATTTCACAATTTGTGCTCTCCATCTGGTATTTAAAACTGTAAAAATCAAAATAGTTTTCCAATACTTTTATTTTATTTTATTTTGCCAAGAACATATTAGGTAATATATATAAGTATAAGCATGAATTGAATACATAAAATAGATACAAATAGAGGAAACATTACGACAGGGACGGTAGGCACGCTGGTGCTCTTATGCACGCCACTTACAGACCTCTTAGGAAAGGGGTGAGGTCAACAGTAGACAGTCTTAGGTTAAAATTTTGGGGGTTTTGGGATGAAACCACAGAGTTCAGGTAGTGCATTCCAGGCATTAACCACTCTGTTGCTGAAATCATATTTTCTGCAATCGAGATTGGAGCGGTTCACTTTAAGTTTGTATCTATTGTGTGCTCGTGTATTGTTGTGGTTGAAGCTGAAGTAGTCATTGACAGGTAGGACATTGTAGCAGATAATTTTATGAGCTAAGCTTAGGTCATACTGAAGGCAGTATAGTTCTAAGTTTTCTAAGCGCAGAATTTCAAATCTGGTGGCATAAGGTATTTTGTTGCGAGCAGAAGAGTGGATGACTCTTCTTGTGAAATATTTCTGGACATGTTCAATTGTATTAATGTCCGATATGCAGTGCGGGTTCCAGACAGATGAGCTGTATTTGAGAATTGGTCTAGGAAATGTTTTGTATGCTCTGGTTAGTAGAGTGATATTACCTGAGAAGAAGCTATGCAAGATTAGGTTTACAACTCTTAATGCCTTTTTGGCGATGTTGTTACAATGGGCTTTGGCACTTAGATCATTAGACATGAGTACTCCAAGGTCCTTGACAGAGTGAGGGTCATCTACAAGGTCATGTCCACTCAGCTTGTATTTTGTGTTCTGGTTCTTTTTGCCAATGTGTAAGATAATGTGTAAGTACCAATCTCCTGCCAATGTAGCATAGAACCATGGTGATTAGAAGCTTCAGCTCTTCTTTCTGTTCAGCACTTCGAAAATAAAACTATTTTTTTTTTTAAATTTGATTTATATGCCGCCCTTCTCCGGAGACTCAGGGTGGCTTACAATGTGCTAAACAATAGCCTTCATCCTTTTTGTATATTTATACAAAGTCAGCTTATTGCCCCCACAACTGGGTCCTCAATTTACCTACCTTAGAAAGGATGAGCCTGGCGAGATTTGAACCTGCAGTAATTGCAGGCAGCTGGTCTTAATAACAGGGTGCTTTAAACCACTGTACTACCAAGGCTCCTTAACAGATTCAAAAGATTTTAAAGGAAATGAATGAATGTAGTCTGATATATGAATAAAGGCTTACATTAAAACCCAGTTCAATAATTCACACAGGGAAAGTTAGTGCAACACAGAAAAAAAGAAGCATTTGAAATAATTTAAGACACTGAGAGTTTTTCTTTATAAACTACCCATAGCAACAACAACAACAACAAAACCCTGATTTTCTGCTGTAAGCAGAACTGCAGTTGGATTTCCATTTTGGTACTAAAGAATGCCCTTATCAACATGCAATGTTCAAGCAAGTTGTAAAATATTTCTGCATTTGAAAACCTAAACCCGAGGAGCAGGGGAACATAACAGAAAAAGTGGGAGGGATCATCAAGTAAGGAAATTATGCACATATACCCATGCAGGTATACAAATTCAGATAGAACTCATAAGTAAGGAAGATGGCTTTGATAGAAATATGCAAGAACCATTACCTAGGCAAAAAGGGCCCAAACAATGAAATAACATTCGAAAACAACTCAGACAGATAACTCTCTAATTCACTGGAGTATAAGAAGGTGGGGAAAGAAAAGCACAATCAGACTTGCAATTCTGTTTTTATAGCCAATCTCAGTAAAAGCAGTTTTAGTCGTTATGTGGATTTAATTTCCTGATCTGGTATATCTAGTGTAAAGCTGACAACTATATACACATATAATACTTTCCATGCTTCCCAATACTATGTTAGTATTATTAGCTGTAGCAGATGCATTCATACTAATACTATTACAGAAGGAAGGAAAGCTGGATCTGAGAGAGGGATTGGTAGGCAGAGAGAGACAGTACACTAAATTCAGAGCACTGAATTCTGTGCTGACATATCTGTAATGCATGGATGGGCAAGAGAAGACTGGTCTCTGGCTGAAAGGGGGTTGGGATAGATACAGAAAGGCTCGACCCATAGCAGATGAGGCAGGATGTACAATGTCACATTCTGAGGTAATGTAGAAAGTTAGCACCCACCGCTCTTCTAGAAGAATGAAATATTCTAGGAAATATTAAAAAGGCAGAATATTATATTTCCCTGGATGAGAAATGGAGAAACATGTTTTTTTAGACAGGAAGCAGACTCACTCTTAATAGCCCCCACCTTCCTCAGTAGCCCACAGCAGATGTCAGCACTTAAGAGATAAAGAGATGGTTTATTCATAAGCAAATACCCTCACCCAAGATCCAACAAAGGTAGGATTAGCCCTCAGCCATAATAAGAATTGCCCAAAGCAATTCATTGCATCATCCAGCACAGTTCAACCAAGCTTGAGTCAGAAAACCTACAAGGTTAGCTATGACCCCTTCAGCAGCCAATAGCTTGTCACAGGAACAGGAAGCTAAAATTCAAAGCCCAAGAGAGGGTATAAATCTCTCTCTCACCCATCTGCTCGATTGCCCAAGAACTCAAACCATGTGGTCCTGTCCATCATTAAACCATCTTTCCAAATAGCCTCCATGTTTCCAGTGTCTTTCTGCCCACTTGGAACTGAACTCAGATAGACATTTCTTCCATCAGTAAAAAATGATTTTCTGGGATGGGGTCGTTCAAAAGCATTTTCAAGTACTTCCCTGATGGCATAATTTCTGATTTGAATTGCTCTAAAGGAAGGGAAATCACCACCCTATCCCCAAATGTTCTACGTTTGGCAATAACAAAAATAACTTTATCCTTGTTCCAAACAAACAGAGAACCAGAACAACAGAGTCACCTTGTGGTGAGACGGCGACAAACAAAATAAATAATATAAAACAAATAAACAAAAACTGTAGCTTGGCAATGAAACTATCTGAAAATGACATTTCATTCCTCCTCCTTTTGTGTGCCCTCCTTTTTTTCTTAACCTGGATTAAAAACTAGCAGATTGAAATGAGTACCCTTTGATGGAGAAATGGAGCCATAGTGTCTGAAAACCAGACGAAACCAGACCAAACCAAAGTTTTACAACATGTTCATTTTAGAATAAATCAGCTCAACCCTCCAACAATGTTGATGTCTGGAGTTACCGTATTTTAAATTGGCAAAAAACCCACAAAAAAGTCCTTCCAAGGAAGTGCCCTTATACAATTGGATTTCAAGCTAATGACTGAAAGCCAGAGTCACCTTTCTAATACTGCTATTAGGAAAGTGAAATGTGCTATAAGAGTATTTTAAAATTATGTAAAGCAAAGTTCTCAATATTTCACCTTGCACATGTAGCCTACCTTCCAAAATGGGATTGGCTTCTAGAATCTGTTGTTCAATCCAGGAATGTTGACCACTAATAACAGCTAAGAACTGCAACATTAATTTTGTGCTTTCAGTCTTCCCAGCTCCAGACTCTCCACTGGAATAAATTTTGTAAAACTGGTAAATCAGAAGTATAAATTTTTGAGAAAGAAAAGTGAATTTTATTTTCTATTACAGCTGCATACTTTTGAAATAATTAATAAGTGTTTGGTATATACGGGAATGCAATCACAGAACTTTGCTAAATACTCACATCTTTTTCAGGTTTCCCTACAAGCCATGTGAAGTGACTACTTTAAAGATGGCTCTGCTTGTGCTCCCAACTATTCCATAGTACCTTTTCAGAATCATTTTCAAAGCCTCTATAATACTTCCTCTGTTTCTTTTCCTCCAAGCTATTTAAATATTTCACAGTACTAACACACTTTTCCATTACATTATGTGCCCCTTACCTAATGACAGAGCATTGATCTCTCTTATTCCTCAGCATATTGAAATAACAATTATCAGCAATGGCAAAGACGTGAGGAGGCAGTTCCCCAATCCTCTTGTTGCAGTAGAGCTGGATTTGTTCCATGGTATACAGTGGCAGCACTTGATATGGATTGATGGCTACAAGAATAGAGCCTGTGTAGGTCTAAAAAAGTTTATGCCAATAAATACGAGAATCTTGGAATAAATTAGTGGTCAGTTTTCAAATGAAATATCAACATCCATCTCAAACTAAGTTACTGATAGGAATATTTACAATCAAACAACATTCTTATCATCTTATTCCCCTTATAAATACATGAAATTATAGGTGACTATACTAGGAAAAGTAAAAACTGTAGAATGTAGAATAACTAAATATAAAGCATATAAAATTGGAAGATTTGAATATGAAATATGTGTGAAAGTCCTTAGAATACATTATATTTACAAAGTGTGCATACGGAAGATTCTTGCAAACAAATTAGACTGTAGACATTTTGCTTGTTTTTAAAGCCATTTCTCTGGATATGATTTTATTTCTAAGCAATAGAGAATATATAATTCTCTCATTATAAAGCATTTTTAAAAATGGGGCTTCAGAATCTGTACTTGATTACATATTATTAATAAAAAATCAGTCTTACATAGATCTTATTCTCTTTGTAGCGGATATATAGGTTGTGTACCATGCCAGCTTCATTCATCTCTTCAAGATGTATCATATCTTCTACTCCTTGGATGGAGGCAGCATGCATTGGTCGCATTGCGCTAATATTTTGAGCTGTGATCCAGTGCTCCTTAAATACAAATGCATTTAACTGTCTGGATTTCATAAACTAGTTTAGTTTGCTCCTGAAAATAGCTCTTAAGATTCAGGCCATAGATATCATTAATATGCTTATCTGAAAATGCAACAATTAAAAGAATGATACAGGGTTCTGGTTTTTCCTGTTACATTGCATAACACCTGTTTAATTTTGCCCAGAACTTTGCAAAATCCAAAGATTTGGCTCTATCTGATTTCAAATTTATTTCCAGCTTTGGAATGCATACTGTAAGTGTCAAATATGAACAATACTCCAAAACACCACCTAAAGCTGTTGTCGAAGTGTAATTTTTTAAAAAATAAAGGAGAAGAAAATTATTAAATGCATAGGAAGAATTCTTATTAATCATTTTTAAATAAGTTGCATTACATTAATTGAAATATAAGTTTAGATTAAATCACATTTACATTTTGACAGGAATCCCACTCACTTTTTAGAATTGAGCATCAAAACATCCCACTAAAAATTCAAGTGTACTGTTGAGCCTTTACTAATTACAGATCCATCCAGCTCTTCAGTTGGATGCAGAAGATCATATGCAAAAATTGGGTACAGATGAAACTGTTAACTCCCTACCTTGCCTTCATCATCCTCCAGCAAGAATCGTCCCAAGTTAGATACTTTCACAACTGCCCCAATGGGCACATTAAACTCTTTGCCTGAATGGGATTCCAGCCATACATGATCACCCTAAGAGAAACAATATTCTATAAAAGATCTTATGCTTTTCCTTGTTTTTTTTTTGCTTTATATGCTGCCAAATCCAACAGATTCATAGTTTTCAATCGCAATGAAAGCAGCTGCACATATAACTCATATACAAGCAACAAAACATTAAATAGAGTAATTCTATTCATGCACGTTAAATTCTTACAGAATTTTGCAGCACCTCCAAAAGTTATTTAATAATAAAAGCTAATGTTAGTATTTCAAAGAGTAAACATGCTGTCCCAGCGATTCTTGTAGACAGAGAACTAGAAAACTGTTAGAAAATAACAGAAGGCAAACACTGGATTCTCCAATGGTGTAGACTCTACACTGTAGAGAAAAGCTGAAGTTTACTCTTTCTAGTCATTGAGTTTCAGGAACTGGGTTTGAAAACAAAATCTTTGGAGTCAAACTAAGAATTCAAAGTAATATTCAAAATAAAGTACCTAACCAAATGAGTAAATACTTCTGGCAGAAGCTGTTAGAGGTTTCTTCTCCTAGTCTTGTATCAATAGTCTTAGTAAAGCTTCCAAATTCACCTGTGAACATATAAGCAACTCCTTAGTTGACCTCTTCCTTCACTCTGAGGACAACACTCCAGACTGAGGAATCAGCTATCTTCTCTATCTGGGCAATGATTTGAGTCACAGCCAAAGCAGCGTAGAAGAGTGGCATGTTCGTAGAGGCCTGATAAGGGTAATCCAGCAAATGCTTTCCCAGTGTTGTCCTCTGGCAACTGTCGACTTCCTCATCCTTCTTCTCCAATGCCCACACACACCTGCTCCTTCACCAGACCAGCCTTTATGCTTAAGCAGGCACAGAGTCAGTTTTAAGACTCATTTCAAATCCTAGTCCATGGCAATGGATGCATTAAAAGAACTTACTTTTCTACATCCCTCGCACGTGCGCAGAACAGGCAAGTAATGCTTTTCAGTACGATATGACATCTCTTTCATCAAGATATTAGAGAAGAGCAGCCACGGCCACACCATGAGCAATTCTCATCAATTTTACGATATGGTGATTGGCAATCATTTGTTCTGTCAATATGGATTTTTTGCCACTTATATAATTTATAACAGAGTCAATATGTGAAAAGATGAGAGTAACTATTTGCTTTGCTTGACTCTTGCCCCATCTGACTGATTAAATCTGCCAGATTGTAAGGGAGGTGAAGGGAGGTGAACCTACTTGAGGGTAGCATGTGATCTCTACCAGGTTATGACCTTTACTAAAAAAAGCCCTCCTTTGACTAGGAAGATTTTTGCAATTGTAGGTCAGTGTCAAATATTCTAGGCGTGAGTAAAATGATCAAGAAACTGGTGATTCTGCAGTTCCAAATACATGGATGAAATAGATTTTCTGGACCTAGTTCATTTGGAGTTTTATCCAGGTTATGATATTGCCTTTGATATATATTCCTTATGTTGTAGGCAAGATTCACCATCTTGTTCTTACCTTATTTGTTTTTGTTAACTCTTTTTTAATTGTATTACATTTTTTTTTCTTATTGTGATATTGTGAGCTGCCAGAATCATTCTAGACTAGAGTCTGGCTGTGCTTAAATTAAACTAAATTAAATTAAATCAACCCTGAAATTGGAGTTCCTATTGGTTCACTGGGACACCTTGGTGCGTTTTTTAACACCATCAACTATATTATCCTTCTGGCTCCTCTGGTGGGGTTAGAACTTGGGGGCTCTGTTTTGTAGTGGTTGCAGTCCTTCCTTTTGGAATACATTCTGTTAGTTTATCATTGACCAATGGCTTTCCCAATGAGTTGTAGAAGAATGCAGCAGAAATTATATGAAAAGAAATTAAGTACTAATTATGGAAGCCAGAAAGACAAGTCACCACATATCAGGCAGGTGCGTGTCTAAGGATCATTCAGAGATATCATCTGTCAGATGTAAATGCCTTATTCTCCAATGTGTAAATAATGTATATATGGAACATCAGAGGTTAACTTATTCTTTGGACTTTAATGTATTCATAACTTACCACTCCCATTCCTAGCTCCACCCCTTGTATATATAAGGAGCCACCCTCACCATTCTCGTTGCTTCTACCTCGAATATTCAGTGAATATAGAATGCCTATCATAATTAAAAAGAAATATATTTAAAGCTTTAACTTCTATTATCTTTATTGAGTCTGATCCTGAAAGTATTGCAACAAGCTGGTAGCAGAGGATGGTTTTTTGACTCAATAAGTAATTAAAAATGTCCAAGAAAGATAGGCCCAACACCAGGGCCTACAGCAAAGAAATAGAAACTGATCAAGAGATGATCAACGAATCCACCAATGCGATTTCGAGAGAATCCGAAGAATACACCACTGAAGAAGAAGAACTAATGAGTGAAAATAATGACCAGAAAGAAATCGAAATAGAAAATAACGAACTCAGGTCAGAGATATTAAAGATACTAAAAAGCCAAAAGAATGATGAAAGTCTCATCGCGGACCTCCAGGAGATGCTGAAGAACAGCGGAGCAGCGAGAGAGAAAAACGTCATTAAAGAAAAACCCAAAGATCAAAAAATCGTAAGTGAGATGACTACTGAGAAAATAGTTGTTAAAAAGAAAAGATGTGATCCCGCGCGAAATTTTGAATGGCAGCCATCTTGGTTTCAACGAACTTCAAAAGAGAATGGAGCAGAGCCAATCAAAACGCTCAGTTCAAAATTTCTGGCGCGAAAAACACTATCAGACGAAGAAAGTGAGAAAGAAGTCTCAAACTCTTCAGATGATCCAAAATCAGAAAGTGAAGACGATTTAACAAAATCTCAAGTAAAATCAGCAATGAAAACGCTTTTTGCTGCTTTTGGGCCAAGACTGAAAATTACCAAGACATCTACGAAGAAGCAAGAAATCAAACCGGCGACTCAAGACCTGCACGCTCCCATCCTGACTTCGAAAGCGACGACGCCCGAGCCCAGAGAACCATGCCGATTTCGCCCTACACCACAGACAAAATCGAATACCAACGCACACAAAAAGAAGAAAAGAACCGTCACCACCACCAGAACCCCAAAAACCGAGCCAGAGACCGACTCATCTGAGGAGGAGCGGATCGAGAGAGCTGAAAGGGAGAGAACCTTCCACGACGCCACCAAAGAAGAAATGAACAACGCGCATGTGCGAAACTACGTAGACGACCCAGAAGGACTTGAACTGGCCAGAGAACCGCGCAGACTCATTGCAAGCATCCCAATGCCGTTCTGTAATTTCCTGCACTTGAGAGATCACGGACTGCCCCAGGTTGTAAGTAATGGACAGAATAATGTAGGTAACTTACCCAGTGACTTCCCAAAACTTAGAATTGATGGCATTAATTTACAAGAGTGGTATCAACAGCTTCAGGTTATTTTCATGAAAGAAAATTTACTATTCTTTATAACTAGCCCTCCAAGAAGACCTTGGACTTTAAAAATAGATTGTTTACATCATAGAGCATTTTTCATAATAATATCTAGCGTGTCTCCTGCAATGTATCATAGCATCAAACCAAACCTAACTGTATCAGAAATAATTCAATGCATGTTTAATCTATTTCACAGCGATAGCGTAGCTACAACCACAAGAATGTCTAAGGATTTCTTTTCCTCTAGAGTAAAACCAGGGGTTTCTATAAGTGAGCATTTGATAAATCTAAACAAAATAAGAGCTGAGCTACAATTGAGGGGGGAAGTGATTTCAGATCAAACAATGAAAAGTGTTATTATCAATTCACTTGATCCATCATGGGATAGCTTTATGTCACACTTAGATACCATTAATTTGGGATATTTATCCATAGAAAGTCTATCTAACAAATTGATAGCAGAAGACAATTCAAGAAAAAATCGATCCAGTAACCAAACAGACCACAAACCTTTTAGGAAAGTAGTCTTTCAAGATAAACATAATGAGGCCTTTAGATGCTACAATTGTGGATCCAGGGAACATAGTAGAAGAGACTGCCCCAAAGTCTCAAGAGAGAGACATAGACCAGAATATAGGAACAAATATAATTACAGACAATCTTCCACAGATAGACACAAATATAGAAGCCCACCAAATTACAAAGAAGGTAGAGGGGGTAGAGAAAATTCAAAAGAGAGGAAATCTGGGTCACTGAATGGGCTAAATAAACAAGACAGCACCAGAACACAGCAGGATGAGAATAACAATTGGCTTATTGACTCTGGTGCAACAAATCACACCACCAACAACAAAAGTATATTATCTTCATTTATAGAAGATAAGTTTGTGATAAAGGTAGCTAATCAAGAAAAGGTTCAAGTACTAGGCAAAGGAAATGTGACCTTGCCTGGTCTAGGGAAAATAGAGGGGGTATTATTAATCCCAGAAATACCTCACAACATACTAAGTGCCATAAAATTAAGCAGAGAATCTGATATCAATATAGTTTTCTCAAAGGGGAAAGCAACTATAGAAAAGAACAAAACAAATGTAGGTACTGTAATGATAAAAGGAGGTCTACCCTATCTGATAACTAAAGAAAGATGTTTACATAACATTGATTCAAATATGGAAGATTGTATTGAAGCAGATGATGAAAATGTCAGTAACAGTGACAATGATGAGTGTAGAATAACTCATGATCACAAAAACACATACAAGGAAAAGAAACCAAAAATAGGTAAACCAATTCATGATGAGTGTGCTCACATCTTACACAGGAAGTTAGGACATGCAAGCTTTCCTGTAGTACAAAAAATGACTGAACACGCAGAAGGTGTCAAAATAAAAAATTGTGAAAATTATTTGGAATGCTCAGTATGTAAGTCCACCAAACTAAAAACCAGTCCCAGACCAAAAAAATCTAACAGATCAACTAACAATATTTTTGATTTGGTACATATGGACTTAGTTGGTCCATTAAGTCCCTCAATTACCTATAGAAAACGTTACTTCCTAACAATAGTGGATGACTACAGCCGATATGGTTTTGTTTACACATTAAAGCACAAGGATGAAACATTTCAGAAATTTAAGGAATTCTACAAACGTATAGAAACACAACATAATATCAGAATAAAGCAAATTATGACAGATAGGGGATGTGAGTTCATGTCTAAAGAATTCTCCCAATGGTTAAAGGATAGAGGAATGTTACATTTCACGTCCAATCCTTTTTCTGCATTTCAAAATGGAGTTGCAGAGAGGAAAAATTCCACACTACAAACCATGATTAGGTGCACATTAGAGGATGCTGGTTTAGGCAAACAATTTTGGTCAGAGGCATTACATTATTCGAATTACACTCAAAATAGAACCTGGTCCAGTATTGTGAATAAGACACCATATGAGGTGATGTACAATAGAAAACCCAAATTATCACACATGCACATATTTGGAGTCACTGCAGACGTACACATACCTAAACAATTGAGGAGAAAGGGAGAAAACGTATCCAGGAGATTAAGATTCATGGGATACGAAACTGGAACCAAAGGGTACAGATTTATTGATAGTAATAACAAATTTATAGTATCCAGAACAGCTGTGTTCCATGAACAGGCCAATTGGTCAAAATTGCACCTTAATGAAATATTTCCTAATAAATGTAAAGATACGATATCTTGCGAGGAAGGAACAACAGAAAATCAAAATATTAACAAAAGTAAGAACAAAACCAAAACTTGGACTAATAGTCAGCATAAAATAAAGACAGACACATTAACAAAAAAGGAAGCTAGATATTTGCATGATAACCATAGCAAGCCTGAAAGAACTATTAGAAACAATAGAAACCAAATACCAAATAAATACAAAGATTACATAATGCATATGAATGGAGAACAAGTAACACCTAATACATATGAAGAAGTATTGAAACTTCCACATGAAGAAAGAGAAAAATGGGAACTAGCTATGGAAAAAGAGATGGAAAGTTTACAAGGATTAAATGTATTCACACCTGCGATCGCACCTAAGGATAAAACAATTATAGGTACCAGGTGGATTTATAAAATTAAGAACTTAGAAGGAGGCAATACCTTATACAAGGCTAGACTAGTTGCACAAGGATATGCACAAAAATATCCAGAAGACTATACTGATACATATTCACCCACAGTGAGAACAGAGAGTGTCAAAACAGCCCTTGTAGTAGCATCTGCACTCAATCTGGACGTATTCCAATATGACATACAGACCGCATACTTACATGCAAAATTAGATAAGGAAATATATGTAAGAGCACCACACAGTCAATACACTAATAAGAACGAAATTTGGTTATTAAATAAGAGTCTGTACGGATTAAAGCAATCCGGCAAAAGATGGTACGATTGCTTGGTAAAAGTACTTAAGACCATGGATTTCAACGCCACCACTGCTGATAACTGTTTCTTTGTAAAAAAGAGTAATGATCATATTGAATTTGTATTAATTTACGTGGACGATATTTTATACATTGGAAAGCATAAAGAGAGCAGGGAAATCTTTGTAAATAAGTTAAATGAACACTTCTCACTGAAATCTCTGGGTAAAGTGAATAAATACCTTGGTGTGCAAATTAACAAAACTAAAAGGGGATTCAAACTTACACAGAAAGATAAAATCATCGAACTCCTAAACAAATGTAACTTAAATAATGCTAAAACCTGTGACACCCCTATGCAAACTGATTTTCTTAGAAACACTGATGAATCTTCCCCTGAGTTTAAAGACAACACATTTTACAGATCAGTTATAGGTTCACTCCTTTATATATCTAATTGGACTAGGCCAGATATTGCATTACCTCTCAATCTATTGTCAAGATATGTTAGTAAACCAACCTTGTATCATTGGGAAGCTGTCAAAAGAATTCTAAGATATCTGAAGGGTACATTAGATTTTTGTTTAATGTTGGAACCCAATAATGACAGAGAACCAAAAATTACTTGTTATGCTGATGCAGATTGGGCTGGTGATACAACATGCAGAAAAAGTACTTCTGGTTATGTTTTTCTATTGAATGATTGTCCAGTTTACTGGTATACTGGTAAACAAGAACTAGTAGCCACTTCTACTACAGAAGCGGAATATGTTTGTTTGTCCAAAGCTGCAAATAACCTTGTATGGTTCAATGATCTGATCACTGATGTTTGGAAGAAACCCACCTTACCATTTATTATGCATGAAGACAATAAAGCGGCCATTGAAATATCCAGATCCGATGCAATTGGACAAAGGTCCAGGCATATTGATATAAAGTTTAAGCATGTGAGACAACTGTCTCAAGACGGATTCATTAAAGCAATACATTGCGATACTTCTGAACAATTAGCTGACATATTAACAAAACCCTTACCTTCTAAACAACACAAATATTTAACTTCTAAATTATATGTATTATATTGTCCTGAATCAGAATGTAATTGGTGTTGTGTAACGAACCGGCATTTAGAGGGGGATTTGTCAGATGTAAATGCCTTATTCTCCAATGTGTAAATAATGTATATATGGAACATCAGAGGTTAACTTATTCTTTGGACTTTAATGTATTCATAACTTACCACTCCCATTCCTAGCTCCACCCCTTGTATATATAAGGAGCCACCCTCACCATTCTCGTTGCTTCTACCTCGAATATTCAGTGAATATAGAATGCCTATCATAATTAAAAAGAAATATATTTAAAGCTTTAACTTCTATTATCTTTATTGAGTCTGATCCTGAAAATATTGCAACATCATCAATATTAGATGGCTTCAAATTATTATTTACAGTAACTATGAAGAAGCTTATAGTTAAATAACATCCTTGAATATACCCCGATCTTGCTAATGAAGTGGATGAAAGATAAGGAATAAACTTAAATTCAGACAAGGATGAGGCTGCACTCTCCACAAAAGAGAAAGCTTGTTATTTCAGAGAGGTTCTTGTTCCCCAGGTATCACTGAATTTAAAGAGACAACTACAATGAGAAAGGAGTTTGCACAGCTAAAACTACTCTACCAACAGCAGCCCTCCTTGAGTCAGGCAGACTTGCTGACAATTATCCATGTCTAGTTTCAATCATCTTCACTGCTGCAACACATTCTATATGGGGCTATTTTTTAAAAATATACAGAATGTGAAATTGGTATAATATGGCTGCTAACCAGAGCAAGGCACAAGGAAGACATCATGTCTATAACAGGAAAAGCTACACTGAGTGCCCATTGCCTTTTGAGCACAATTTAAGATGTCTAAAGCTTTAAATGGCTTAGTACAGAACCAGTCCTCTCTTTAGGAATTACCCAATTACTTAGATCAGCAGGAGAGGCTGTTTTGAAGATGCCCCCGACAGAAGCTTTTTGCTATGAAGGGTATGAAACAAACTTTTCAGGGAGATGTGCTTGGACCCTCACTTCCAATATTTAGGTAAATGGCCAAAATATATTTTCCTCATGAAGTTTTTAATTGTACATTGAGTTTAAAATGTATTTATTGTAATTTTGATTTTACTGTTGTTGTTTTTTTGTTTTGTTTTGTTTTTTAAAGCAAACCAAAAAGAAGTACTTTTATAAGCAAACAGTGGAGTATTGTATGTGCATGTTTAAAATTATATGTTTTGTAAAAGGGGGGATCACTGTAGGTAACATTTATTTTAAATCCAAATACTTAATGCTGAAAGAAAAAAAATAGTCTAATCTAGGATAACAAGGTATCACCAGGGTCTAATACTGGGAAGAGGTACAGTATTTAGCTCCCAAGTGGGTGAAAGTTCTAAAAACTGAAAGCAACATAAAGGTTCAAATAGGAGAATAATGTTCTTTTTTCTGTGCTGGATTAATTGTTCTGGAAACTCTTTGTCCTATCAGGCAGTTGCACCGTAGTGTCTTATTTTAAAAAATATTTTCTAGCCTTCATTATAGTACTTCTGGGGAGCACTGGATGAAGGGGGAAGGCCTACCTTCAATAAATACAGGTAGTTCTCAATTTACAACCATTCATTTAGTGACCATTTAAAGTTGTCAACAGCATTGAAGTTTTCAACAGCATTGAAAAAAGTGACTAATGAATATTTTTTACACTTAAAATTGTTCTAGCATCCCCATGGTCACGTGATTAAAATTCAGATGCTTGGCAGATATTTATGACGGTTGCAGTGTCCCAGGTTCATATGATCACCTTTTGAGACCTCCTGACAAGTATAGTCAATGGGGAAGCCAGATTCACTTAACAACTGAGTTACTAACAACAGCAGTGATTCATTTAACAACTTGTCAAGAAAGGTCATCAAATGGGGGCAAAGCTCACTTAATTTTCCAACAAGCCGGGCTGGCCTAATTCTTTTTACATGTTTTTTAATTGTTTGGTTTATTGTTTTAATTAATGGGGCCAAATTTATATATATTTTTTAACTGTATTTTAATATTTGTATTTGATGTTTTTATTTGGCTGTTCACCGCCCTGAGTCCTCAGGGAGAAGGGCGGTATACAAATTCAAAAATAAAAAAAATAAAAAAAAAATAACTGTCTTGCTTGGAATGGAAATTTTGGGCTCAATAGTACCGTCTTTTCCCGAAAATAAGACCCTGTCTTATATTTTTTTGAACCCTGAAATAAGCGCTTGGCCTTATTGCCATGCGCTCAAAAGCCCGATTGGGTTTATTATCAGGGGATGTCTTATTTTGGGGGAAACAGAATAGTTGTAGGTCAAGGACTAGGACTACCTATACATATGGTCTGAGTCTCAACTTCTTTCCCAATCAGCATTTAGTTAAACAAGTAATAACAATATATATATATGGCTTCTTGTCAGGCCTAGTTTATATTTCAAACAGCATGTTATTCAATGGTGTCATACGAATGCAAATGTTTAATGACTTACAGTTTGAAGTACAACCATCTTGCTTTAACAACGTGATTATTTGCAGCCTGTTTGGAGGAAAAGTAGGAAATAGGGGTGAGGAATAGAATAAAAGGATAAAATATTTTAGCAAAATCATGAACACGAATCTGAAATTCATGAGTAAGTTACACATTTAGAGATGGGACTAGTATGCATTTTTCCTAAGAAAGATCAGAGAGTGTTAAACAACCCTGAAATAATGCCTGGTAAATTTATGCAAATTAAAATTATTTTCCCCAATTTTAAATTATGTTATGTAACTAGATCAGGTTGAAAATGAAATACATTGATTTATCCTCTGCTTTAAAAACAACTTGAGTCAAAAATCAGATATTGTAAGTCCTTCTGAAACAGCTGACTGAAGGACACTGACACTTTATTGATACTAATTCTTGATACTATTCTGAGTAGAATACTGGAACCAGAAGAGAACATTTCAATTTTTTTGCTAAATTATAACATCTTTGGATGATTTACAGCAGGTCTTTCTTTCTTTCACTTCCATTCAAGAAATGATAATAATAAACAGGGAGAAAGATGACATGCTTTATTAAAACATTTAAGGCAATTCAACGCTCTTGTACAGTCTAAGTTGATTGCCTCTTGTGCAGCTCTCACCTGTTCCTTATGCCAACTTTAGAAGTTCCAGTCCAGATTGCAATGATTGGCAATGGGACCCAGCTGGTGCTCAGTCCAAGCTATAACCATTGCAAGGCCAATTGGTTGCCTGCTTTTCTGCTTCTTGTTCTTCCCAACTATGCAAGGAAAGCAAGCTTTGCAGGCAGTTCTTGTGTGAACTGATCTACCAATGCCTGTCTTTCCTTTTAGCGATTGTTAATTCACTAGTCTCTGTGCTATTCCTTTAGTTTCTCAGATGCACACATAAATGCCTTCCCTCATCCTTTCCCTCATTATCTGTATTGACTCTACTAACACTACAGACTGGGATTTATTTGTTTGTTTTGCCTTTTGGTACCATCATAATTCTGCAACAACATCCAAAACAAAAGGGAACAGTTGTGTTTTTTGTTCGTTTTGTTTTTAAGTTTCTCTGTAGCAACTTAGTAAGTTAATGGCAAGGAAGAATTCTTCATAGAAATAAAGTATTTCTATATTGCAACTTAAAGATGTTTTTAGAAAACAAAGAAAAGGGAAGGGAAGCTTTGCAGTACAAAGGGCAAGGGGTGAGAGAGCACAAGAAACATTCTTTACTCACTTATTCTGTCTCTTTACTAGGCAGAAACATAAAGGGAACTGCAAGGAATGAATGGAACATGTACTTCTGGGGTGAAGAGCAGAGAACTAACTATTGTTGACTAGCAGAGAACGTAGCAGCCAAACAATCTAGAACAAGATGGCTGCCCAGGACGGAAACCAGCCACTACAAATGAAGAAATGTGCTAACCAGTTGGAGTTGGGGTGCTCCTAAAAGAAATCAAGGGCTGGAGACTGTCTCCTCTGAAGGGCTTATGGTGGCTCAGATCACAAAACAGCAATTTTGAAACGTGGCTGGAAAGCATGGGTATGGAATGCATTTGCAATGGACTGGAGTGGGAGGAGAATGTCATCCATTTCTGAATTGAGGAAGTAGCCAGTGGCACTTTTTGAGAATTGAGACTTCCGATATAATATTATGCTACTGCTACAATCACCATGGTCGAAGTTACAACTTCAAATAAATTTATACTCTTGAGAGTCACAAATGTAAAACATTTTTCTAAAAAAGCTGCTGTGTGTACCCCATGTTTAAATAGAGCAGTACCTTTTATCCTCGGTACATATTCTAAATCTTTGTGCTAATTTTAATGGGACTTTGCAAAGACAGAGATATATGGATATGTCGGGTGGGGCAGGGTTCACCTTAAGGTCTTTGGATAAAATATAATTATGATAAAAATGCATTTCAGAAGCCATAAGATAAAATATGGATATGCACCAGTATGTTCAAACTTTTTTCTCATTATTTCACACTTAAAAGCTCTTATTTAGTGTAATAACTATTAACAAATAAATCAACAATGAGTAAAAAACCTGAAAGATTTTTTAAAATTTCTTTCTTGACCTAGAGTCTTGGAATTTGTTTTTCTCCAGGCCCAAATATATTAAAATGTTATTTTTTTAAAAAAAATAGTAATATTCAATTAAATTCCTATATATTTTGGGGTTCTGAAGCTCATGGCCTGATCATAAAGCCTTATATGTCACAATTAAACTGCCAAATTTAGAGGATTCGGTTTTAACTCTTAGTGTTCCAGAAACCTTTATCCCAGCACTTATACTTATTCTCAAAGCAAGTAGCTGATTCTCTACAATTAATAGATGAATAAAATACTTGATAATAAGAGCCATTTACAATGATGGTTTCCAAGTAAGAATTTATCCATTTCTGAAATCATATCTTCTACAAGACTAAGTGAAGAAAAGACCAAAATCACATTACCTGTCCTAGAAGAGTAGTTATAGCTTAGTTCCAATTCTCCATTTCAGAAAAATCATGTGTAAAAACCCTGGCAATGAAACCCTGGAAGAATGCTGTCATGAAAAAATAATCCTTCTATTCCATGACTATGAAGTCAGGAAGTGACTGAAGTTCCTTTCATAGTTATTTATTATAGGACTTTGCCCCAGGCCAGAGTATCTTCCATTTTTACAGTTGGCATTTTAATCAGGTGAGAGCAATCAATGACTGATTGTGTAGCGCTTAGGGATTATCTTTGCAATATTTAGCTTCTCATACAAACCAGATTCATAATTATTTCAGAAGAAAATTTGAAACCAAGTTCATATATATTATGATTCAAATGTGAGGGGGAAGGAAGTTTTTATTAAAAAGCATGGAAGATGCTCTTTCTTCCCTCGTATATGGTACCTATATTGCAATTTAGCTACAAAATGGTTAAAAAAAAAAAGGAGCAACTCCCCTTCCACACCTACACCTTCTGATATTTATTTAATTAAATTTTCCATCCCACCTTTATTACTTTATATGTAACTCAAGGCAGCAAACAAATAATGCTCCTTCATCTTCCTATTTTCCTCACAACAACTAACCTGTCAGGTGAGGAGCTGAGACAGAATGACTGGCCCAAAGTCTCCCAGCCAGTTTTTCAAACCTAAAGCAAGACTAGAACTCACAGTCTCCTGGTTTCTAGATTAACAGTTTAACTATTACACCAAACTAGCTGTCTTTGGTAGAAGACAGAGGGAAGAGAAAACACCTTCAGGCTTTCAATATTCTCTTAGTATATAGCCTGTTTCAGTATTTCTTCTGGACTCCATTTCCTGTCATGGCTACTTTGAAGTGCTCACACTCCAAACAATGAAAAATAAAGGGGGGGGGATTTGCAAAAGTGAAAAGTATTTCTATTCAATGCCTTGCTTGCATTTGTACCATCCAAAATAAATCTGTGATAATAACCAGTCCCAATCCAATACAGTGAATAAGCAGTATAGCAATGATTCCTGAATCACTAGTGCACTGCATGTACAATGGCAAAGTGAGTGGATGGGAGTGGGATAAGTGTTGTGGGAATAGCCTGGAAAAGAGGATGGCAGTTTTCAAAATACTACAAGCACATTTTCTTCATTTATTTGGAATCTTCCTTTATTTTTTCTAGGGAATCAATATATTGTTAGTACAAGATCAAGAAACCAATACAGGAGAATATTTGTAGCTCAGGGTTGAAATAAAGGGGTCCTTGCTGTTCTCTGAACTTGGTTGTTTTCTTGCAGACATTTCATTATCCAAATTAGGCAACATAATCAGTGCTCATGATGATTATCTAGCTTTGGTAATAAAATATCTGCAAGAAAACAACCAAGCTCAGAGAGCAGCAAGGATCCCTTATGGTCAAGAAAGCTCCATCCTTATGAATTGAGAAATAAATTGGGTTTTAAAGTAAGCCTATTCAGTTACTCAGATTTTGTAACATAATTTTCTTTTCCCTTTCATTATATCTAGTTAAAGACAATTCCAAGATTCTAGTTTCTTGGTTGTACGAGATGCTAAGATGTTGACAGCTAAAAATATTATGTTGGTCACCATTAGAACACCTGATATTTTGTAAGAGAAAACTTTGCAAAAAACTAGTTGCATATAACAGTCACAATAATTTCAGTATTAAAAAACTCACTGATTAGAAGCCTTATCAGTTATGTTTTTATTTACCAGTTAACTTTTTCAAACACTGATGAGGTAATAAAAAATCCATAGTTAACAGTTGCCTTCCCCAAAGGGTCATTCATTCTTAATTTTTGTGAAGAAAGAAAGAGTACTTCTTTTGTGATGGTGCCTCCAAGGAATCACATGAAACACAAGAAAAAAGTCCTAGAATTAGCTCTATGCAATCATGAGCAGCATCAGATTATGTCTTAAGGTTTTTCCCCCCAGAAACATCATGAATAAGAACACATACACAGTTTTAACTATTAGGTAAAATTGAAATAATTAATCTCTTTCCATTTTTAGCCAATTGATAGTACCATTTAAAAACCATTCCAAATGCCATGTTATAGTTTGCTTTTTATAATATTTACCTTTGTACTGTTTGTTTTTATTTTCTACATGTTTTTCATTCCTTTTATGTGTATGAAAAACAGTAACCTCCTAGTATTAAATGGCAAAAATTCTAATTCAATTATTTAATTAGATTAATTGAAAAACAAACTTGCGTAGTAAAATATGTTGCAATGAAATCAGCCCACAGCTTTATTAGACAAATCTGCAGTAGATATATTTAAAAATGCAATTACATTATACCACCATAAATCAACTATATAATGCTGAACAACTTAATTATGCTGTTCTACAGAACAAGTTTCTTTATGTCAACATATATGGATAGACCTTTTCAGGTGCTTCTTAATTAATAGCCCACCCACTGGATTAAAGAATTAAAATAGCACAAAAGTCTTACACTGCTCTTCTTGCTTTTGAGAAAATTAATAACCTTGTAGATATTCTTCTGTCTCATAGGCTAAGAAAAGGTATCAAACTGTTCCAATCACACCTCTGTGAGCTCTGGAATTCTGCAGTCCTGGATATATTATTACTGCAGCTTAATGCTAACTTCAGATGACTGGATATACCTTTTGCCTTCTGAAACTTCCCATTAATCATTACATCCAATCAGAGTTCTTTCCGACGTCATTGTCTGATACAGTTAAATTTAAAAAACAATGGTAGGAGATATCAAAAAGGGAAAGAGAGGAAGGGAGAGATTAAAATAAAGACCACAGCATTTTCCCTATAATCCCAAACATTATATCATTACCACATTCATGCATCTGTGAAAATAAAGTCAAAATAGGTTATCATCCAAGTACCTGTACATAAATACTACCAAGGTAGGGCTTCTTATTCTGGATGTTATAAGTTCATCCTTTCCTGCTGGGCAATCTTATTACAACCTACGTGATCCATCCATCCCTCTTTTTGGGACCCAGCCAACAAAGCATTAAATGCATATATTGAACCTATTTTGTGTCAAGTCCTGGCTCATCTAAACCAAGCAAATATTTTTGGACATAGCTGAAAGAAGCCATAAAGCTATAAATATTCAAAAGCTTATTAGATTGTTTTTTTGGAGTTAAATTCTTGAAAAACATTTTTATTCTTATACATAATAACATTGCTATAATATAGTTTCATTCTAGAATACATAATGTAATTGATTTACATGTTACATAAGAAATAATTCTTCAAAATAACAATAAAAATAATGCTTGTATTCCTGAGCATTTACGGTAATTTCTCTTTGCTTAAAAATTATTTTAAAGTTTTAGGGTGCTGCATCAGGTTATGTATGTTAGAAAGTGTGTTGTAGTGGATGGGCAGATGAGTAATCCAATCATTCCTAATAAGCTTTTAGAGCAATGTTTGAAATTCTAATAAAAACAGGAACAGATCACTGGGGATGTAATATTGCTTGCACTAATTTCACTGCCAAATCCTCTGGAGCAGTACAGGCACAAACCTATCCTTGTTTCTACTAGAAGCTGTACAGAATACCACATATACCAGAAAGATGTAGCATAATGTGAAAAAATGTATTTCCTTATTAATAGATGAGTGTATTTGTCCATTTCCCAAATTAGGTAGGGAAGAATATGAATTGAACTTTTCTGGCGCTTTGCCAAAATACAAAAGCTCTTTTTAGATTTGGATCTCAAAACTAAACATTTATATTAAAATGTAAACCAATTAGAGAAGCTGTAGCCTGAATGAGTGAGAGTACTGTGTGGAGATACAATCCTCCAAATTTAACAGCTGACATCACAATAAATTAGTTAACTATAACCATGATTAATGGTTTGTTAAACAACCCCATACCTACACACTTCCACTGGCTGGATTTATTCAGTATTCAGCAGGATGATGCCAAACATCTTTCTCCTTTCCACTAAATCCAGCATTTCAGCAGACATCTTGAATTACCAATTCAGATTAATAAATGTGGTTAATCTTGATCCAGAAAATTGCTTCAGATATTCGTCAATTATCTTCAGCTCAACAATGACCAGCCTATATAAAATATGCACGTAATGAATGTTCCTTGAATTGTTTGTTTTGTTTTTCAAGGTTTTTTAAATGTTTTATTTATTTGTTAGATTATATCCCAAATATTATACAGGAGCAAGGCAGGGTACAAATTATTTTCTATTGTTCCTCACAACAATCCACACAATAGTGCAGTTAAGAAGGATAGGATATGTGCTGGAGTGATTCACTCCTGATGATGTAAGCACAAGCTAAAATTCTTTAATACATCCTCCATCTGAACTATAATTTGTGGATGATGGCACTGACACGCATAAAGAAGGGGCAAGGGCTTTGATTTTGCATCATGACCACCTGATTTTTATTGGGAGCTTCCCAGAGTTCAATGTAAGATGGGTCGCTAAGTAAATGTTTTAAAGAAATACATATTTTGGCATATCATCCATGGGTACCCCTACCCCATCACTTGGAAGCACCAACATTGGAGCTATGTGGTAAACTACCACAGTACAATGGCTACCACCAGACAGAAGTAACTTGATAGGATGTTGTCTCTATATTATGACCAAAGGCCTAAGTGAAAGTGAAAAGTCTCCACTGTTGCATTGTGGATAGATACAGCATTCAGCAAAGACATACCACAAATAAGAGTGCTTCCCTGACAATGTTCCTAAGAACCTTCTTGCATTTAGTAGGCATTACAATGTGCAACAGTCTTCTTATAATGCTGTAACAGCTCACAAGGCTTGTGCAACATATCAGCTGTTCAATTGCTGTGCCCAGTACTAGGAGATGGATTCTTCAGATTGCAGCAGGGATCTGAGTGAAGGTAGGCAAGAGCTCCATACTGGCATTGTGAAAAGAAACCATGGGTTAAGAAACTGTAGCAGTGAACACTGCGACGCTGATACTTGCCTCCACAGGAGTCTGTCAATATGTGCAGCAGCCATTCATTGAAGTGTGGTAGCAGACAAAGCCAATGTAATGTGATGTGCAAGGCACCCAAGACTGTATTCAGAACTAGTGGG